AGAACGTCCAAGCCTTCAATGACATCCAGTCGTTGAATTCCTCCACACTTTCATCATCGTCTGTACATTAGTCTCTTCCTGCTGTTCCGAAATTTCTTGGTCGCCTGACGTGCTGTGCTGAGCGACATCCTCGGCAGAAGGCGATATGACCTGGATTGCTTGTGGGGACGGAGGCGAAGGTTCAAGGTACTCGACATCGGTAAGTTGGACGGTATTTTCTGCCTGCAATACAGTTTTCAAGGCAGTTCTGTTCGTCTCTGTCACCGTCTCCTCCAGAGCTGGGCCTTGGTCATTGAGACGTAAGGCAGCCTCGTCGTCGTCTTCTGCTCGGATCATGTTTGAAACCTCTGACAGCTTGCACTTTGCAGCAATACAAGAGTATTAGAGAAGGTAGTTGAACGTAATGATGTGACCAGCTGGAAGCTGAACTCTACAGTTTCATTCTCCACCACAAAGGAAAACGCGAGGGAAAAGGCCTCGCGCGGGGGCTTCGGACATGCACGTGATGTGCTTTATAAGCCGGCATTCGGACAGATCTTCACCTATTGACCATCGTTAGCGTTGTCTACGGCTTTGCGATAATGGTCTAGTTTTTGGAGTATGCCAATGTACTTTATTGAATCAACATTGGTAAGTCTCTTTCCATCCTCTTGGTAGGTACTGAAATTCTCTCTTCCCGAATCAGCCGACTACAGATTTGCCATATCGGCATTACTTTGCTGCATGTGATGTACCAATCTTCAAGAGGGCCATTCGTCAACTCCCGAAGGTGGACGGTTGCATGCCCGGCCATTGGTGTCAACCCGTCGTTGGCCAGCGAGCGAGCGACCGTTGCCTGTGGGTCTGGTTGGCTGTGCCACTATTGTAATCTAACCATATTTGAATCTTGCTGTCAACGCGTGGATTTTGTCCTGCTGCTTGCCGTCGTCACAACGGCGGCGACCGCGCACCCATAAGCTCTGATTCATCCAAGCAATTACCACCCATATTCTCCTTCCACATAAACCGTAGACCACCATGTCTAGAAACCCATTCGCAGACGATGCACCGTTGTTTGATGCACCGCCGGGTGAAGAGCCATTGTTTTTGCAGCCCACGAGCAGAGTGCGTTCTTCCTTGAGATTTGCATCGGCCAACGGTTGACAAAGTTTGCTTATATGTTAGTGCCTTTGTACAGGACAGGATGATTGAAAACGTTATTGGTGCTGGGGTTCTCGCGTTTGTTGTGGTGAGTATTTGTTGGAATATATCATATCAGTCCTTTTAGATGTGCATGTTCACACTCAGCAAATGAATCCTGATTATTGTCCATGACTAGTTGACGTTCATATTCTCGTTGATCAATGGATTCGGAAGATCCGCGAACCATCTCTTCCTCGGACTTGTTCTGTTGTCGTTTACATTTGTAGCAATCCAACTGGTGAGAAGGCCTTTAATTACCAAAAGTCCACATTGTGCTTGCATCCATTCTAAACACGATCGTCTTCCCGATCACAGATTCGATGGTACCGACTAGGCGATTTGGATCCGAAATTCAAATTCCTTATCCTAACTATGGGTGTATCAGTGGTTATACTTGGCATCGTCGCCAACGTGTATTTTTGGTCGACTACGGTGGATCCAGGATTGGCAAGCTGCAATGGCACGCCCGTACCAGAATATCATGCAAAGAGGGCTCTCTTTGAGGCTGCCACTGGTCAGTGTTGGTATATTTGTGACAAGGGATTCGCTTTGGATGCGAGTGGCGGTGCACCAGGAGTATGTAAAACCTTACCGGCAAACTAGTGAATGGCAATATACATTGTTGAATGAGTCTGCTCCTGCATGGAAGTCGTATATATGTGTATCCTTTTGCAACGGCTAGCCAAAGCCCTCACTGGGCGACTAAGATGTTTGAGCTTGATCTCTCGTCCACTCACCAAATAGCCAGCAGTTTGGCGGCAAATATACCCCTCCTTCTTCTGACATGTCTTTGATGTGGACTGAAGTTCGTGAGTTCAGTCCCATCCCATCCATGGAATGATTTTGGGCTTTCTGAGTTCTATGAAACGGGGGGGATTCATAGAAAGATCGGCAGCAGCGAGGTAAGCCAACCATCGCGGCCATGGCAAGAGTGATAAATGGACGATACGAGTTCTCGTTGTGCTTCTTTTACCATAAATCTGCTCTTTGATCTCAATTCTCCAATTCAACTTTCTGTGCAAACGAGCTATTGTCTTGCAGGTAACCCAAGGCCCACCTATACGACGTCTCCTCGCTCCATATGCTCCGCCAAGGTCTCTTCATACTTTAAAGCTGCACTAAGAGTCTTTGCCGCCGCTGATTTCGGTCTAACATATCCGATTTCTTCCTGTTCGGATTTAATCCGCTCCTCAGCCTCCTTTCTGAGCCGGCGAGCAAGGTCCGCTGGCGAATAAGACCCTTTTTTGGAGGGCAATGCTGCTTTTTGGATATCAAGGGATTTATCGCCAGGGAGCTCGAGCTCTGTTGCCATTGCTGAAGCGTATTTACCGAATGCCGCTATAAGCCATCGATTGAATTTTGTGATATTACTCAAGTAGTTGCCAGATTTGATATTACCACATGCGTTGGCACCCTCATCGTGTGGGTCAATGTGACCTTTTTGGTGTCCAACTTCTTGGCTATGGAGACTCGCTTCTGCTTTGAGGTCGGAGAGTTTCCTATATGCGTCAGGTGCCAAGTTTTCCGCCATGATGTCTAGGGGTGTGGAAAATGGAATGCTGATGGCGAGCAGTTCATTTCACGATAACTTGATTTTCTTTACGTGATTCGCCTTACGGGAGTACTGGTACTCTTCATGACGTGATTGGCAATCCAACTAATGCACCGACAATTGAGCGAACGCCAATTCTCCAGTGACAGTTGAAACGTTGGAGGCTCATCATTTATGACATAGTGAAGGTTGTGAAAGCGCGCAAAAGATCTTTATCTTGTTCAGTAGCAAGGTCTCTTGATGATAAGATATCAGGCATGCAAGCACCTTCACAACCAGCTAGTCTACTTTATCTATCTTTCATGACAAGGCCAAGCTCATTACAAGGTAGGCAACCAAAAACCTCCAGCAACACATGTTTGTGACGTCCATAACGGCGCGCATCGAAACCCGGTACCCGGTATACGGAAGGTCGGAAAATTCTATCCACAATTTAAATACCAGCAAAAACTTTTATGTTCCAAATTCCTGAAACCATAAGATCTCGTGGAGCGCGGTCACATGCTAACTGCAAATCTTTCTGAACCAAGGCTACGATCGATTTCGGAAATTTTCGGATAACGGGAATGTGGGGGTTCTGGCGGCACAGTCCACAAACTCGGACCAGAACGGCTTCCTGTTGCTAACACGTCGGAGACGCCAACAGCACCTGCCAAGGACATGATGGCAAACCCTTATTGAACAAACACGTCGTCACTTCAAGCCTTCTGTGAAATCCGCATGTTCCCAGCGTAGGTCAATCGAATCCATCTCGCTTACCAAAAGGTGTATGGATGCTTGTCGATTATCGGAGGAAGATAAGAATAAATGTCTCCAACGAGTATGTGCCACCCACTCAATGTGACAGTGCCTCTCATTATGCATGACTGTGCCATAGCCTGAAATGCACATGTTGCGTGTCTGAAGATCAGCTAAAGGGGGAGACAGTTGTGTTTCGAGATCCCCTTGAATTTAACGTTGCATTGCCACCGTGTAGACCAGTGGCACAGCGACTGTTCCATGCACTGGATTGAAATCGATCTCATCTTGTGTGACCAGAGTAAAAAACGGATATGGGCCTTGGGGAGTATATAAAGGGCGTGGGACTCTGGATTTTTCTTCTTCCCCTTCTGCCCTCCTTCCTTGCCGACACTCGCAGCTGGGTGTTTCTTGCAAAAGTCCGGTTCTCGCCCAAACCAGCGCTTTTCGCCAAAATCCTTGTCTGTGTGCTTCATCGTCGTCGTTAGGAAGGGAGTCTGTCTTCATTATTAGTATTATATTGGATATCCGACTACTCTACTACACACTTTTTGCACATACACTATTGTTTTTTTCGTTTTTCTGTCTCCTCGGGACCTTGCTGGTGAGTGCACAGTGCTTTTTAGGCAGAATTCCGAACCATTGTATAGCTTGTTTTGGCTGACTCTGGAGATTTCCCCATCTTTTACAGAACTGTTTATCTGCAAGGATTCCATTTGTAACCTAGATTTTTCACACATACACTTTTCATCTTTATCCACAGGTGGGCTCGCTCGTTTGCTGTCTGTGAAAAAAGGATCAGATTTACTTACCAGCGCAGTTGGGTTTAAAAGATGGCTCCGCAGGACGAACACTTTGAGTCTTGGGCGGATGTTATCCCGCAAGCTCAGGGTCTATACGACCCCGAATTTGAGAAGGATGCTTGTGGTGTTGGGTTTGTTTGTCACATTAAGGGGCAGCCTAGCCACGAGATTGTTGCGGATGCACGCAACTTACTCTGCAACATGACCCACCGTGGTGCCGTAGGGGCAGACACTCGGGATGGTGATGGCGCTGGCGTCATGTGTTCGATCCCTCACGAACTCTTTGGTCGCGAGATTAAGAGAAACTTTGGCATTGTATTGCCTCCGCCCGGGCAATATGCTGTTGGTAACATTTATCTCAAACCCGACGAGGTCGTGATGAAAGACAGCCAAGAGAAATTTGAGGAAATCGCTCAAAGCCTCGGTCTCAATGTGCTCTGCTGGCGTCCAGTACCGCGCAACAACACTATTCTCGGCCCATCCTCCAAAAGCAAAGAACCCGAAATTTTCCAGCCCTTCGTCACCCTAGTCCGCGCTCACAATGCCGAATTTGACTACAAACACTTTGAGCGTCAGCTCTATCTTCTCCGCAAACAAACTACTCACGCTATCACATTAAAGAAATGGTTCTACATCTGTTCTCTTTCGAGCAAACACATGGTATACAAGGGTCTGCTCGCCCCGGTGCAAGTATATGACTACTTTGCTGATCTGACCAACCCTGGTTTCAAATCATACTTTTGTTTGGTTCACTCTCGTTTCTCCACCAACACGTTTCCTTCATGGGACCGTGCACAGCCGATGCGATGGTGCGCTCACAATGGTGAAATCAACACGCTTCGTGGTAACAAAAACTGGATGAGAGCCAGAGAAGGTGTCATTAAGAGCGAAGCATTCAAGGAACATCTGGAAACCCTTTTGCCTATCATTGAAGAAGGCGGTTCCGATTCTGCCGCTTTTGATAACGTGCTCGAGCTTCTGATTATGAATGGTGTCGTATCGCTTCCCGAGGCCGTCATGATGATGATTCCAGAAGCCTGGGAGAACCAGCCCAACATGGAACCTGAGAAGCGCGCTTTCTACGAATGGGCCGCATGTCTTATGGAGCCATGGGACGGTCCTGCGCTGTTCACGTTCTCGGACGGTCGATACGTTGGTGCTTCATTGGATCGTAACGGTCTTCGCCCCTGTCGATTCTATGTCACGGACGCCGACATTATGATTTGCGCCTCTGAAGTGGGCACTATCTTCGTCAAACCGGAGACTATCGTTTCCAAGGGACGTCTCCAACCCGGAAAGATGTTGCTTGTTGATACTGAAGAAGGACGTGTTGTCGATGACCGCGAGCTCAAAATGAGGATCTGCACGGAGCGCCCCTTCGGAACCTGGATCAAAGATAATATGCTCAGCATGGAGGATGTTCGCAAATTCGCTCAGCGGTCGGGAGCTTTCCATAAACCCGCTCTTGACGAGCACTCGGTGGCAGAGGATAAGCGCATGTTGGCGTTTGGTTTCACCATTGAGCAGCTTAACATGCTCATCATGCCGATGGTCGCGGACGGTAAAGAAGCCCTCGGATCTATGGGTTACGATACGCCGCTTGCCTGCATGTCTCGACAGCCAAAGGTGGTCTATGAATACTTCCGTCAGCTGTTCGCTCAAGTCACCAATCCACCCATTGATCCCATCCGTGAGGAAATTGTCATGTCCTTGTCCTGCTATGTCGGACCTCAAGGCAATATTCTCGAGATGACTCCCACTCAAGCACATCGGCTTCACCTCCCCTCTCCCATCATCTCCATCGAGGAATTGGAAGCACTCAAGACATTGCCACGCTTCAGGGCTGATTGGAGTGTTGCTGAGATTGACATTACTTTCCCTAAGAACGAGGGCGTGGCTGGCTACCTCGCTGCTCTCGACCGCGTGTGCTCCGAAGTGTCTCAAGCCATTCACGATGGGTTGAAGATTGCTATCCTCAGCGACCGCCACGTGTCCTCCGACCGCGTTCCTCTCTCCGCTCTCGTTGCCTTGGGAGGTGTGCACCACCATCTGGTCCGTAACAAGCTTCGGTCCAAAATTGCATTGGTGGCAGAGACTGGTGAAGCGCGCGAAGTCCATCACTTCTGTGTACTCTTGGGATATGGTGCCGACGCTATCTGCCCGTACTTGGCGTACGAGGCGATGCTCAAGCTGAAGAGGGAGAATATCCTCAGGAGGGATCTTGCCGAAGACAAAATCATTTACAATTACATTAAGGCGAGCAATGACGGTATCCGCAAGGTGATGTCCAAGATGGGTATCTCCACTTTGCAGAGTTACAAGGCTGCTCAGATTTTCGAGGCTCTTGGTTTGGACTCTTCGGTTGTTTCCAAGTGCTTCTCTGGTACAGCTTCACGTATCAAGGGTGTCGGATTTGATATTTTGGCGTTGGACGCCATCACCTTCCATGAAGCCGCTTGGCCATCGCGTGACACTGTCACCATTGAGACGCTCCCGGAGTCTGGTGACTACCACTGGCGTGATGGTGGAGAGGCACACATCAACGACCCGGCCAGTATCGCGAATTTGCAAGATGCTGTCCGCCGCAAAAACACCAATGCCTACGAAGCATACTCACGTCAATCATACGAGCAGATCAAGAATTGCACACTTCGTGGTCTTCTCGACTTCAAATTTGACAATTCAAGACCCATTCCAATCGAGGACGTTGAGCCATGGACAAACATTGTCAAGCGTTTCTGTACAGGCGCCATGTCGTACGGGTCTATCTCCTTCGAGGCGCACTCAACACTTGCTTTGGCCATGAACCGTTTGGGCGGAAAAAGTAACACTGGAGAAGGTGGCGAAGACCCAGAGCGATCGAAACCTTTGACCAACGGAGATTCCATGCGTTCTGCCATCAAGCAAGTCGCCTCAGGTCGTTTCGGTGTCACGAGCTACTACCTCTCAGATGCTGAGGAACTCCAAATCAAGATGGCGCAAGGTGCCAAACCCGGTGAAGGTGGTGAGCTCCCTGGACACAAGGTGTCCGAAGGCATCGCTGCTACGCGTAAATCTACCCCCGGCGTTGGACTTATCAGTCCCCCTCCCCATCACGACATCTACTCCATTGAAGATCTTAAGCAGTTGATTTACGATTTGAAATGTGCCAACCCCGCATCTCGCGTGTCTGTCAAACTCGTATCCGAAGTCGGTGTCGGTGTTATTGCTTCCGGTGTGGCCAAGGCAAGGGCGGACCACATTTTGATCTCTGGTCATGATGGAGGCACGGGAGCCAGTCGATGGACTGGTATCAAATACGCCGGTCTTCCTTGGGAGCTTGGTCTTGCCGAAACGCACCAAACTCTGGTCCTTAACGACCTTCGTGGCCGTGTAGTTCTTCAGACCGATGGTCAAATAAAGACAGGTCGTGATGTTGCCATTGCATGTCTGCTCGGCGCTGAAGAATGGGGTTTCGCAACTGCTCCTCTCATTGCCATGGGCTGTACTATGATGCGGAAGTGTCACCTGGTGAGTGGACGTTACTTTAATGCATCATTTACATGAGGAACTAACTCGCTTTCCTACATTAGAACACCTGCCCAGTTGGTGTGGCTACTCAGGACCCTGAACTGCGGAAGAAGTTTGAGGGTACTCCTGAAGACGTTGTGAATTTCTTCTATTACGTCGCCGAAGAATGCCGTACGATAATGGCCAAGCTTGGTTTCCACACGATCGATGAGATGGTTGGTCGTACCGACTTCTTAACGGTCAACGAGGCCGTCAAGAATCCCAAAACCCGCAACCTCGATCTCACACCGATCCTAACTCCCGCTTTCACCCTTCGTCCTGGTGCAGCTACTCATAACGTGAAGAAGCAAGATCACATGTTGTACAAACGTTTGGACAACAAGCTGATCGAGCAGGCCAAGCGGGCTCTTGAGACGCGTCGTCCTGTTCAGATCGCGGCCGAAGTTGTGAACACTGACCGTGCCCTCGGGGCCACACTCAGTTACGAAGTGTCAAGGGCCCACGGTGAAGCAGGTCTACCGGACGGTACAATTCACGTGCAGCTCACAGGGTCCGCCGGTCAATCTCTGGGAGCTTTCTTGGCTCCTGGTGTGTTCATTGAGTTGGAGGGTGACGCCAACGACTATGTAGGCAAAGGTCTTTCGGGAGGACAAATTGTCGTATACCCTCCAAAGGTCTCCAAGTTCAAGGCTGAAGAGAACATCATTGTTGGAAACGTTTGTTTGTACGGTGCTACCAGCGGTAAAGCCTTCTTCTCTGGAGTTGCCGCCGAGCGTTTCGCGGTCCGTAACTCGGGTGCGATTGCTGTTGTCGAGGGAGTCGGTGACCACGGTTGTGAATACATGACTGGTGGTCGTGTGGTTATTCTCGGTCCTGCTGGACGCAACTTTGCTGCTGGTATGAGCGGAGGTATCGCCTACGTCCTCGACCAGGAGGATCGCTTCCACGGAATCTGCAACACGGAGATGGTAGACTTGGATCGCGTGAACGAGGTTGACGATGTCAAGTGGCTCAAGGATTTGATTACCGAACATTACACGCTGACCGGCTCTGGCGTCGCACAACGTGTCCTCCAGAACTGGCACAAGGCTCTGCCCAAGTTCGTCAAGGTCTTCCCTCGTGATTACAAAGCAGTGTTGGCAAAGAAGATGCAGGAGAAGGAAGGCTCCCTCAACGCGCCAAAGGCTGAGCCCGCTCCTGCACCCGCACCCCGTAAAGAGCCGCTCCTTCTTGACCTTGAAGACAGTGTTACGGACGAAGCTATGGCGAAGAAGCGTGTCGCCGTCGTTGACAAGGTTCGCGGATTCATGAAGTACAACCGTCAAGGCGACCAATACCGGAACCCACGCAAGCGTACAAAGGACTGGAAAGAGATCAACGCGCGTTTGAACCCTGAAGATCTCAAAGTTCAGGCTGCTCGTTGCATGGACTGTGGTGTACCCTTCTGTCAGTCGGACAATGGATGTCCCATTGGTAACATCATCCCCAAGTGGAACGACCTTGTCTTCAAGAACCAATGGCAAGAGGCTTTGGATCGCTTGCTGATGACCAACAACTTCCCCGAGTTCACTGGTCGCGTGTGTCCAGCTCCTTGCGAAGGTGCTTGTGTCTTGGGCATCAACGAGTTGCCCGTGTCGATCAAGAGCATTGAGTGTGCCATCATTGACCGGGGTTTCGCAGAGGGATGGATTGTTCCCACCCCACCAAAGCACCGTACTGGAAAACGCATTGCAGTCATTGGTTCTGGACCCGCTGGGCTTGCGGCTGCCGATCAACTCAACAAGGCTGGTCACACTGTGACGGTATACGACCGTAACGACCGTATTGGAGGTCTGCTTATGTACGGTATCCCCAACATGAAGCTTGACAAGGCTATTGTGCAGCGCCGTGTTGATTTGATGGCGGCTGAAGGTGTTGAGTTTGTCACCAATGCGCATGTCGGCAAGAACGTGGATGTCCGCAAGTTGAAGGAGGACAATGATGTCGTGGTGCTCGCTATGGGTGCGACATGGCCTCGTGACTTACCTGTGCCGAACAGGAACTTGGATGGTGTGCACTTTGCCATGGAATTCCTCCAACGTAATACCAAGAGTTTGTTGGACTCTGACCTTCGCAATGGCGATTACCTCAGTGCTAAGGGCAAGCACGTTGTGGTTATTGGCGGAGGTGATACTGGTACTGATTGCTTGGCTACATCTTTGCGTCACGGTATGTATGGCTGTTTGTCAGTTTGCATAATTCTCTCAATTGCTCATTTTCGCTTTATCCACCTCTAGGCGCTGCAAGCATTGTCAATTTTGAACTTCTTCCCCAACCCCCAGCAACGCGTGCCAAGGACAACCCATGGCCCACGTTCCCCCGTGTCTTCAAGGTTGACTATGGTCACGCTGAGGTCGCTGTTCACCACGGCAAGGATCCCCGTGAGTATTGCATCTTGACCAAAGAATTTGTGTCAGACGGCAAAGGTCACGTCAAGGGTATCAACACGGTTCGCGTTGAATGGACCAAGGACGAGAAGGGCGCATGGACGATGCGTGAAGTTCCAGGCACGGAGAAGTTCTTCCAAGCCGACATGGTTCTTCTCGCCATGGGATTCTTGGGGCCGGAGAAGGATGTCATGCAGCAGTTGGGTGTTACCCAGGACGCTAGGACCAACATTATCACCCCCAAGAACAGCTACGCGACCAACGTTCCAGGCGTATACGCTGCCGGTGATTGCCGACGAGGGCAGAGTTTAATTGTATGGGGTATCAATGAAGGACGACAAGCTGCGAGGGAAATCGATCTTTATCTAATGGGCAACACACGATTGCCGGTGCCGGGCGGTATCGAGCAACGTCCAGTGGAACTATTGGAGCGGGTTGCATTGGCTTGGGCATCTGATGGTCGGGGCGGCACGGCAGGTGTTGCGTAAACAAAAAGTATGGGAGAATTGGTTGCTTTTTAGTTAATCGGGTGGGGCGGTGGCAGGGGAATGTGCTCACAAGCTACCGCTTATGGTCTACCAGAGTCTCACAATCAAAACCCTTGAGGTCTCGTTGGGCGACGAGCCTAGGAGGGCGGAATGGAAGGTGACGGTGGACAGAGTGTGGTGGGTGGAGAGTGTGAGGTTTGAGCACGAGCAGGCACATGGATGAACATTCAAGCAGTATTGTGTTCGACATGTCAGCTACTACTTTTTTTTATTCTTATTCTCATTGTCTTTGACATGTTTTTTTTTGTTGCGTGCGTGTAAATTGCCCTTTGCTGAAGGGAGCATTTGTGAATACATTTTTAGTGTACATGATATCCTTTTCTTCTTTCATGGCTGGGATCTGCAAGATTGATACCACGTGCTTGATAAGTGTGCTGAGTGTGCGTGACATCAGCCGACGGTTCCTTCCTTCATCTCTGCCGCCAGTGTCCGCAAACGCTCTCAATAAACAAAATGCCCACATTTCAGATACGAAAGAGTGCAGAGAGGGGACATGCCAACCACGGGTGGTTGGATACCTATCATGTAGGTTTACTGTTTGCATCCAAACGATGCGCTATTTGACAGATACGAGTTAACGGAAGGGAAAACAGACATTTTCGTTCGCAAACTACCATGATACTAAATTTATGGGATTTGGTGCCTTGAGGGTGTTGAACGAAGATCGAGTTGCATCTGGCAAGTTACTTTTAATCCGATAGCCCATCAATGAATTTCCGTAAAATAACGGTGGACACCACAGAAAACGGCTTTGGTACACACCCCCACAAGGAATACGAAATCTTTTCCTACATTGTGTCTGGAGTACTTACTCACACGGATTCCCTCGGGCACATTGAACGTCTGACACGAGGGATGATACAGCATACATCTGCCGGAACCGGCGTAGCACATTCAGAAACCAACAATGACTCTGAGACTGTGCATTTTCTTCAAATTTGGTTGAAACCCGCTGTGCATGGTTTAAATCCCAGCTATGTCACTCGAACTTTTACGGATTCCGAAAAGCGGAATCGCCTATGTCCGGTTTTAAAACCAGATCCTTCATTAGGACTATCTGTGCCTGTTGAGCTGCAACTGGATAGCCTTGTACCAACTCATGCTGATGTGTACATGTTTGCTGGTATCCTTGATAAAGGTCACAAGGTTGTTTATCGGCCGGTTGGGAATAGTAGGAGGATGTATGTTCATGTTGTTATGGGGGGAGGGAGTTTGCGTGTGGGTGAGGTGGTACTTTTCGGAGGTGATGGGGTTTTTATTGAGGGTGTTGATGGTGGTGTGGAAGTGGAGGGGGTGAATGGAAGTGTTGAGTTTGTGGTTTTGGATTTGGATTGATGTGGGTGGGATTGTTGATGAGTTGGGGTTGGTTTTTGTATATGATGATATACAGTGTTGAGAACGTATTCTGTCACACTAGTTTGTTTCTTGTGGAGTTTTTTGAAATTTCACACTGATGGGTGGATGAAATGAGGTTCTTGCAAGTCATTAAACCTAGAGCAAATGACAAGTTTGCTTGCAACAACGGTATGTTTTTCTTCCATTCGTGACCGGCCAAATCAAGTGGAGGTAGCTTTGTACGATCTCCATACTATCAGGTTTTGCCAATCATAGCAACTACGGCCCCACGTACGCCAGATGTCCTCCTACACTGTCGGATAATCAATAGGCAAAGTACGAGATGTAGCGCACGAATACGAAACCGGATAAAAAGAACTTTTCTTGAAAAATGCAATGGAACGTTTTTGCATTCTAAAGAGATCCAATCATTGTATCGTCTGGCCAATGAATTCATTCTTTGTTCCTGTTTTTTACGATATCTTTTTCAGTTTTGCAAGTTTCTGAGACTAGCTAGACGCTGCAACTTCCAACCGCCCAGTCAGGGTCCCAAAGACAGCACCAACTTTTGATCAAAAAAAAAAACAAGTCGGGTCATCAAAACAATAATGCAGGGCAAGGTGCGTAAATCCACTCATTCCTACGATTGATCCATTGGTGGGAGCTATATGCTATCGACAATTGAGCAAGTTCCCGATTCACATTTCAATCTGCACAACCGGATTATCGCCGAAACTTTCATAGGTGTTGAAACCTGGAACAATGCCATTCCTCCAAGTAACTAACCACTTTTCCGGCATGATTTCCGCAGTAAATTTGACTGTGATTCGTATCTCTTGCGAGAGATTTAAATACAAAAATTGGTTGCCCGAGAGGCAAAAGCGAACGTCCGATCCCTGAAATGGTCTCGTCCAGGTTCGAACTGGAGACCTTCAGTGTGTTAGACTGATGTGATAACCAACTACACCACGAGACCATATAGAGGTTAGCGGCCATTTGATATCTGTACCTATTTTATTACCCCAATCGTTGGATTGCGTTGTAAGGCCTCTTAGCACATGCACTCGCCATAGGGCCATGTTCAACGCGATATGATTGAAGCCCATCGATGTGACCATTGCAGCCAATGATATTTGTAGTCTTGAGAGATGTTTCTTCTCTGACGAAGGCAGTTTGCGTGTATTGACGATAAAACGTGTTGGAGGGCGAGTGGACATTTCAAACTGGTCAAGTAGACGAGGCCACCTCACGCATAATTTTGAATCCAAGTTGACCAGTCGATGGTTCAAAGGGGACATCGGCACAACTAGAATGGTTAACAACCCACCGCATGAGGGCCTTTAGGATCCAGATGTGTCCCTGGCCAAGATACAATGTGGATACAAAACAGGTTAGGTGCTCAAGTACACCTTATTCCAGACCATCCGAATCATCTCAAGTGGAGGGTTTGGTTTTTATCTGAGGGCCAACAACGCTGACGACTCGACGAGAACCAAAGCGCCTATGGCCAGAGCAAGAGACCTGGTTTCAAACACGCTTCGGAAAGTGCAAAGCCATATCTCAAGTGTTGACTCCAAACATGTTTTATTGACTCTCATGTCAATACCCGCATTGCAAGGTGCGCTTGATATACACAAAAATTCAAGTGCCCTTACATCTAGGCAAAAACAAAGCAAGATTTATAAAGACTGAGAGGGTTCATCATATGTCTCGTTCTTCATTATCTTTCTACGGTTATTCGATCATCAATGCTGTGGACAGCTTGTTGTTCGTTGGTTGCTTTTAGACGAGCGTCATCACCTATACAGCATGCATGGACATGACCGGTTTCGGAACCATGTTTACTCATCTCTCTGTGTATTCGCTCTGCTGCACACGGCCTATGCAAGTGATTGTCGCCTTGTCAGTTGGAACTGAAAACTGGCTCCTCCACAGTTACCACATGGACGAAGCGAACCCAAAGGATCAAATGTCGTATTTTCGTCGTGCCCCAAATTCCTGTTTGGCGATGTCCCATACTCTGCAAGTCACCCTATAACCCTAACCAAGTCCGACCATAGCAATCCCAATCCCTCCCTCCTGTGACGTTGTTTGCCCAAAGCGGCACGGGGGGTTTTCGACTCGCTCTGCGCGCAAATGGCAATAAAAAAAGAAACAATTTTGTTTTTTGCTTCCAGAGCTTTCTAAAAACTACAACAGAAAGCCACGAATTACTTTGACCCAAAGCAGGCAAAAAATAAGAAAAAATGTTCCGTCCAAATGACAATTTGCTTGACTGTGCCGCATAAAATTAGCTTGACTCCTGTGTCTTGTTGTCATTGTTTCCCCTCTTCCCCTGGCTGTCCCTTTCTGTTTCTTTTACATCGTCCGCCGTTCGCCGCATCCGCACAGCAACCCGCCGCCGCCGCCGCCCCCGCCGCTTTGCGTTTGGCAACAGGAAAGAGCGTTTACGCCCGTAGACAAGGGCTTACGACAGCCAGAAGGAACAGGAGGAAGTAGGAATAAGCTTGTCCATCTAAGCCACCGCCGCGTCATTTGGGCAAGCGTTCTTCCCACGCTATAGGGGTTTTGACTTTCCTCATCGTCGTCGGTCCTTTGTCCCCGTTTCCCCCTTGGTAGGGGGAACACCTCGCGATAGAGACGGGCATACTTGCAGAAATACCTCGAGCAAAAAACACTCATTGCAAAAGCACACATTGCCAATGTCCGTGTACGGTCCGCTCCTCTCCCCAACCGGGACAGGGAGCAATATGCTGCCGTCCAACATGCTACTTCCCTCGCCGTCATCAAACTTGTTTGAACGGAGTATGAATGCTCTTGTGTCAAATTTCAAGGGCAGTGTTGGAGATTATGGCGATTTTGAGTCGTATGTGGGAACTACTGATGATGACCTTTTGGGTAAGTTGCAAGACGTTTGGTAACAGATGTGGTAACAGACGGCAACAGATTTAACATGACAATTGTGTTCAGGATTGATGAATCCTATGGGGAATGCGAATACCCGACAAGGCGGCTTGGGAATGGGGAATAGCACAGGCGGTCTTCCGCCATTGTCCCCCACAACCGAGTCTCTCTTTACCCTCGATCAGAACGCTTCCCTCCTCACCCCTGGCGGAACACTCCGCAATGACCTTCTCTACTCACAATCAGAGTTTGGAAACAGCTATCAACAGCAAGACTCATCCTACGGAGATCCGTCACTCATCTCCGAGGATGCCACCCAGTTCAAGAATCCCGCATTCGATTATATTGTCGGTTCTTTTCTAGACACAATCGAGTCCATGACTCCGTCAAGTTCGTTCAATCTGAATGGATTTGCCGACATCAAGCCATCAGAAAACATCGCGGCCGATGGCAAGCCAATTGATTATCATGACGATATGTTAATGTTGAATTTCGACGACGTAGCATCAAATCTTGCAATCAAGAATGAAGCTGGGTTGGCACAAGTTGTTGAAAATGGGTATCCGGGCCACGTGCAAGCCGGCTTACAGACTGACGTGATGGATGGAAATATTGGGGTGGGGCCGTTGGTACAACAAGTTGGGCAGCACAATTCATATGCAGAGAACATACCGGGAGGAAAGATGCACGAACCACCGCAGCAGCAATTCCACCCCTCGGGCAAACTGAACGCTAGCGGACACTCTACTGCATCGCCTAGAGTAAAACCTAGCCCATCAACGCTGCGCTCTTCCCCACACCGCCCGGCTCCGGGTTTCTCATCACATCTTTCTCCATCACGACAACCACCAGCTGCACGATCTCAATCGCCCTCACTTTCCGGTCGACCACCAGCCAACGCCCATTCATCTCCGTCTCGCGAAGCATCCCTACGGAATTTCACGCACCCATCACCTTACCAGCACCTTCCAACGCCAAGTGGCAGTCCTCATTATGTTCTTCCGAACGGACTGTCCCATCATCAGATGCCGTCTATGGTCCATCAACAGCAGCCTATGCCAACCATAAGACACGCATCACCAGCACCGTATCCACATCATCAACGGAGCCCATCTCACCACCCTGGATCACCACAGCCGTATCCGCAACACAGTTCGCTTTCGTCCTCGCACACCAACGCAAATCTTCAGCAGTCATCAGCCCAAAAACATGATCCACAGCAACCAATGCTCGCGAACCCACCCATCCTCCGTTCCCATGGCCCACCGCCCATGATGCAGATGGGCATGCCCGTCATGCAAATGGGAATGCCGATGCAAATGGGCATGGCAGTTCCCATGGTTCCGAGCATGGCAGTGTCTATGGTCCCCGGTATGCAAATGGCGGGCATGAACATGGTCCCCAATCAAATGGTGGGATACAATGCGTATCCTGGCATGCCTCAAATGTTCACTTGCACTGTCCCCGGGTGCGGCAAGGTCTTTAACAAGTACATTGCCCTAACTCAACACTTGGCCACCATTCACGGCGGTCACCCTGGCACCGCAAACCCGACAAAGGCCAAACCTTTCCGCTGCGAAATGTGTCCTCAAACCTTTAGCCGCTCTCACGACCTTAAACGACACTATTATATCCACACACAAGAAAAGCCATATCGATGTAAACGATGCGGTAAGGGCTTTAGTCGACGGGATGCCCTTCGACGACACGAGCGCAGTGTTGCAGAGGGCAAAAAGGTGCACTGCGCTACTGGTGGTGACGATGATGATGACGAAGAGGAGGAAGAGGGATGGGATGGAGAACACAAGAATGCAGCAGTACCGTCCGAGGTGAAGGCAGAGAAGCATTTGACGGATACTGGTAATTCGGCACCTGTGGGTGTTGGCGCGCATTGAATCCGCCGTCTGTCATTTTGCAAAAGAGATTAATTTTTGTTGAAATGGGCTGGATATACCACGTATTGCTAGATAATCTTTTTTTTATGACCGATAAGAGATTCGCATCTCACTTACAATAAATGATTTATTTTTTTTTGTCTATTTTGTATGTTGATGTCCGTCACTTATCGCTTGCAGCCATGTTGCAAGGATATCGAGCTGCAGGTTTGATGTTTTCTCCCATTGCATGTACATTTTTAAGCGACACGTGCGATGACAGATGCATGAACAGTAGGCCGTACAAGTGACTGTACGTATGATGGAGTATTCCTCTCATTTGCACGCATTGTTACAATGCAAATAAGGGCATTCAACAGCTCGCTATTTTCTCCGCACTCGGTTTACCACACACCAAGCCAAAAAGATGCATGACTATCGTTAATGGTCGTCACGGCTTCCAGATTAAAATGAACCAGCACAATTGGGATGGCAAAAAGACATGACAAAAAAACTGGAACCGATCAAAATGCACAGTTTACGATAAGATGACTGATCTTTGCGGCCAGGTGTAGGTGCTTACAAATTGTTTTTCTTTAAAGTAAACAACCTGTATGTGTATCGCTCATGAAGTTTACTAGATTGTCTATTTACATCCGGCGGGAGGTATTGCAAAGCATTGGGTCTGTATCTGTTTTTATTTCTTGTAGTTATTCCGCCCCGCTTCCTAGCTCCGAAAGTTACCGCCGGACTGGGAATTAATTTAAATTTACCATGGGTTCCAAAAGGGCGCGATATTATGGGGATTTGTGTGGCTGTGCGCGGTAAGCGGATTTATACGTTTCTTGACTTGATGACACATTGATTAAATAATACCCGCTGCCGCTCCGCCCTTCCAGCAACTGATTTTCCAATGCAAACATTATAAAAAGAGATGCTTCATTCCGCACATTCAACATTCCAACACAATCACATCTCCAACACATACAACACTCAACAATCACGAAACATGAAGTGCCTTCTTTTCGGTGCATCCCGAGGCTGCGGACTGGAAGCCGCTTTCGAACTCCTATCATCTGGGCACGACGTCACCCTCTTCCTCAGAAATGTTAACGTAATCGAATCTCACCCTCGCGTTCAATCTCTTCCCGTGGACCAACACTCACGATTGCACACAGTAAAGGGGGATGCCTTTGTAAAGGAGGACGTTGAGAGGGCTTTTGACAGTATTGGAAGCGATTTGGGGACTGTGTTATTCAGTATTGGCGGAAGGCCATCTTTTAAAAATCCTCTGGCTCTGAAATTGGAACCCCCTGAAGTATGCGAACGCGGGATTGGCGTGATGCTGCCTGTTCTAAAGGCATATGGGGAAAAGCATGGAGTGGAGCCACGGTTGATTGTGGTATCCTCTAGCGGTCTGGGAACCGTGGGTCATGCGGAGTTGCCCTTGATTATGAAGGTGTGTTACCAGACTTTTCACAAAAGGCATTGTCCAAAACATGGCTCTAATCTTGGTTCCATATTGTTTAGCCAATGTATTCCTGGCTGTTAAAGGAACCCCATGCCGATAAGGAGAAACTGGAAGCACACATTTACCATTCAGCGGGCCTCAGACATCCGGACGCAACCATCGATCAGAGTACTCAGACCTCTCTTCACACTCGGTCCCTTCCAGAAAACGGATGGCTCAAGGAATTTGTTATTGTTCGACCGGCTTTCTTGACGGATGGACCTTGTACCGGAACCTATCGTGCAGATGAGCATTTGAAGACCTATACCATTAGTAGGGCGGACATTGGGCATTTTATCGGCAATGAGTGCGTGGGTGAGGTCTGTAAATGGGTGAATAAAGCTGTGACAGTTGGGTATTGAATGGTTATCAGTTTTTACGATTCATTCTGTTCCGATTTACCACATTCATTTGTTCAATATCACATATAACATGATAGCCTGTTCCTTATCATACAACATTATAACATTCATGCTTCCTTCCGATCCAACTTTCAACGGATGCACCAAACCCTAAGAATAGCCGTACCCCAGTAACTTGGTTTGTTCCATAAACCACGGCATTGAGTTTTATTTATGTAAGCACAATGGGTGAGTCAATGTTTGGGTGTGTCTTTCGACCATTTAAACGGCCAGAAAGCCGAGTTCTTCCTCCAAAAGACCAATGGTTAAGAAATGCTCTTCATTATTATCTTTTGGTGGTTTGGATGGACGGCGGCTGCGAGCGCCGAAACGGCTTGCCGAACCTTCAATGGAAGCTTTGTAAGCACAGTTTTGTAATCTCATTTATGGATCCGTATTAAATGTCTGCCAAACTCTTTTAGAACAACCAGAGGTTCCCAGACTGGGGCTCGAAAAGTTCCTCATTTGCCCGGATACAAGCACCCCTGCAGTACTCTGATGGACTTGCTGCACCCTACGGGATGTCTCTCCCAAGCCCACGCAAAATCTCAAACATTATGGGATCCAAGACGAAGGCTAATGAGGATAAAGTTCCAGATATGTTAGCCTATTTCGGGCAGTTCCTCGCTCATGATAGCTTACGTGGACATGGTAACAACACTGATCGATATGATATACCGGTGAGTTGCTTTGGCTAGTTCCTGACGATAAATGACATCCAAGGTTGTCATCAAGGACTCATTCCCACGTCGCATTGCTTGACTGTAGGTGCCTTGCAATGATCCACACTTTGATCCCTACAATACCTGCAACGCATCCATACCCTTTGGACGTCTACAGCACATTGTAAATTCAACAACTGGTCAACGCATCGTGCAGAACTGGCAAACAGCCTGGATAGATGCTTCCCAAGTTTATGGGCCAGATGAAGAGCGTTGTAGGTTGTTGCGCAAGTTTACAAGGGGAATGCTACGAACTTCGTTGGATGGGTTGTTCTTGCCTACTGTTCCTGTATCACCGCCGGATCTGATGTTGGGGATATCGCCTCTGGTCTATCTGGCAGGGTACGTGAGCCATCACATCCATATGCAGGTCTATTAAATCATAAGCTTAATCATAAAGCAGTGATTACAGAGCCAACGACGTATGTATTATAATAAATCTGGACCAATCCGACCTATTGTACCAACTTTTTACGATCTGCTAGAACCCTGGCCTTCTTTCTCTCCATACCCTCTTCGTGCGCGAACATAACCGACGGGCAGCGTACTATGCAAAAAAGAATCCAGATGCCAATGACGAGACACTTTTTCAAATGACACGAAGGTGGGTTATTGCTTGTCTTCAAAAGATTGCTTACAAAGAGGTTCGTTGAACTCCAATCGTACTTTTTTCGTCTTTGTTTGCGACCCAAAATCTGATGGCCCAAGGTGGATTCTTTAGTATCTTCCGCGCTTACTTGGCGAACCGCTGCCAAAATACCGCGGATATGATGATAGTGTTGACCCAGGTATTTTTTATGATTCATGCAGACAGTTTTGCATATGTAAAGATTGGTTATTGATGGGCTTTTAGGCATTGACGCGTTCTTCTTCGCCGCGTCCTTTCGATATGGGCATAGGTACCTACGCGAATGTTTTTGTTCATCACATCACCGTCGCTGACAACACGGCATCTTTCTAGCGCTATAAACTCCCTTATTCTCCGGCTCGACAACAACTGGGAGGAGATCCCCTCCGGTCACATCCTTCTACGAGAAGCCATCACCAACCCTAATCCAGTCTTGGAGGATGGCATTGAGCCCATTTTGCGTGGACTGGTCGCGCAGGTACATTGTAATGCCGTTTTCATTGATTTGAGATTGTGATAACCTGAAGTCTTGAGTTAGCTGGAGCAAAAAACAGATGTCTGCGTGGTTAGCGACCTTCGAAATTACATGCCTTTACAGCCTTTCATGCCTGATCAGAGGAAATTCTTCGATCTCGGGGCAGTTAATATACAACGTGGGCGGTAAGTCTTATGAATACTAGGTTCGAAGCGTTTGACCTGCCAGTCGGGCTGATAGTTGTGCTCAGGGAAATTGGATTGCCTAGCTACAATCAAGTGCGAAAAGCATTGGGTTTAACAGAAGCCTACACGTCTGTATCCGGTTTTGTCTAGTTGTACGCTACCAGAGATGTCATAACTAAAATCATTCCCTGGCAGAATAGGTTCCGGGATATTACTTCAAATCCAGTAGTCCAAGAGCAACTGGTTACAGCTTACGACAATGACGTGAATTTGGTGGATCCATATGTCGGCGGCCTAGCCGAAGATAGTCACGACTCCTCTGTTCTCGGTGAACTCTTTCAGAAGAGCGTGATAGAACAATATATCAGACTACGAGGTACAGACTATGTTTGACCATTCCCGGGGCGGCTGACATACTGAGCATTTATTTATAAAAGACGGTGATGCATTTTGGTACGAGCGCGATGGAATTCTTAGCGCGGACGACATTGCGGACCTCGAGTCCGTCACTTTATCGAATTTAATTTTGTGGAATACCGATATAAAGAGTTTTCCCGTTAATGCCTTCTCCATCGTGACGACCAATATGATCAGTTCGTTTCTTGCCAAGAATACAAGTACCCAAACAGAAGCTCGGGGAACGATCACGGGTTCTATTCCACAGACAGTTCAGTTGACGGATGGACTGGCATTAACGTATTTGATACACATCGACGCGCAAACGGTGGATTTTGTTTTGGAATCGAATCATAGTGGCTGGTATGATTTCGTTGTTAGATCTATCTCGCATCATCATTGTTGAAATTGAGTATCTCCAGGTTTGCAATCGGATTGGGAACGTCCATGATGGATGCGGATATAATGGCAGTATTTGATCGAGGCGACGGGACCTGGGTTGTCGAGGATTTACGGAGTACCATTCACGATCAGGTTTGTCTCAAAAGTCTTCTCTGTCCTGTTGGGTAAGATACAAGTTGCATGACCCCGTGAAATAGCCCTCATTAGATACGTCTCGTGGCTGTACCAACGACTTGACGCAAGTAGCCGACGTATCATCCACACGCTTTTCTACCCGTGCTTTCTCGTGGACACGTAAACTTGTTACTGGAGATTCCTGTGATTACCCTATTTCAGATAGTTTCATGAATATCATCTACGCATATTCGACGTCCCCGACGTTAACATACCATGGTGGAACAAAATGGAGTGGAACGTTGAACTTTTTCTCCGGAGTTGGGACGGGACGAACAGGAGGTTTGATCAACACGACAAGCACGGCGTCGACTTTTGCTGTTTTGTGAGTGATGACTCTATTCTGTTTCGTTCGAAGAATCTAGTCTGATGAGCCTCTGCTATAGGTTTCATGCCTGTGACATGTTATTCATGACGATGGTAGCCATCCCGTTGGGCATATATATTGCGCGATATGGAACCCGGATTGATTTATGGCTTCCGCTTCACCAGTATCTGATGGTAAGTCAAATTGGACGTTGAAAGGAAAGGTTATTCTAATTTTTGGTTCCTAGGCGGCCGTTCTTAGTGAATTTGCATTCACACTTCGGGCAGCTTTCTCCCAAGTCGGAGGATTCAATGTAAGCAACTTACTTCCCACCAACGACCACGCATTCCACCCAAACTGACAACGATTTTCGCACCCGACAGTGGCAACATGCACCGTTTCTGCACGTCGAAGTCGGGCAATGCGTTGCGGGTGTCGGACTGACGATCGGTGTAGCCGGATGGTTGGTCGCGCAAGACTTTAAGATCATGTCAAGGTGGTCGTTGTGGATTCGACGATATCATCGTTACTGTGGGTTAGCACTATACCTTTGTGGTAAGCTCTTGAAACAAACTGCGATTTTTCCTTGGAATCTTACTGGATATAGTGATTTTCAAGCTATCTTCAACGGATGGTTGGGTATTGCCGATCTAGGTCCGTTTCTTGAATTTTTTTCACTCAGGCGATGCGGAACTTGCCACTAACTGTCTACCACACAGCTGCCCGTTACAATTCTACAAGTAATCTGTGGCCCATGCTTTACATTGGATACTTTGGCCTCCTTTTCCTGATCTTCTTCGGGGTCCGACAAGTCGATCACATCTGGCATCGGATCCTTCGAGGTATTGACACGCTGAGCGGCAAAGTGCTTGAAAGAAATGTCCCCCATGGTGGAGCAGGGGCAACAGTCCGATTCATGGATGATGCCCTCATAAAACAACCAGAGCAAGAGATGACATTAGAGAGTTTTATTAAGAATTGTCAGGAAGGGCAGTCCTGGACAATCATTTCAGGGTATGCAATTCTTCCCCGTGAATGTTGAGGACGGGTCTAACCTGCACTTTAGGATGGTCATCGATGTCAGTCGCTACATGGACCAACACCCTGGAGGCGTAGCAGCGTTAAGATCTGTCATTGGCAAGGATGCAACGAATGTCTTCCAGGGCAAAGAAAAATTCAAATTGAGTGACGGAGTGCACTATAGCATGTACACGCATAGTCGTTTCGTATGTAACCTTTTTCTCTTTGCCATCCGTACGTTTTCGCACCGTACTGTATTCTCACTTGTTTGATAGGCAATGAACAAAGTAAGCCACTACGTGATTGCCAAAATATACGACCCAAATTTCCCGCAATCCAGAGCGTCTGGCGTACCATCCGGAAAAAGCTCACATTCGATAACTATCAGTAGTGCCTCTCGTCGCCGGGGATCGCTGCGGCCAAGGGATGTAGAGTTCGGACTTCACTCAATAACCTCTACTGGTTCACATTCTGCATCTACCTCTGGCTTGCGCGCCGCATCTACCTCGTTCTCTGTGTCTGCTGCTGGTACTGGCCCATACCCTTCACCTTTGCCGCTGAACGTGGGCTGGAGACCCCTTACCCAAGTCTTCAACCAAGACGAGAAAACAAGCCAAGCAGAAACAACGACTCACATCATGAAGACTGCGCTTCTGGAGGCCGAAAATAATACACAATTGGAAGGTATACTGTCTCAAGGTAATTTTTGACCTATACGTCCGCCATTTTTCAAAGATTTGATTCTGACAAGCTCTCAATGCTAACACCCCCAGAGGACGAACCAGTTGGGAAACAAAGACTTGCTATCTTGGTCGAGAAAGAAACAGTGACAGGATTAAGAGCAAGAAATCCGATTCGAAAATTCAGATTTAGTCTTAATGCTGGAGACAGGATGGACATTTTACCCGGGGATGCAATATCCGTGAGGTCAGTAAGATGTCAAAGGCTTTACGCCCATGTTCCGAAGCCAACCGTACATCCTTAGTCTGCCGACTCCGGCGGGTGGGACTGTTGAGCGGAACTATACACCGGTGCGATGTGCCTTACCGGGTCACTTTGACGCTTATATCAAGGCAAGCACTATATTGTGTGAAAGGAACGTTCGATCAGGTGTTTGACTACCTTCTCCATTCTACCAGATATATACCAATGGTGCTATGACGCCGCTATTGGATGAGTTGAAAGTTGGTATGTATCAAAATTCTTTGGTTGCAACTGCACCGTCATTCATGTTGCTCTGTAGCCGCACCTATCAAGATTCGCGGCCCGATACAGCATTACGTCGACCCGCTGCTTAAAAACTCCGCGAGCGGATGTTACGGGTCTCTGGTTATGCTTGCAGCTGGCACTGGTACAGTAACACTGGTAGTCATTGTACTTCTCATTGTTCCTTACATGCACCACTTTAAGGAATTGTACCTATGGTCCAGCTCATCGATTATTACCTTCGCCATTGCCCACGAGAAAACAGCCAGCCCGGTAGCCCACTCGCATCCGCTTTGAGGTTAATATGGTGTAACAACTGCGAGGATGATCTCTTTCTCACCTCCGAACTCAAGTCTATGGAATCGGCAAGCGGGGGATCGCTAAAAGTCATCCGCGTCCTATCTGCCCCAGCACCAGATTGGGAAGGTCATACTGGACGGATTACCGCTGAGATGATAAGAGAAGCCCTTCCCAAGACGTTGCCAACGCTGGAATCATTGTTCGACCAGGATGAAGAGTCGGACTTGTTGGTCACTGTATGTGGGCCGCCTCCTTTTACAGACTTTGCTATCCAAACACTGGAATCTTTGGGGGTGTTGGCGGTGAATGTTCGGTTGCTATAAATAAGGAACCAAGACTTGTGCTATGTTATCTCCTAGAATATAGAAGAGTTCCGGCTTTGGTAGAACAAGTCGTTCAGTGTGACAAGCGATTAGAACTATTGCCTCCTTTAATGATATATAGAGTTTGATTTGTAAAATGTGGAATCAAAGAGGCATCTAGAAAACATCTAGCTCATCTGTCCCGATCTAATCCGCGAACAAGTTTACAACTGACATCATCATGCGGGTCTAAAGCGACTGGCCACTGCCAGTAGCGCCTGTTTGGGACTCACAAACAAGGCGGTTGCCTCGACAAAAGTCGTTTGACCATCTAACGACTCTATCTTTGCTTCCCCATATGCCTTTCTTCCGTCTAATTTGTTGAGTTTCGACCGCAGAACAATGAATTGATTCACTTCGACTGGCTTTCGATAATTCAAAGTGAGGTTTGCAGTGAAGCCCGTTTGATAAGGTAGAGATGGAATAGTCTATGGATAAAAAGATGGATAATGATATTAATGAGCGCACTCCCAAACCAGCAACCACCATGACGAAACATACCGATCTTGCAATCATTTCATCCATGAGGGTTGCCAGCACACCCCCGTGCACTATCTTATCATGTCCTGAAAGTCTTTCGCCAACGTGCAACACAGCAACACATTCAGTCATGTCCTTGTTGTGAAACAATGCTGGCCGGAGAGCAAACTGTCAAATACCATGAGATCACGCGTCAAACACCACCCATCGCACTATTCCAAAATGAGACCCACCTTGCCCTTGCCTCTCAGAGTTCCGGCGGTAAAATTCCTATGCAACCGTCCCCCACTTAAATAACTGTACGGATCCACCTCCTTCCACTGAGGATCTTGCCTCATTTCTTTGACAAGATCATGCCCATCTCGTTCCGCCTGCAACAAAGCCGCGTAAGCAAGCTCATCGTCATCGGATGCTGTGCTGAGTGGGTCCGTAGAAGGTGTGAAGAGCTGGTAGGTTACGAAAGAACTTGCTGCTGCAGCGCCAAGTGTCGAGGAGAGGAAGAGCAGGGAAGAGCGACGAGGAGGTGTTGTAGAATAGAGACGTCGGGAGGGAACCCGATAAATTGGCGGTCTGCGAACTGTACACGCGAGGAAGAATGGTTTTGAAGCCATGATGAGGAGATGAAGCCTGCGAAGGAGACAAAGATGGGGGAACTTGTGCAGATGCTCGGCAATTGTTGATCCCGCCACGATCGATGTGGGGTCACATGATTAATCATGTCATCAACAATTGTAAAGGTGGCCTTTGACAAAGCGGTCTAGTTATCAAGGCTTTAGCGATAGCCGCCTGTTTATGCCCAATACACCACCCAATATCTGCTATTTACAAATATATATAAGTACAAAATATATGATCAGATATTCATACAGTTCCCTCTCCAACAGGTGGTCCAGGAGCGTTGCTGGGCGACGTTGAGCGGAGCTGATCCGACTTTGGCTGTCCAGCCACAAGATCAGATGCGGATTGAAGATTCTCCAAAGTCGTGTCCGACGAGGCTTCATCAATTTCAGATCCGAGATCTCCAGCTTGTGCCATGCCCACAATGGAACTTAACGGTGTGGTAAAAGCACCTAGAACAAATGCATACACCGCTTTGAAAATCTGTGGACCCGGCCAGCCGCTAACTTGGTCGCCGGATGCCAGGCCCGTCCACGTCGCACATGCAAGCCCAATGCCGATCCCCCAAAAAATCGGCAGTACACAAATGGAGACAACAAAGCCTCGCACTGCTGCGTTTCCTAATCGACGCATCCTCTCTGTAAAGGGCAGACCCGCGGCAAATATGTCAAGAGAGCTGGCACACAGCCATCCTAGAAAACCTCTTCGCGGCAACGTCCATTTTGATGACGTGTCCTCGTTGTGACTTGTTATGATAGGTTGGGTTACTCCCTTCCGTACGTCATTGTGAACCAGACCACCGTCAATGATCCATGTAAGAGTTACTTGTATGAGTACTGTCACCGCGGCGTCACCCGCAATCGTATTTGGCAGTTTCCACAGGTAGGTTGGCTGGTCCCGATACATGAAGTATGCGATAACAAAGTTGATACCAGCGTCTAGAATACCGGCACCAAGAGAGTGCATTAGCAGGAGGTACAGTACTTGGCGAGTAGTGAGCGGCGGTAAAAGCGCTCGCATTTCGAACTTTTTGATTGCCATTTCTGACTGCCAGCATGACGAACGTTAACGCTTTGCCTCATCGGCAAAAGGGAGCGATGCGTAAGCAATCCCGTGACTGATGGCTTAGCTGACTGTGTTGGTCATCCACTGTTCCATTCGTTGCTCGCCGCCCATCTCTCGCGGACTAGAGGGACTTATACCGACATTGGTCAGGAAGAAAGTGATAGAAATAGCGTGAAACCTGTTGAAAACGTACAGAGCTGGCATATAACAAGGCCAATGGTGGAATTTGGTTGAGTCTATGTAATGGACTGGCTGAAAAAGACGGCGGGTCGAATTAAGCACCCCCAGCCACATCAAGATCGTCCCACGCTCAGTATACCCTCGACAGTAGAAGTAGGACGATTCGAAGTATCACAGACTGCAGTTGGCTGCTGTGCTTTGGGTGGACGGCACGATGGCACTTTTGGAGATGATGATGAGGGGTGGAGGATGCGGAGATTGTGGAAGTCGTATGACAAGCATAGAAAGCGAAAGGACATACACGGAGATCCCGAGTCACCTGAGAAATGTGCAGAGCTTGGTGGATTGGATGCTGCTGCCTCCGAGGCTACTCCTGAAAATGATCTCCTAACAAGCTACTTGCGAGCCTTTGGCGCGCGCTTTGGGCCGCTGACAGAAATAGATGAGATACGGAATATGAGAAAGATGTTTTCAGAGAGCCACATGAAGCACGGTTTGGACCCCAAGCAGTCTACTGGATTCCCTTTCAGCCGACATTCTGCGACAGCGTCTGGCCCTCCTTCCCAGGTCACATCTCCACTGGCCCCACCAGCGCTTGGACATCCTCACGTAGCTGTCTTGGGTATGATTGAAGTCTTGGAGCATCTCGCAGCTGAACACCATGCAAAATTGGTTGCTCGTCCTGCGAATTATGAAAACCTCTTGTCGCGAACGTTGCATATTTTTCAACACATGGAGCTCTTATCGCGTTTTGATGGTAACCGGGATGCCATGGTGCAACATGGGGCGATCAACAGCATCGCACTTATTTTAACGCTTAGCGTCCATGTAAATAATGCAAATCAAGATAGACACGATCGTATCCACGAGGCTACTGAGTCGACGACGACTATTCATTACTTATCACTGGCCCTGATGATTATACAAAGATGCTCCGACCCAGAAGCCGCATGGGAGCGGTTTATTCGCAATGGCGGTAGGGAGCGAGCGAACGAGGACACTAGTCATCCACCACGAAGGGGACGGGCAAGCGCGGCTTTCTCCGAGCCCACCACACGGCATATATTGGACGCGTTATTTGTCCTTTTGACTGAGGGAAGCCATAAGTTAAATATCAATCGTCTGATCTTGATAGTCCATGCCATAAATGCTTTGGGCTGCCTGTTGGTAACTCAAGGTTCCACGGTGTTGGCTATTTTGACTGAAGCATCGCACAAACTGGAGGTCCTTTGCAACATAGTGGGCGATCTGGCCTACGATAATAGAACTTTTAGCGTTCAAAGTAGCTCCGATACATATGATGAGAACGTTAATGCGTTGCGCTACCGTTTCATTGGTCGGATACTCGCATGGTACTTGGTGGAGCTCCTCTCAGCGAACGATCCCCGTTGCCGGGAACACATGAAAGCGCTAAACTGGCCCCAGAAAGTAGCGAGTTTCCTTGTGTGGACGGCAGCCGTTACTCCTCGTTGTCCGCAGCTGAATGACAGCGTCGATGGGAACACAGAGAGGTATTATAGCTTTTTTCCGGAAACTCGTCACCGTACAGCAGATACAGGAGTTGAAGGGATCGGGGGAATGCCATGTCCATTATGGCCTGTACCGGCCTTGGAACGTTCACCGGACGATTGGGATACAATGTGGCCAAGTGGATCGGCGTCGATGAATTTGGATTTTATCATGTCGCAACCACTTGGCACTGAGGAGGTGGAACTCGTCTTCCTTCTGGAAGAGATGTTTTGTCTTCATGACTGTCATAACAGCTGGAGTACAGAATATGTTCCGCGGGCATCAGCGGCAAGATCTAGCGGTTTTGGTGATAGATCTGCTTCAAGCATTTACCAGCAAGTCGACGAAGAAAGCATTTCGGCGGCCCTTAACGGCGCGTTGAAAATGATGTACGATGTTTTCGCCGACGATGGAATCGCCCACCAGGAAGATAATTGTTCCCGGCGAATTGCTCTTGGGTACGCTGAGGATCACTTCCCGCGTTTGCAACTGGGCTTTATCAAGCTTCTTGCTGGCTTGATCATATACGACAAAGACGCAGCCGTCACGAAGGCTCGGATAAGTTGGTTGTTGAAATGGATGGATGACCTAAATGTATGGGAATTGCTTCTAGGTCCTCGATTCTACATGTGGGGAACCGCCTATGCCGGCGAGCGAGCCATCCGTGCTCGGCAGGCGATGAGAACGAGTATCTTGACTCTCATTGTCTACTGTGGCACGTTGGCTGAAGACAGCAACGATCGACCATGTCGTGCCTTGCTGTCCTTGTTGAGTAAGCACCAAGTGGAGTACCCTGAGATAATCCGTGACACATGCGGTGCACTTTGCTTGATTATACGAGCAAGGCCGGTCACCCAAGAGACGTTTCGCCGTTTGAATGCTTTTGAAACGCTCCTTCCCGTTCTTACATTTTGCACATCAGAGAGCGTTACCGATGTGTCTTACCGTTTTCCCATATTTGCCTTATTCAAGTCCGTATTGGCCAACAACAAAGAGATGTCAATATATGCATTTCTGAACCGTCCGATTCTCAATTGTTTCTTCACCCTTCTGGGGTCATCCCACATTCCCACGTCTTGCTTTGCTCAACGCCGCATTTTTGACATTGTAACTGTCTTGGCGACGGATTATCCCACCTATGGTCGATGGGGCATTATCGTTCAACCCTCACTGACACCTACGACTCCAATGACACCAGCCACCCCGGACCAAGAGACGACTCCAGAAGTCATGCGAAGATATCTTGAATGCTTTCCTGGTTTGATAGATCAGCAGGACAAGCTGGATTTGCAACTTCGATTATTGAGAGGCATACGAGATTTTGTGGGGGAAACTGCTGAAGATATCAGTATGGCGCTCAAACATGCACTCATCAAAGCAAAAGTCTTTCAGTTTCTCATGAGTGTCCTGAGTGTCAAAGTTCATCTTGAGAGTAGCCATGATAATGGCGGGACATCTTTGAACCGTGAATATCACGAATTAGTCGAAATGGTCATTTTCACCGTTGCAACGTTGATTCGCGACGATGAAATGGCGAAGAAGTCGTTCCGGGAACTGCATGGATACGACGAGATTCGAACCCGGATTTGCCTGAAAGGCGGATGGCAATGTTGGCCAGGGCTGTTAAATTCCCTTTTCTTTCTCCTCGCCGATGGTAGAGACGCTCCTTACCGTGTGCGAAACCTTGATGTGGTCGACGCCTTGTTCCAGTTCTACGAGCATTGCAATCAACAACTTCGTGGGCAAATGATCTGCGACCTTGATCGAATTGCCGCTGCACATGAACCTAGTAAGGCGGCTTTACATTGTGCAGGCATTGTAAACAAGATTTTGAGAACCGTCTTACCTCTGGCCACCGATGAAGAGCATCTGCAACAAGTAATGCAGCTGCTCAAGACAGTTGCAACCTACTCATTGACAGTAGCTGAAGTGAAGCTTCTGCTCAAATGTTTGCGTCGGCGAGATCTTTCCAGCGACCGTTTAGTGAGCTCAATCACGTCCTATCCCTGGTCATCACTGGCATGGTCCGAACAAAGACATTCTAGTGTGTTGGACTTACGTGATACCGAAACAGAGCTTCCTTTTTGGTATGATGCGTTGGTGCGGACCGTAGTCGAAATTGCTCGACGGCAAGCTGGAGACCTGGATCTCTTTTGCTTCGACGGTACAGGGGGCATGATCGCGAAGGGACTTGACAAATGGCCAGTATCCGCGGGAGGCTGGAGTTTTATGACATGGATTTGGATTGATGCAGAAGAAGGTGGAGGCGATCCCACGAAAGAAGAATCCACCGTATTTGCATTACGAACTTCCACTGGCGACAACGGACTGGATATTTCACTCCTCCGGGACGTCTTGACAGTCAGAGTGACGAAGGCCCATCGACCCCATGTTGCGTCGGTCACCAACTACCCCGTTGCTCCCAATCAGTGGCACTCTGTTGTCATTTCACATGGAAGCCCTAAACTACCATGGGCCACCTCTTCCGAAGCATTAGTGTACATCGATGGGGTGATCAGATGGAGGGGAAAACTTGAATATCCTGATGTCGCGACGTACAGCATTGCGCGCGTTGGTGCATCAGCTCCAGTGACGGGACTCACCCAAAGCAATACTTCGTTAACTTTTTATGCAAACTCATTTACGGGACAGATGACCTCCATATACCTCTTGGATGACATCCTTAGCCACCATCAGGCAACATCGGTTCATCAGCTGGGGCCATCTCAAGCTTCTCGCCTTGGAAAAGGAAGCAATGCACGCTCTTCCGGCGCCGAACTTGAAACCGTAGACGCTGATAGAGTCGTCATGCAGTTTCATCCGATGGCTACCAGAATATTGAATGTGAAAGACAAGCATTTTTATTCATCTAAAAAGCGAAGAAAGCACTCCGAAATTCCGCAAGGCAAGGAGAAAATGGCTGGCATAGTCACGTCAGCTACAAAGTGTTTTTGCACCGCTGTACATGCCCTTGGTGGGATCGGAATTCTGATTCCAATCCTTGCCCAAGTTGATTTGAAAGCGGGATATTCTGGTACCGCACAGAGCGGCACTCAAGTATCGTACAACGTCAAGGACGAGAATGCTATCAAAATAAGCCGGACCAAGCTCTTCTTCGATCTATTAGCGACGGTGATATCCGGCGACCCCGTCCATCAGGATAGGCTTGCGGCTATGTCCGGTCCAAAAGTGATGTCGAGCTTACTACAGCAAAACAATCCTGCAGGATTAGGGCTGGAAGTTTTAGACGCTCTTGTTAACGTAACACAGGTGAGTTATCTTCGAATATCTCCAAGATATCATCAAGGCCACGATCAATAAATGATTAGCGTGAATCCGTATAGGAGTCGTGTTTCCATCTCGCGCTTTTCAGTGATATGGAGAAGTACCTAATATTCGACTCGCGTATATGGACGCATGCTGCAGAAGAAGTTCAAATAGAATATTACCAATCTGTTCATCAACTTCTCGCGAGGGATATTGAAAGATACCGGGATCGCTATGGCGCAGGATTCTGGGTCGACGTTTTGGAAAAGTTCTATCGGTACACGGGCCCTAACATGTCAGAACTAACACAGCCACTGCAGTCTCATCGGGGCTCCCGCGAATCAACTGCACTACTGCGACGCTTTATTTTTGGGATTATAAAGGAGTTCCTGTTAAAGTCACCGTCTGCAGATGACGTCGGACGAATCGTTCAGGTACTTTCGTGCTCAGATGATAATGTACATATCGCGGAACTGTTATCTGTAGTGGTCGAGATCAGCGTCCATCACCCGGAAAGCAGGCTTGCAGAACGATTTTTGAGTCACGGTGGCGGCGAATCCTTGTTCTTACTGTCGCTCAATAATACCCTGGAGCGCACGAGAGTTTTGGCTTTGCAGATGATGTTGATAATCCTCAAGTCCCACAGCACCAGCGACAAATGGAAGAAGCGAATAAAATTGGAGGAAGTTGGATGGCTGGGTAGCACTGTGGCAGTGGGGAACACGGGTGGGTCAGGTCCAGGTGTCCTCGCCAGGATTCTTGTCTACCATTCCTTTACCGCACCCATCTATTATGCATTCCTGCAGTTGGCGCTTGAAGAGCAAGTTTTAGATTGGGAAACGCAAGAGGTTCTTGTGGCCCCTGTCGAGCTACGCAATGCTAAAATCAAGAACGTAGGATATATCCAAACTCTATTGGAGCTCGCTGCTGGCTCAGGCACGACAATCAAGTTGAGAATCGAAGTGCTACGAGACATCTTAGTTCTCGGATGCCGCAATGGAAATGGAGAAAGTATACGAAAGATAGCGAGGTGGCAGTCACTCTTGATGGCTATATTCGATGGGCGTAGTATGAGAAAAGAAAGCCGGGTGACCCAGGTGCAAGAGCAAGGAGGTCGACACATTCACTTGGAGAATCCGAGCCACCGGAAATATCAAACCCATCCGCGCAAGCTGATGAAACACGATTATCCAACTTGGGTTTCGAGACTCTGACCACATTTACCCTAGATACATTTGACTTGGAGCGTAAATCATGGCGGTGTGTGGAGGAGATTGCGATATCTGCGTGGCTGACAAAACGCGAAGACGAAGCATATACCTTCTTGAGGACATTTTTGTTACGGTTACTTTCGGCGGTCAAAGGTGAGATCGGCGGAGGCGATTGGAGAAATTTCTCAGGTGCTAAAATGGTATGAGATAACTTGTTTGACCAAGGGTCCTTACAGTATGCTGATGTGAACGTTCCTGTTGCAGGAGAATATTGCACACTTACTCCTATTTGTCGAGGAGTTTATGTTTAATCACCATGATCTGCGTGATGCTTTGATGCGGGATCTGCATACCGAAGGTGCGTTCTAAGGCACATACTTGCAAAGTGATGCCAAGGTGAAGAGACTTCCCTAAATTTTCCTATCGATTCATGACGTTTAGACCCAAAACGACTGTTCTTTATACCTAACCTGCAAGAACTCCTGTCAGCCGGCCCACCTAGTGCCGCAACGGGTGACTTGACTGTCCGAATGTCTTTCCCATTAGGCGAATGTCGCGACCTCGTCGAAGAGTATCTGGAAGTGCTTTCCTCTTTGATCGACTTTGGCATCACCCACGTCCATTTGACAGATGGAGCCGAAAAGGTGTCAAAGAGTGCGTTGCGCTTTGCTGGCTCTTCTTAGACTGATAGCCCATACTACCTTTTTTGCAGAGCCACCTTCGGTCGGGGGGTTTAGTACGACTAGCCATCAGAATATTGCTGAGTGCTTTCACGGTCCCTGACGAAAGCATATGGCATATGGCATTGCGACATCTCATTCCGTTATTGGACAAACATGCAATGACCTTCTCAGAGGGGAAGGTCAAAGAAAGAGGCTTTTATGTTTTGGGACATGTGCATGAGATATTTGTAGTGTAAGTAGCACGCATATCGACGTGTATGTCTCACGCCTAATGCTTTCCCATGAGCAGTGCACAGCGGTCCCGCGATCTCGATGGTGAAGTCGCGAAGGTCGATCATCGAATTGTCCTGCCGCTTTATATGCTGGTTATGACACGATGGCGAGAAGCTGTGGCTAGCCTTGTAGAGGCCAGTGAGGCCGCCGGTGATGCGGCGCTTATATCGGAGACGCTGCTCAATGAGGCCTTGGCAGATCAACAGATTTTCAACCACCTGGTGACATCCCCAGTTTGGGATAGCGTATATGACACCAGTCTGTTCCCGGCCATGAAAATGGTCGAGGAAGACGAATTCGCCATGGTTCCTCTTGTGACTAGGCGGTTTTCACGGATGTCTAGGTCCACGTGTACTCGGTGGGCCAAAGAAGAGGCAGCCTTAGAGCGCGCAAAGGAGTTCATATGCGGCATTCTGGAACGGGTGGCTAGAAAAAGACGGGGGGATGAGAACCAGAGAAGCGTCGACTGTGAAAAGGAAGAAGAACTAGAGAAAAGGATGGTGGGTAGACAACTCTGTCTATTGTGGCGAACCTTGACGCAAGAAAGGGGAATGTGGGCGCCAGTGGAGGATGGAAATAATGGGAGCAAGAGTAGCGTAAAGTGGAAGCTGGACAGGGCGGAGAACTATCTGAGGATGCGCCGGCGGTTGACTCCAAACTGGGAATTCGATGATCATGTGAATGCATCAGCCAAAAGGGACAAGACATTCAAGCCAGACGATAGTGTTCCTCGTGGGGAGAGCCCAAGGCTGTCACGAGCTAGCACGTTCAGCAGTATTTCAGCGGTCGACAGGAAGAGGAGTCAGATGGACAAGCTCAGGTCTCAGATAGAGAATGGTCTCGGGATTCCGCCTGACCTGTTAAAAGAGGTTAGTATAACAAGCTTGGGAAGCTTGGCAGCGGACGACGACAATGACCTCGGCGAGGAAGAATGGAGCGTTTTGAATGAGGATGATTTGCTTGGATCTAATGCTACCAGCGGCGCCACGGGTAGCGCAAGTAAAGGCGATCGACTTCTCTATAGCGCTGATTGCGAGATGATCCTCCTCATGACTCCTGTGAAGGGTCGTATTGAAGTGACTGCGTCCCACCTCACTTTCACCGCAGACATCAAAGCCACGACTTTGGGGCTATGCGAGTCGGAACGTGAAGCTGTGATGATACTCCTCGTCGACAACGATGCGCTGCTAAAGGAGCGACGGTGGTCGCTCGACGACTTATGCGACTGCTATCTCCGCCGTTACATGCTACGCAAAAGTGCTGTCGAACTGTTCTTTTCAGATAAGACGAATTATCTTTTCAACTTCCCGGGGGCAGGCAAAACGGCAGGTAAGGACCGATTGAAATTTCTGAAGTGTCTGGTGAGCTGTCGACCCGTCCAATTGGCAAACGTTGATGTGCGGAGTAGCCCGTGTGATGTGGTAAAAAAGAGCCCTGTGACTGAGCGGTGGGTCAGAAGAGAAATTAGTAATTTTGAGTACCTGATGTGGTTAAATACTGTTAGCGGTGAGTGCGTTATCAATACTCTGATATCGCTGCAGATATCTAATAATTGTAATCTTGGCTGTAGGGCGGACTTACAATGATCTCACTCAATATCCCGTCTTTCCTTGGTACTCCCATCGTTCTATTTCAGGCCTAATGACACGACTTGTATTAAGAATATTTGAACAGGATTATTCGCGATTATGAGAGCGAAACGTTAGATATTACCGACCCTTCCATTTACCGCGATTTATCAAAACCTGTTGGAGCGCTGGATGAGACACGGCTGGCCCAATACCTTGAGCGGTACAAGGCCTTCGAAGACCCCACAGGCCGAATCAAGAAGTTCCATTATGGGACACACTACTCCTCTGCAGCAGCTGTCGTGTTCTACTTGCTAAGACTGGAACCTTTCACAACTCTGCACATCACATTACAAGGTGGAAAATTCGATCATCCGGATCGGTACGTGCGACACACAGCTTGCTCTCTTTTTTTCTGAGGATATCTTATGTCGATGTTTAAATAGGCAGTTTCATTCACTGCAAAGCTGTTGGAAATCCGTTCTTGCTGGAAGTGGTGATGTTAAAGAGCTAATACCGGAGTTCTTTTACATGCCGGAATTTCTAACCAACGATGTAAGAATAATGTATCCGGCATCCCGTCTACGTGCTCTTTCGATAATTAACTTTATGTCCCTCTCTCAAATTGCAGAACAGATTTGATCTTGGGGTAAAGCAAACCGGCGAGGTTTTGAACGATGTACTTCTCCCACCATGGGCAAAAACCCCAGAGGACTTTGTGCGGATCCACCGTGAAGCTTTGGAAAGTGATTTTGTTTCCGAGCACCTGAACGAATGGATAGATCTCATTTGGGGCTACAAGCAAACTGGAGAAGAAGCAGTGAAAGCGCACAATGTCTTCTATTATTTAACCTACGAAGGGGCTATCAACATTGATGCCATAAAGGACCCCATGGAACGTCGATCAATTGAAGATCAAATCAATAACTTCGGACAAACACCGTCCCAATTATTCAAGAAACCACATCCTAAGCGGGCTCCAAATGACGAATGTGAGGTTAGCACCTTATTTGATGCCCCGGAAGATCACAGAAGCTACTTGATCGAGTCAAAAGGAGCAGAAATACACTTCATTGCTGCTTGTGTGGATGAATCAATGGCGCCAGGAGGTGGTGGGACTGAGGGGCATCAAGGCTTACATCAGTGGTCTCGACAGTCACACACTCCTGCCCTTCCGACATGGGCTGGATCCGACGGCAGCAAGGTGATAACCGTGGATGGCGACATGTGCTTTCGTGCCCATAAATGGAGCGGTGGTATAGATGCTCCATTTGCCTTCGAAGCTGATAACACAGCGCTACGGAAACGGTTAGTATATCGTATGAAGGGTTTGTTATATTCGAGCGATCGGGGCTCACAGTCTTGCATTTGTTCAGCAAAATTCCAACCCAGCTTGCATCAACTACTCATCCACACTCACAGCTCTTTGCTGTCACCCACAATGGCCGGTATCTTATCTCTGGTGGTAGCTGGGACGCATCTTTTCAGGTCATACAGCTTGACCTACATCACGGCCATGGTTCACCACGAATTGTGGATGCTGTTCATGGGCATCGTGACATTGTAACATGCATTGCCATTGGGGAGGATGATCGGACAATCGCAAGTGGATCGGCAGATACCACGGTGATGACTTGGGAAATTGATGGTATGAGTGGCTGTGTCGAAAAGGCAAGACCACGAGTGTTCTGCGGGCACGATGATCAGGTATAATGTGGGGATTGGCATTGAATATGATGCAATTGCTAACTTATCACCGGCTACATTCAGGTGACTGCTGTCGCAGTTAATGTCGAGCATGGTATTGTGGTCAGCGGCTCCAAGGTTCGTCTATCCGTGGTTCTGCTCGCTCAATCGGATACCAACCCTTTTCATCATTGCATTGTCTAGGATGGCTCTGTGATAATACATACGCTCCATGACACCCGATATCTACGCACACTTCGTCCACTTCCATCCAAATCCAGTGAGATTCTGTGCATCCATCGCGTCCTTATTACCTCCCTTGCCTGCATTGTGGTTTACACTGAAGCGGCATGTCGCGAAACGCCTACTCCCTCTGGCCCCTTACACGGTGCCACTATCCCTGCAAATGTTGCTCCAAGCAACGTGTGTTATCTACACACATATACCATCAACGGGAAATCAATGCACACACGAATGTTTATAACACGACTAAATGATATAAAGGCATCCAGAGATGGAGGCTTCTTGGTTGGTGCGGATGAGAAAGGCGGGATTGTAGTCATGAAGACACCTAGGTGGGTTGCATTCCTAAAATTCTGGTTACCTGTTGATTCAACCCCTAACCATGCGGCCGCCCACTCTTGCAGCCTTCATATCACACACCGCTTTGATGTATCAATGAGTGTACTGAGCGTTTCGATCTCTCAGGACCAGCGATATCTGTTCTTGGGGCGAATGGATGGGACGCTGTTAGTCATTGGCCATGAACGGGTCAGGAAGCTGCTGAGATGACCATAATTTGTAAATGTAGATGTAAATAAGAGATCCTCGCCACGAAAGTATATAGTGGAGCGAATTTATTAGGCATTGGTGCAGACACAGGTTTCGCTCACTAGCATGTCCTACACTTTGAAATTTACTAATGTACAGAGGGTATACAACGTATCCATAATCATCTCCCACCAACTTTCACAGTTCCCCTTGAAGTTCTGAACTCGTTATATGTCCTGCATTTTGTTGCAGAGACAGGTTTTTCCCTTCTTTTCGTGAGGTTCTGATCCGCATAATCCGGTTTGCCGGTCAAGAGGTCGCACATTTCTTTTGTCAACTTGTATGCCACCTCGACGATGTTAAAAGCAGTCTTTGGTCTTCTATTTTGGATTACCCGATATCGGGTTTCAGTGCCTGCAACGATGCGCAACGTTGAACTGAACAGATTGATGTTGGGGGATAGAGTGCAGTCGGATCCAAAGTTCTCAGCGGGGGTTGAAGGGTTGTCAACAACGAGTTTGGTGTCGATCACGAGGGCATCACAGTTCACAATAGACAGGATTCGTTGGGCGAGTTCTAAAGTATCTTCTGCTACACTGGATTCTACGCCCCTTGAAAATGGAATCCCATTCACGTTGCTGGCTCGATCAAGAGTCTCCTCGCATGCCGCTTGCAGTCGGCCCTCAATGCACACTCTCGGTAACTCCGATTTGGTCGACGGCAGCAGGAAGTATGCCAAAGATCCTACTCTACCGCCATGTACCTTAGAGGTTGAAGGCGCTAGCTTTCGCGGTGATTTGATGGACTGATCAGAAACGCTCCTTCGACATCTCAGGCCGTCTTCCACAATGGCTTCGAGCATCTCGACCCAGTAATGGTACGTTGCTTCGCTGGGTGATGGTAACTGAAAAGATACTACTCGTTGATATGACATCGTGGCGTATGTTACTGGTATTACAGTCGCAGCTTCAGAAGGCAGAGTAGAGGATAGACTGATATCCATCCTGCTTTCTCTGGCTTTTATATTTCTTCACGCTCTGGTCTTGGCTGTTTCTTGGCCCGTCCTTGGCCTACTTGCCAAGACATACCAAGGAGTAAAGCAAGGTATGCAAACGCATTGACCGTAAACAAACTAAGGGTCGACGCTAAAAAAAGTACATGTTATTATGAATGTTCTAATTAGACTATTCCTTTGGGGCTCATCTTGGCAGCGGACAAACCGGCAACAATTAACGGATCACATTGATACAGGATCCCCAAATCACAAAAGTTAGGGTCGACACTATAAAAGTATCCTGTTACTATGAAGTCTTTAATTGTACCCTTATTGTAAAGCAGGCAATCAAGTTCCGCGGTTAGCCGGAATGGTAAAAGCATAGCTGACGTTGGTTATACTAATCGCATTGATATATGATACCCAGTCTATCGATATGGTGCCCAGTATTGCCAAAGATTCCGACTATTCGACATCGAGCTGGTGGCTCCAAACGAAATGGGCCATTGCCGCCACTGCCACCCTGCCATCCCGAGCACATCTCTTCTCCATCGGCACCTAGAAATACCATCTCGCACCCGTCGACCCACCAGCCTGCTCTAACGATCAAATGTTTCAATATGGCTCTTTTGTTGAAGAGCATCTCTGACCTGTTCCTATCATGTCGCCCTATCCTTTCCCGTGAACCATCCGAGAACATGCAATCCAAGCCAGACAAATAGTGCTCACCACTGTAAAATACTATGGACGACAAATCATGGCCTTTGTTGAACCAAATTGTAAAATCATGATTCGTGCCGCCAGAATTACCATGTCCAACAGTTTGACTTTTGAAAACGGTCCCGAAGCCTTCAATATGAAGGGACGCATTTTGGCGGAAAGATTCCACATCGTCAATGCGAGCTGATTGCTGATTGGTGCTGGTAACTGAGAGTGAGATCTTCCTTTGGCTACTGCCGTTGAAGCTTTTCAATACGGCCTCGTCGCACGAAATGGCGTATTCAAAAGGCTCCACAAGGTCGCCATGAGTAAAATCGCGCCAAGAAACTACACCCAGTCCCTCTACTTCCCACTCCACTAGAATGATACCAGTGGGCGATCGAGCAATAATGTGGTTATTAATCGGGTAGAAGCATGGACCACCCAATTCTCTTTGAACCGAGGTATCGTCGTTCAGATGCCGAAAACATGGATGGTAGCGAAGTCGAACGGTATCGATTCGATGCCAATGAGAACCATCTTCAAGATCAACTGTTATCGGACGCACCTGTCCTCTCGCTGTGTTTTCCACTGGCATAAACGTCCTAGGCACATGGGTCAATTCCAACGCATAGATACAGGGAGTGCTAGTATGTTACCTATTGAAATGATTGAATCCTCTCCGCATCAATCCTGGTGGCAAAGCCAATGAGCGCTTATAATCACGACTGTCCAGCGCAGGGGTTCATGCATGACCTACCACTGGGGGAGTGAATGAGCCCAAAAGCGTGGCCAACCTCGTGCAAGAAAGCGCCGGATCCGATGCAGAAAGATTTATAAGCGACGTCCGTCTCTCCATTGTCATTCGCAGTACGTCTAATGTCATTGGGAGTTACGTCTAACAAGCACCGATCGATATCTTCCAGAGATGATGGCCATGCGTGAATGAGATGCGACCTATCAAATCCGGTTAAATACTTCAGTTTCGGGTGCCATCTGAGCTAAATCAAGTTGTGGGGTTCTCACCCAAATATACCAAGCCGCATATGTCCTTGCCCTCCACCTAGGGCCGCGTGTCCCAAAATTGCACGGCGATCAGGATCCCAAGTGGAGTCTAAAATTAATCCAGCAACATAGCACTGTTGGTCGAACGGTGGCCCTGTCAGAGCATCAACAAAGATAGAAAACAAATTTCTACGGGTCGACGCTGAGGTATCTTCATGAGGTTGGGTTTGGGGTGCTTCACCAGGAGCCTGAGTAGGTGTCGGCACTACGTTGTCTGCAGTTTGAGTTGCTTTTTGTTGTGCGAGCTCAATATCTCGAAGCTCCGCAACGCTAAGATCGGTTCGGACGACATGTACCCTGTTGCACCTGTCAGAGAATATTCCTGACCCATATGGTTAGAAATATCTGACCTGGCTGTCGTGCGTAATGTCTCGTTGTCCTTGTTGGACAGCGTATCTGATGATCAAGTTAACAACTGACAGCCTGCTTCAATGACATGCTCTCACATCACACACCAGGCAGCCAGGTCTCATCCAATCGGAAGGTGCGCCGTCCAAAGCCGTGTCGCCACATCTGCTCCGCAGTGAAGGCTTGCCACATGTCTTGTGTGCCAGCTTAGAATATTATAGGCAAGCATAAATAGCAACTAGATGGTCACTCACATGCAGCCAATCTGAATTTCCTGATCACGTCATATTCAAAGGGTAACCTTTCTCCTCCATCTGGGATGTCGAAAACCATAGGACTATCTTTGGCAACCAGAACCGCGAGCACGAGGGGTGGATTTTGAAGCAGAGGTATATATACTACATCGATTTCTGTTTTTCCACCTAAGGAATGCTCAAGAACCAATCTGTTCTTGCCAGGATCCAACGGCACTAAAGCTTTCCAGTGAGAGTCGGTGCATCGAAAGCTTTGCGCAGGATATGTGGTAGAAATATTTCGCACATTTAAAGATGAGTCGCCCAGGCCAACTCCGGCAGTGCCGTAGATTAAGAGTAATCGCTGATGAACCGTTTCATTGGGAAGAAGGTTCGTAATGGAGGGTGCTGGCATCACGAGCAGGTTTTGACATCTATATATCGAATGGTATCTGGCGCGTTGCGTGTGCGTAGACTTGCTATTACCTAATACAAGTCATGTGATCGTCTGGATTAGAACCAGAGGTGTTAATACGCCTTTATCATGACCTCTAGCTTGTCAGAATGTGAAGGAAGCTCCAGGACGTGTTGGGTTTACTCTTGGTTGTTTGTGACCACGCTTATTCTTGTTATCGGCCGGATCTTGCATTCCTGGGGAGGTGCAAAAGTGGACCCACATTGGTGCTGCACGGGAGATATCTAAGGTCATTTGTTCATCAGCATCATAACCAAACACCCAGCTGAACAATTCCCACATGTTACAGCGGTTCTATCACAGCACGTCCCCTATTCATTTAGCATTTGCACGAACCATAATGAAAGGGCAGCACTTCTAGCCGCTTTTTCTGATTTCATTTCAGAGTTTCTATGGAAGGATAGCATATTACACTGTAGAATCCATGCAATCTTTGATGGCATGACGATTTGTATTTGCGTCCTTGCACGTGGGAAGCAGCGAACTGAGTTTCGCTTAGCTACAAAAACTGCCAATAAACAGAAAGCTGGTCCGGGCAAGCGGCGCTTCACAAGGCCTCCAATGCATAGGAATCTTCCGCGGTCACCCGAAGGTGGAGAGCGGTAAACTCGTGGTTACATCTGAGCTGAACCATGGCTACAGACGCAACGTTGTCTCAAAAGATGATTACAGAGCTTGCAGCTATCTGGGTTATTGCAAGCCTATTTTTAATATATACGTCACTTTCTGTATTTGGTCACAAAGATATTACTGTTCGCATTGGCCTAGGCGGCTAGTTGGATGGAAAGATCTCGTCAAGTGCTCAGCGCACTAGTTGTGCCAACATTTATCTCAAGCGCTTGCGAATAGCTGTTGCGCACCACTATCTCCGGCAGATTGACTTTTGCATATTTTGTGCACTACTTGTGAATGCCACATATCGTTGCCTGGTCGAGCCTTTGAGTGATCGCCGCTTTTGTAACATATCCACGTGAGTCGGAACTTGCTGAATAAGCCAAATCGCCATCTCGCGGTCCTTTCCTGAAGAGTTGACTCCAAGTCGTTCACGACCACTGTTGCGTTAATCATGCTCTCGCGCACCCCAACTGGACGCTTGGATAAATCATCCCTAGATCTTAAAATCGGATCGGAGACAGCGAGACCATCTAATGTAAGCGCTTAAAATGACGTACTTATAACGTTACCATGTATCAATAATACCACATTGTACACCAGTCCAAATCGTCGTCAACACGATCATCTACCACCTCTCTCGCTGGAAAGACTAAAGAATCAGTTTCACCCGTGAAACAGAAACCATCGTATAGGCTCAACCCTGCGGTGGTTAAGCCGCTAGGAAACAAGAAACATGTGACGTGAGTAGAATGATACGAGCGGGCAATTGTGACCATTGAGAGCTAATACTATCTAGTTTTCCTGGTTGTTTGACAGATCATTCAGTGCATTATATGCTAAAGGAGAGATTCCATGGTTAGCATTACTTCCATATCTTGAAAAAATGCTCCAAATTCACAAGTATTTCTTCTGCTTGTCTAGTCGATTAAATCACGGCTCAGTAAAGCACAAAGTACACTTGTATATTGAGTTTCAAAGTAAAAATCCGGCCCACTCATGTATTTTGGAAAGATAACTTGGTCTAGGTCCCCTGAAAATCTAGACTACAATCCTGTCTTCATCACCTTCTGCGATGGTCTGCGGGAGACACAGCATCCGTACGTGTTTCTGGTGCGAACCGGACTGCGAGAAATGCTTGAGGCTCCTGGAGCTGCAGAGAAGGTGTGTCCCATTGTTTCGGCCATTGTTGCACCCCTACGGGCCGCGCTTGGCGTTCGCGAAAAGGTAAGACATAGCCAACCTCATCCCAAGTACCGGGTTACGGAGATTACAAACAACGTCATCTAGGATACATTTCTGGCGGCATTGGACACGCTGACCCGAATAGCGAACGTGGCCGGACCTGTACTTGTTCCATATCTTCCAAGCCTTGTTCCCCCCGTGGCTGCGAGGGTCCTTTCTGCAGATATGCGAGAAGCGGTCTACGACACTCTAAGGGCGTGTGAGGTAGCTGGCGGTGAGCAGGCGCTAAAAACAATCAAGAATCTTTGCCCTACATACAGGTCAATATTCGTATGACCTCTCGTCACAGAGAAAAGTACAGTGCTTTATGACAATATAGTATGATTCAAATAGTCTATGGACGCATCTATAAGTCTAGTAGGCAATCAACCGGGTGCTCTTTTTATACACATGTTGCTTTTTCAGCGACAACAACCATATTTCTAGGAGATTCTGCATAGTCAAACAGGTTATTCAACCATACCCTCCCTTTGCCTTCGTGTTTGTCCTGGTCCAAAGGAATACCCAAGCCTTCTTTGAGGTACATCATTCGATCTAATAGCACCAGGCTTTCCACGCATGGGCCAAAGAAGCTCCTCATGACACACATGAAAGCGATTCTCCGCATCATTTTTTCTCTATCCACTTCGACTTTTCCAATTGCATCTATCAAGGATCCTCTTCGTTCGTCGGAAGTGCATAATCCCAGTTTTGTACATGCAGCAACACAATAAGACCGGAAATCCGTGGACGCGGCTTTTGGAAGTCCACCAACACGGTGTTGGCCTGGGGGTAATGTGTGCGCCGGCTCCCATGAGCGAAGAAGAAGCTCAAAAAGACTCCGGTGGTAGTGTCCTCGAAGCGCGGAGAGGATAGTCGAAGGATTGTCAAAGGAAGCGAAGGTGAGGCAGGCAGTGGTGAGGGAGCGATATGTCAGGGAAAATGAAGGGTGGTGGACTTGGATAAGGCTACGGACGTTATTACTTAACGGAAATCCGACTAAAGGAACATGTGGTCAGTATTTCAAACCGGCGCATTCCTATACTCGCCAATGCCCGACATACGTTGACTCTCATCATCCTCACGGTCTACACATATTCGATGATAACAGCATCCAACAACAACGATACCCTTCACGCCTTCGCACTCCAAGAATGTCCTCAGCATGGTTAACCCGGATAGATCTCCACAACTATGCAAACCAACCAGCACATATCGATGTGCTTCTAGAATTTCGGGCAAGGTTTGTGGGTCTAATCGTGCAGTCACGTAAATCACTGGATTTTCTTTCTGGTGTTCTGCTATTATACGGGTGGGATGGCGGTGGTGGTTGGATAGTACGATGCGTGTACCCCGATCCTTAGATCCACATGTGCGAGCATCATCGCAATCTATTGCATAGATTCGTCGAGATGGATTTTGGTGTGCCAAAAGATGAGTGAGATAGCCCTAATGCAATATTATGGGTTGATTTATCAACTGGGCATAGAGACGTGAACAGGCGGCAAAATCCTACATGGCCCGCTCCTACATCGATGATGGACTGCAATGGCGATCAGAGATTTACTTTGTTTCGAGATTGCGAAAAAACACTCGCCGTACATCAGCATTTTGTCTTTCTGCTACCCGAAAAATAACTCTTGACAGTCGATCTACTTCATGGAGCTTTTTGCGAGACATGGCAGCCAATCTACATGCTTCGTCCTGATGTAAATGTGCAGATACAGAATTCAACGGCCGCTATATCCCCATTGAAATGTGCAAACAAACAAACTCACGTCGTACACCACATCTTCCTCTGGTAATATTCCTATCTCCTCGTCCCGCTCCACTCGTCGTCCTAAAGCCAACGTCCGTGCAATGCACATAACTGCCTTTAATGATTCGGGCCACATCTCCTACTTGTAAGCAACTAAGCCAAGGTTCCGAGAATGGTGACTTGTAGCTTTCAAGCAGTTGAACTGGTACCGGAATTTGCCCCCCTGTCGCAACATGCAAAAGATGTTCCATAAAGTCACCACTTGCCGCATCGACGAATTCACGCCATTCGGGGTCGACTTGCTCCCATAAGTTGTCACAAAAAAAGTCAAACAGATGGAAGCCATCAATCCACCACCGGTGCTGCGAGAGAAAGGAGACAAGTGTGTGGAGATCTGTGCTCGTCCCCATTGTTCACTCGTTGACAACCCAATCCAGCTGTCGTAAAGGGATTTTTCGCTCTCTCTCCTGACTGGCTGAAACCGGATGTAATGCCCTGCTGGCAACACTCTTGGACGAGGAACAGGTCAGAAAAACGCTTTGTACAGCGACGCGACAGGCTGTTAACCAGAACCCAGCATTAAAAATGCAGGCCTTCTGGTCTGAAAAACAAACTTGACGATGAAATGAGATGGTACATCAAAGAGTGAGGATGGTGAGGATTGTGCAAGATTATGAAGAGATGAGGATGATTGAATTTTATTGTCGTATCGTGACCCACACAACTTGCTCTCCAAGAGAGCCTGAGTAGACCTTGCAAGAGTTGAGTCGTCTTGCAAAAAAAAAGGCCAGTGATTTACACTATCTGACTTGCAAGTTTCATGCCGCAGAAACTTTTGCAGAGACTAAATGCCTGACAAACAGAGTGCTTGGCTTGTTATCGCCGGCAGCGTCTCTTCAACATGTTTTATCTGCAGATATTTCAGATTCCATCACAGTCTATTCATGCCGGTGAAGCGTTGCTGTGCTGTCGAGGTGGAAATAAGTCATACAGCTTCGTCGCCGTTTGCAAAGCACGAAAAGTATCGAGTGAGGCAGTTCGTACAGGCGACCAGCCCATGAGCCCCATAAGGGGAGAAGGAGCTTTCACCTAGATGTTCTACCCTTGCGCAAATGACAGCCACAACAAGGGCAGATGGTCTTTCTGAACAACTCCTTCCCCCTTCCTCTGTACCATCCATCACCCCCCTTCAAGGAGATCCATGCCAGTCCTTCCAAGCAGAACGAACCTCAAGCTGCCCCTTCTATTACACGTGCCAACCGCGGAACGCGCTCCGTCAGCAAGCGCCATGGAAAACGCGCAGTAAACGCGCAGCATCCTCGGTCTATAGAAGGGCTCTCTTTCCCCATCCCCCCCCCCCCCCCCCCCAATATCTAGTGTTATGGCTGATGGGCACTACGCTACGAATTCTTCCATCAACATGAACCCATCGTTTCATCCGGGAGATTGAGAAGACATGGCGGACGCGTGTGCCATTTCCACCTTCCCCAATTGCAAGCGGCACACCATTTCGAACCTGACAGTCTGAAAACTTGAGCCCCGCGCCTATGTCTACTGCCGTCGGTTTCGCTCTCTCCCCTCAATCGCTGGAAGGGCGTTACGCTTCATCGTAGAAGCCCACTGTCAGCCGCTCACTCAACAAGAATGCTAAGGACTTTACTCCCGCTTCTTAATCGCTAGACGGGCCCTACGTTTCATCGTGGCAGGCCACTGCCAGCCGCTCAAACGTGCGCGGAAAAGTGAGCAACCCACCCCAGGAAGAGCCCTTCAAGACTATCCTCCCTCGCTCCGTCATAGCGTCCCGCTTTACTAATCGTTGAGGACGTTATAACACTCAAGGACATCTTCACCGAAACGGCCGCCAACAGCAACCTATTGCGCAAACATCCAGCTACTTACTCCGCCCTTCACTGGGGCTGTGGTTCAGGTCTCGCACGATCTCGGAATCGACAGCCGATCATATGTCACTGGATAGGCCCTTATGAAGAAACGACAAGCCTTTCGCTACGACTTTCTTGGGATCTCAGCGCACAACTCTCAAGCGGCGTCTCAAAGTATCTGTAAAGTCGATAACAAGGCGTGCCACCTAAACTCCGCGATTGGCCCAACGAAGATCTTGGCAAGCGCGCATCCCGCTGTCCACGCTTCAAAGCTCTTTCTTAACGTTATCATTGTGGAAGTCCATTTCCATTGATGAGTGAATGGACAGCATGAGGCTTCAAGCTGATACGCAGTCGAACTCGTCGATTCAAGAGCTGGAACAGACTTTCACTGAATGCCCTCGCCGGATTTATCGAAGCACTCGTATTCTCGTGTTCTCATACGGGAACTGCTGGGCTGTCGCGGATGCTCACAAGCGGTTGGATTTCAAGGCAACTGGATAAACAACTGATTCTGGTTAGCTCCGACATCCCTATATTCCGTATACACCTTCATAACGATTGCAAGAGTCGTCGGTCAATCTCTGGAGCACTGGACGCGAGAGTCTTCAATGATCGGTGAAGCCACCACTAGTGGAGTTAGCCAGACCTTGCGATAAGTCAGCAGAGATGGTCATTTGGACAAACAAAGGATGTCGGGAACTACGCACTGGCACCAAAGCGGAGATGAAATACGTGAGAAGCAGGTAAGTTCCTAAGTCGAGAAACAGTCGTAGAAAGCGTCGCTGTTTCCTATTGGAGCATGTCAACGCTTAACGAGCACCAAAGCGGACATTACATAAGAGGAGAAGTAGGTAAATCCCTTCATCAAAGAACAGTCGTAGACTCCGCTGTCTCCTGTTGGATTCAATCAACGCGTAACAAAAAGCGGACACAAAGATGCGGAATGACGAGGAGAAGTAGGTGAGTTGCTTGATCAAGAAACAGTCGTAAATGGCTTGTAGGAATCGACCAACGCCCAACGAGCACCAAAGCGAGAGAAGTATGGGAATGACAAAGAGAAGCAGACAAGTCCCCTACTTCAAGGAACAGTCGTAGACTCCGCTGTCTCCTGTTGGAATACTTCAACGCGTGATGAGACCCAAAGTGGACAGAAATATACGCGAAATGACGAGGAGACGTTGGTGAGTTGCTTGATCAGGAACAGTCATAGACGGCTCCGCTGTCTCCTGTTGGAATACATCAACGCCCAACGAGCACCAAGACGACATTACTAGGACATTACGAATGACGAGGAGATGTAGGCAAGTCCCCTTCACCATAAGACAGACGTAGAAGGCTCCGCCGTCTCTGGAATAACTCAACGGCTAGCGAGCACCAAAGTGGACATTAAATATGCGAATACGAGGAGAAGCAGGCAAGTTTCCTTGATCGAAAAACAGTCGTAGACCGCAGTCTCCTGTTGGAATCAATCAATCGACGAGTCACATTCGACGATGGGATGATTTCATGCATCCCGGAGTGAACCAGTAAGTTCCTACATCGGAAAATACTCGCAGAAGGTTCTGAGGCGTTTTGGCGCATGGAAGATTGCGCTTCTGCCTTCCTGAATGCCATAATGACTCAAGATCCCGTCGAAATGGTTCAGGTAGTGATGCAAATGGCTTTGGCGTAGTCGCGAGCCCGTCGGCGGACCCGAGCCATTTCCCTCGGGCTTAGCTCCAGATCCGACGGCATCGGACTTCAGCTTGGCTGGAATCCCTGGAGCCGTGAGCCGAACTGAAGCCGATGGTCATGTGAGCCGAGCCATTTGCATCACTAGGTCAGAACACTCTTTTTGATTGCTTGTCACGGCCATCGCTTTGGAGTCCTGCCGATTCATACACATGGCAGGACCGTTGGTTCTGATGGCGATAACCTTATAACAAAGAAGTACGCATTTAACTGGATGACAGACCTTCTGTTTGGAATGGGCCACATTTCTGTGTGCTTGTACGATTTCCACGACGCATCCGTGCACAGCAAGCTGTTAAGTTGCTACACAGTGGAAGGCGTTTTTTGGGTCGTGCGACATATCCTGGCTCGTTCCTAAATCCAGGAACATGTGCATGCAAATCTTTCGCAGACTATTTAGAACGTTATCAAGGCCTCATTACCAACGTTTGCCATTTGAATGAATGGCGAAGAGACCCTGTGTCAGTCAGACCCAGCGCGTGATACCACACCTACACCGTTAACCAATGGTCACCCTTTTATGGCACACTGCAACTGAGAGGGAACCACGGGCTTAGCGTGACTGGAAAGATGTGTGCAGTGACTGCCCTTAATTGAGGGAATGCAATGTAACCGACATACAAGGGTGACCATTGGTTAACGGTGTAGGTGTGGTAGTGCGGATCATACAAGCTCCGTCTAGCCACCAGAAAGTGGAACCGCCGTAAACCTCATACCTTGCATTCAATAGGAAATGGCATGCCCTTGATAGAAAACTATGGCAGGTTAATGGTATGGGTAAAAGGGAGAGGTCGCTACTTACCAAAGCCTCTGCAAAGATAAAATGCACAACGTCGTATCCAATGATTTCCCCGGACATTTGGCCAGCCCAGCAGTAGCGGCAAAGGTATTCCTGCTGTTTACTATCGTGAAAAGCCGCTGATGACGCACCTTTATCATACGTTGGCACCTTGCGCAGCTCCAGCCAGACCCAACCGAGAGGTGCGATGCCCTAAATACAGCGTAGCATGATACCTGTGCGTACGTTATAGAGTAGATTAACCTTTCGCCGAGTACCTGCGGAAAACATTTTCGCAATCATTTTCACGATTCATCTCTTCTCGCTGGTCAATTCACGCAATTGTGCAATCTCTGTTATCGCTTGTTATCGCTCATGACCGAGGATGCTAGAGAGCCGTCCAATATTGGTATGGGATCTCCAAAGGAGGCAGGGAGTTGAGCGAGAACACTGGGGAATCGCCCAAATCCCCCTTCTTTTAAAGACATGGACGAGCGCGTGTGCTGCAGAGAGGTGCGGCAAGCGCGCCGAATGGAATTCTACGCGTCACGACGTGTTCGAACGTGCGCGGTCTGATGACAGAATGCCAACCCCTGCCATTCATTAACATTGCACTTGCCTACCATTAACCCCCCTTGCTGCCCCTACCAGCGTTGTGCTTCCTGCGGCCCATCCTCCTACTTGTGGCTGACACTGGAAGGAGTAGCAGGGGCTTACTGGAGGAATCTCCGATGAATGGATTCCTTCAATTGGTCGCCAAATCAGTTGGTTTATAAGGGCTATAGTGCTGCTTTAAGACATTTTTAATGGGCAGGTTTGGGCTGTATAGATGAGAAAAGTCTGATACTTGGCTGCTGATGGCTGCCGTGCATGTGCCATGCTATGCTTTCCAACACTGAGAGTGTCATTCAGCTCAGTAGCGCAAGTACCGAGCTGCCTTTGCAGCAGGCACGGAAATCACATATCATGGGGGGCACATTTCTTAATGTAAAAGATCTAAGATGTCAGAGTCATTTTCTGAATACGGTCTGCTAAAGGAGAGTGCGAGTAGTGATGAGGGCGACCCGCTACTGCCCACTTGGCATAAAGCAATGTTATGTGTCATAATGTGGAATATTTAAAAGTCATCAAAAGTCCAGTCGCTCCTTTAGCTGTTCCTTTTCCCGAAATCGCTCAGCTCGTTCAAGCGATTCGTCTTCAACCACTGCTTCAACGCAGAGGGTCTATCCGAACAGATACCATTTGCCCCAAACTTTTTCACAGCCTCCCATCCTTCAACTGTATTCACTCCCCCACCTGGCATCCCAAACACAATGATTGGCACGTTACGGCGATTGAGGGCTCTAGCAAACCCAGGCCACATTACCCATTTGAAATTGGGCATGATCATAGCGCTTTCGTTGATCTGCATAAAAGGCAGGAGGCCAAAGCACCAGAGCACAAAGGATTTTGCCATCCGGCGTGCAGTGAAGAAATAAGGAATATCTGGGAAACGCGTTCGGCACCATCCGTTTTGCGGTTCGTGGAAACTTCCCCATACTGTTTGCTTTTCCCGATTATACGCTCTCACCATTGCCCCGACTTTATCAATGAGTTCGCTTGGACCTTGCTTTACGTCAATTTGCATAGGGTAGGTTGGAAATTCAGCAAGGAGCTCCTTGAGGAGCGGAATTCGTTTTGAATCGGGGTCGTCAGTTACAGCGGGGTTGTTTTGCAAGTTGGCGGGAATCAACAACGGAGGAAGATCTGCGTAATTACTTCGAAACATCTTAATGAAATTCCAGCATCAGATGGTGAGATTGATACTCACTAATCTCCAATACTCCCTGGCAGTCCGCAGAGCCGTGTCATGTCTCTATCATGGAAAACCACAACTATCAAGCCATAAGGACAAGGCCAAATTTAGTTGAACAATGTGCAGGTTCGACTACCATACCTTGCCCATCCTTTGTCAAATAGCAGTCTAATTCTAGCAAGTCCACCTTCAGCTCTTTGGCAGAGTATCTAAAACCTGATTTGCGAGCATACGTCAAATTCTGCGACATGTCCACCATCTTTTACGATGAGAAAAACACTTACCCACTCACCGGGTAGCGTATTTTCGACCCTTTCCAAGCTGCCGCCCCTGTGGGACATGAGGGCATACCGAAATGCGAGACCAGGCATGGCTCTAGCGATAGTGCGAGTTTGGAAATGTTGGAGGGAAGACATGCAACTTCCGTCAAAAAGAGATGCACGGACCGTGGTCAGCAAAGCATTAGTCACACCGATTAGGTAATATATAACCCCCTTGCACCCCAAGATTCCCCTCAACTGAGGATTATTATCGCTTTCCGTGGTAATTCACGTTGGGCAACTTCACGCGCGCAAGTTAGCGCCGCATCGCACCCATCTTGGACGTAGCATACAAAAACATTGTTCATACAGGGTCGACAAGCGACATTGCCTTGAATTTTACAAACCCCAGCCCATCTAACAAAAGGTATGATGTCAAATGTTCATTCCGCTCCTGCACCGCCTTCCTCCTGCTTCTTGACTTTCCCTTCCACCTTCAAATCGTTACCAGTCACCCGCTTGTATACATCCTTGACGTCTTGGCACGTTGTCTCAAAGTGACTGGTGGCATCATACGATTTTGTGATGTAAACGCCGTCTGCGCGGCCGTCTGCGACAGGTTCGTACAAATCCGAGACGCTAATGAACCTGATTACCAAAGAAAGAGATGATTAGCGCTATTCAGAGTCAGGCCCATAATAACCTTGCTACTCACTTTTCTGCGATAGGTCCCAATAGGGCCATTGCAGGTTGAAGTTCCTTTTCAGGATCCGAGGTTTCAACAATCGTGGAAACGATCGCGGTCCAGTAGTCCTTAGCGGCAACATTGTGAGCATAGGAGACGGCGGCAATGTAAATGTCTATCGCCAGGGGTATGCGTCAACTTTTAATGAGCAGAGAGCAATGGAAAGACTTGTAATGATACGCACCATGACCACGGTTGACCTGCTTCTGAGGAATCACGATCTGGATCGAGTCGGCATCGGCCGTGTTGGGTATTGGGTGGTTCAAAATGCAAATTGCGCGGACGACTTGGCCAGTCTTCTTGACTTTGTCAGGGAAGTAACTAGGGTCACCAATAACAGCCTTCGTTTTGGCCACCTGAATGTTTCCGGTAAGTGAGACTTGCTTTCACGTATGCGCAAGCGCAATCTGCAAACTCATACTTCTCCCTCGCTCTTTACGCCAACAATTTTGCCGTCTTCGTATACAAGCTCATCAACCTTTTTGTTCAACATATAAGTTCCACCATAAATTGCACTCAATCTGAAAACGGCCATGTGTAAGCATGCATCAACAGACATGCAGGTTGATTCCAAAAGCACGTACCGTGCAAACCCTTGAGGCAACTCGCCCAATCCGTATAGTGGATAAATGTAGGGACTCTTTCCATAACGCGCCATAGAGTTCATGTACAAGCAAATTCGTTCGTAGGTTTCCTTAGCAGGTTGAGTCATGTAGCTGTCGTCCAAGTGCAACGCCAAGGCATGTCCGACAAAGTCTTGGGTGCCAGGCTCTAAACCAAACTTCTTATAAACCTCGGTCATCGGCACAGTGTTGAGATCCAAGCCTGATGAATACAAATGCGCATATCAGCGTGTCTGCCCTGATCAGATAAAATGCTAATAATTCACACTGAACCTTGATGAGTGGCTGGATTGTTGAAATCATATCCTTGGACAAACTCAAAGAACTTCTTGGCTCTTCGCTTTTCAAAGATACCCATCAAAGGACTCGAGACAGCCTCAGTTTGGTTTGAAGGCACTTTGGAGATGCGACCATCGCGGTAGACGTAGCTTCCCGCAATTTGACGGAACTCAAGATAACGAGTCACATCGGTGTGGTAGAGAATGTTGGTGAACTCGCCAGAGGCCATGGCGAACTTTGGAATAAGATCGACATTCCAGTCACGATCACGTCCAAACTGGGACGGTGGCTGCTGATCAGGGCGGAACTTGCGGTACAGCTACCAAAATAGTAGAAAACAAAAATCAACAAAAAGATGCTTCAACACGGTACATTGCCATTAACCCTTGAGTGTTTCCGGATGTCCTCTCATACCTGAGTCAAGTTCAAACTTGCGCTCTCCCCACCATAGTAATCGTTGCGATCCATGTGAAGGACCTTTTTGCCTTCCACAGACAGTAATCCAGACAGGATACATTCAGTCAAACCGGTGCCGAGCACGATAACGTCGTAGCTTTCATCCTATTGAAAATTGAAGTCAACATCAGTACAGGTTACATACACGTCGGTTGCCCGCAATATTGTGACATGATTCAACTCAAAGCTCCAGCAGGGCAGGAGGCAGATAATTTCAGGCGAATCGCAGCAATCTATTTGTGTCCTTGTCGTCATCATCCCCCTTCCCACCGACTAACCCAACACATCTTTCGCGACTATGCAGTTTCCACGTATTCAACCCTCTCCCGCCGCTAACGTTGACAAGACTCACCATGATGACTGTCTAAATTCGTCAAAAAGAATAGCAAACACGAAGGCGATGAGTTCAACAAAACGAGGAACCGCGCGCTGACGACTGTTTCGAGCAATGCGGCAAGGGAATGTGACAAGGGAAGGTGCCACGGCCACGTGAACTCATTAGATTATGTCAGATAGATTACGTAATATGGTTAACAGTTTATTTACGATCGGGGCTTTCCATTGCTGGGGACGCTCCAATATCTTTTTGCCTTTATGTGCAGGTTACTTCCTTGTTGTCTTTGATGACCATCATATTACTCTTGCTGCAGCATCTTCTGTATACGCATGCATTGGGTCTGCTTCCAACGCCCGCTAAAGAGATCAATCGCGGAGAACAGTGATACAATATATTCAAATGGCTTGTGCAAAAACTCGCCAGCAAGAATTCCAACTAGAGCTAGCATTTCACCTGCAATTTATCGATAACACCAATGAAAGAACCTCAGTCACACCCAAACACTCTACGGGGCACGCTTCAAAGCCAGCACAAAAATTCCAATCAAAAGGGCAAGGCTCAGCAAGGTGAACGCAGCGTGGACGCTTGGTGATTCCGTAGCGAGAGCTCCAAGCTGCCAGAAGATTGCAAGCAGGAAAAAGACCCTGTGTAGAAATTTTGAATTATACGGCTATTGTTACATGACATTCTGAGGGAAGCAACAGACTCACCAGGTGAGAACAGTCAGCGTATAGTCGCCACCCACTACAGATATTAGAAATTAGGTAAACTGAATGGAACAGTGTACGTATTTTCTCTTGTGTACCTGCCGTAATAAGCACGGCGGCAGGGAAAAGCATCAAAAATGTATCACGAGCAGCCTTCCGTGCTGCCTCCACCTTGCCGAGCTACGAACAAGTCATCACGAGTTGAATCAATCTCCTCGGCATTCTCTGGACAAAGGACTCTAGAATATCTCACCCATTCTGTATCTCTAGCCGGCCGTTCAATTTCTTCTAGAATAGGAAGCTGTACTGAAGGCTCGCTACGAGCTCTTACGGCGCGCATGCCGTACAGAACAAGCTGCAGGAGCCACCTGTCAATTGCCAAATAATCAGCAGATGAATTGCCTCGTCATCACATTTAACACTTTCAATGCAGCCTATGTTGCTTTCCGTCAAAGGCGCTTACCAGGTAAGAAACAAGACAAAGACAGCCAACCAGACGCTATACGCATTATCATCGAGAGCGAGACGACTCCGGTTGGCCAAGGTGCCGATAGTCGCCATTCTTTTGAAAGAGACTTGATTTGAATTCGTTAAAGCTTTGAAGGAGAAGGTTTAAAGGCTGCTTAATCTTTGGTGCAAATGCGAAACAACCGCCCTTTGACTGGTGCTAAACTGCTAGCCTTCATGCGTGAGACGGAAACTTTTCAGCACGTCACGATGTGGAAGTGAGTAGCGCATGAGTCTTGTCACGTCAGATCGGCAGTCAAGCCTCCAAGGGCTTGCCATGCGCGGGGCAGCAACAGTTCCCACAGGTGCATCGCTTCGCTGCTATCCAAGTTCAATTTGCAATATGATTCAGTCGCCAACAAATTAGGAAAAACCCTTATGTAGATGTATATTTGCGCATCACCTCCACCATGCAGTAGAGACCATGTACTCTCGTGCTATTCAATTCAATGGTCCGATATGGATAATTCCTCTGCCTGGCCAAACAGCCGGGTGTTGGCTCAGACAGCCAAGGATTGATATCTCCGGGACGGGGACCGAGCGACCATCATCCAACCTATCAACCTGAGACTCACTTCTAACAGTTACTCCCGTCGTTCCCGCCTTCACTGACATCATTTCAGAAAAGGACTTCAAATGCGAGGCTCAGAAAAGAATTGAACCGGTTCAGTAGATCGGTTGGCCACATTATATTCACCCATTGGCACACCGGTCTTGCAAGGTCGGGTACAATCTCCTCCTCAAACAGGCCCTTCTTACTCTCTATTACTTCCCGTGCGCCCCAACCACAATATTTTTTGAACAGCGATGGATTTCAGGAGGAACATATCGTGCGGAACTGGACAATGTCACCGCCATCTCAAAGCCCATCAACGCCAGGGTCGAAGTGAGTAGCATGTGGGAAGGTAGGCAGATATGCGCAGAATAAGGGCTCTTTATAACAATAATCCGCGCGCCAGATGATCACCTCACTCCCCATCTACTCCCATTTTCCACATTCGATTACTCCATAGCCGAAAACTGCTCGTTCTCCAGAATTGTCGTTTGCCCCGTTGCATGCGGTGACCAACAACAGGTTCACGACTGACCGAGGGCTAACCGATGAGATATTTTTAAAATATCTTGGTGAAATCAAGCTGTGCACCTGGTCATACACCCGATTTTCGGTGGAAAGAGTGAGAGCCACACTGCCCCGCGAATGGAAGCGTTATTTAGCTTTGAGATATGTAATAAGGGTGGGCAAACTCGCGATAACCTCGAAATATTATAGAGATCTTGTGGAGGTCAAGATATGTACACGCAACGGGCATTCTATTCCGAGCAGTCCCCTACAGCCGCCTGTAGATATTTTATGCATCCATCCGCTTACAAAGTATACCCATTTCTACATCAATTAAGATTCGTTATTTACAATAAGCTATATACAAGTATCACGCTGCAGAAAGCGAACACTTCGTCGTAGTTTGCCAATTCAACTCGCTGCTACTTAATCTTCCTCACTCTCCCCATTTTCAGCTTCGCTGACTTCCAATTCACTCCTAACATCTTTAAAAAGATCGACATCATTTTCCAAAAATTTCTCAATCTCGAGCATGTTGGCGTCCACATCGAAATTCTGCGTCAAGCTTTCAACTTGATTTGTCTGCAATGGTGAACCATCTGCGGACTACCAGTGACAATCAGTGGGAGTTGACACAAGGGGGATACTCCGTGCACTAGAACATACCACAGTGAAACCTCTGATAGGAGAATCAAATAAATAGATTAAGGAGTCTTGTCGTCGCAAATCACGATCCTTGCTCCCTGCCTCGGGAGTGACGTCTATGAAAGAGGTTGACGTCGCCGTCAATGCCGGCTGCAGTGGAGAGTTTGGTTGTCTTCGGCCTTTGGATGGGGGTGTCTTTACGTTACAATGGTAACCGGAGGGTGTTGCCGCACTGGTTACATGTGATACTGGTACGGTCCGCTTCAACAGTCGAGAATTCCCAATCAATAAACGCGCTGCTACACATACACACGGATTCTTACCTTTGGAGAACGGTACGTCTTGAAAACACGTGGCGAGGGCTTCTTCTCTGTGAAATCCTTGTCCCCTTCGCTTTCCAATGTGAATACTCTGTCTTCATCATCTTCCTGACTGCCTGGAAAGTCAAATACATCTCTCTGACGTCTTATCGGTCGAGGTTTCGATACCGTCGATGAAGAAGCCGTCAGGGGAGAATTTGTTCTGGAACACCGTGCTGGTTTTATGTTGCCAGGAGTAGTGCGCTGGCGAACTTGGACTGTAGACGCGGATTGGGATACTGGTAATGATGCGAGCAGGTCGTGAGTTCCCTGCTTTGGAGTAGTATCTATTAGGCTGGCTTCTTCACCGCTATACCGTGATATAGCGGTATTGCGACTTTTGGGTAATACGTTGTTGTTCCCACACCGTATCGCGCGAGCCTTGCTAGATATTATTAGCTCTCCAGCCACCTCAGCAGTTACCCCGACCTCAGCGGCTTCCACCGCCAGTATTGGCTCAGGATAAGCGCCAAAAGGACCCTTAGCGTATTGTGGTGCATTTTCAGGAAGGTTTTCTATGACGCCCAAGCTTGCTACGGCGTCCTCATCAGCGCCTCGCAACCCAACAGTATCATTGTGCGTGTGATACTGACCGAAAGCCATGCTTGCAGCTCCCTCGATGCGAATGTCATTAACGTCGGGTCTCGGCTGTGCTTCATGAAGCGGACTCTCGCTTCGAGTAGCTGGTGCCAATTTTGGCAGGACTGCTTTTTGAGTACCCTCTCTGACTTTCTCTTCTGCGGCATCTTTTTCACGGGCGGCAGACACCAACGTGCTGAGCTCTTCGCCGGTGGTAGTGCTTTCTGCCGCCACAACAGGAGCTGCGGAGATCGTGCTGCTTGACACCACTGCTTTGCTTCCCGCGGTCGCAGGTGTGGATGTTTGATTTCGAACTGGGAACTCAGCCCCAGACATATTTCCGGCGCTAGATGTAACGTCTGTGACAGGTGCTTGTAGTGGCCCTTTCGCCTCGGCCTTCCGCTTTTTTGCCGCGATCAGACGCATTTTGTTTTGAAGAGCCTCCTTTTGCTGTTCTAACTCTTCCATCCTCTTCCGTACCGCTTCCATCTCAGTCGCAGTTTTCATTTTTAGAGCTCTGTGGTTAGGTTCCCTCGCAGGCTCATTGACGTCCTCTTCTTCCGATTCACTAAGGTCGATGACGTAGTTTATGAATCTCTCACGAATGAACGGCCGCAACTGTGCATATCCGGCGGTATAGGGAGACACGTTGTTCAATTCCGCATGGGAGTCTTCGACTGCCACCGTCATATCCATTGGGTCATCATTCGATACGAGCTGTGGTGAATCTTCTCCCTCAAATAAAGCTTGAGTATCTCCGTGCGTCAGCGGAATTGAAGGACGAGCTTGCATGTCAGGAATCGTGAGATGCCACGTCCGACTCCCTCTGTTGGCATCTTCCGTATCACCGCTAAAGTCCAAGCCCCTGTCCTCAGCATCTTCATCCAATATAAAGGCACCCGAGTTCGTTGGAGCAAAAAACTTTGCTATTCTCTTGATATTTCTCCGTCGTGGGACAATCACTGGTCTCTGCAATGGCGGCGTAGGCGACCGGGTATTGTTTCTCTTCCCCAACGGGGTTCGTGAAGACGGGTTTCGCGGGCTGGTGTTTACACGGTCAGATGTTTCCTGGAGTACAGGGGTTTTATCTCGTTGCAGTTGACACGAAATGTCCACTCTATCGGACTGAGTCCGTCGCCTCTTCTGACCCTGTCTCTGCTCCACTCCTCCCACAGACTGCGCTCTTCTCACACTCTTCTTTGCACGGTTTGGCTTTATTTCTTCGGGTTTTGGTTTTCCATAATGCAGCCTGTAGCATAGCCAATGGCTCGCCTTGCAACAGTGCATGTTTGTAGACTCTGGTGGCCCGTCGCGTGACCGACGTCTTTTCCCTTCCCGACGAACATGTTTCTCACCAAGTGTGGTTGTCACCATCACATCACGTTCTCCTGAACTGCTTCCACCTCCAGGGTCACCCTTTTGCGTTTCCTGCTGCTGATGCCTTTGTTTATCTCCGACAAGATCGGCGGGTGACGGTGGACTGATGTTCCAACAAAAGAGGTTTCCTGGATAATTCGACCGCAAGTCGGATTGAGAAGCTGGTTCAGTAGGCGTGTCGTTGCTCAAGACGGATGTTTCGACAATCACTTTCATGCGATTCCCCCTCCGTGGGTCGACCTGGGAGTATATCCGCGCTGAGCTGTCAGACGGACATGTCTAGGTCACGTGCTTAATTGTCCGATCCAAAGAGTTGCTCAAAGTTTATAGTGTAGATCTTCATTATTATTTAGTCTACCAAACGTCAACTCCACGACGGTGACATGGGTTGAGAAACTATACGGAACGTTCAACATGCCATGGGCCATTTGATCGCAACAGGAAATCGCAGATCCCACCACAACCTCCTTCTTATTCCTTCCTCCCCACAGCCAACAGGCAAGCAACGTCATTCAACATTCCCGCGTGCTGACCATCTTCCACCTTCTTTTTCACGCTATAGGCGTCCTTGTGAATCTCAACCGTCGACAGGTCTGCTTTCATCCACGCCCCCAGTGTCTCAGGGTCAAATCCGTGATGAAATACCGTATCAGCCTGCTTTTTGCTATGAAATTCCTCGGCTGTTGGTGTTTTCTGCAAGTCCGAAATCACCAGGTATCCGCCAGGTTTAAGGTGACTGGCTAGCAGATTGATCATCCCCGGAACATTCTCAATGTGGTGGAATGCTACATGAGATACGATCAAATCGTATTGGGTTGATAATTGTTTGGGATACGGCTCACTGAGGTTGAGGGCTTCGCACGAGAGACGGGTCTGTGCGCCTTGTTGAATCTTTTTCTGAAATTGTTCAATCATGCCTTCGGCGCTGTCGACGCCGTGGACATGCTGCACAAAGGGAAGGAGTAGAAAAGAGAGGTTCCCTGTAAGAGGAAATCTGTGAGGTGCGTATGATATGATGGCGTTTGAATTAGGAGAGAGAAGAAACCATACCAGTTCCACAGCCAAAGTCCAAGACATTCATGTCATCTCTCAGTGGTACATGAGTTTTAATGCTTTCCAATGCCTTATTAGCCAGCTCGTGCACTAAGGGATTCTCATCCCACTTGGCAGCCTTGTCATTAAAGTCGTGTTGAACAAGGTTTGCGCCCTTGCACCCTTGTGGGTGGTGTCCGTGATGATGGTGTCCCATATGTGTAGGCGAATGATGGTGTCCTGTGTGTTCCGACATGCTGTCCGGTGCTCGCTGAAATATGCAAGAAAAGTTGGGCGGGAGAGCTTGTATTTAAATTCTTTGACCCTCCGATCAAACCCTCCGATGAACATTACTAATGGCACAACTGACTCACCACTTGGGAGGCGTTTTGTGATTGGGTGTGATGAATTCAGATGTCTTTTGTCATAAACGAATGCAATGATCCTGCACAAGTTTATGGATAAAGGCATTGGAAAGAAAAAACATGGCATAAATGATGGAGTAGCCCACACGAGAATAACCAAGATATATCAAGGGAAGGAAATCAACTTTAAAGATTGGATGACTGTGCCAGACTGAATTCAAGTGTGGGGTAAGCGACTGGGAGGCAAAATATGCCAAGATTCCTGATATCCCTAGAATTCAATGACATTGAACAAGGCTACAGTATGCAAAAATATCATTCATACTCATTAGATAACTAATACTTAATCGTTGGCAATGAGAGAAACAGGTAGATGCTCGTTTCGATATAGTAAACTCAGAGTAGCAGCTGGAAAGTTGATCTTGCGATGCCAGTAAACGAATTCTGCCACAGCATCGAATTGCAAGAGTTTCGGCCATGTTCAAAAGTTCATTGTGGAAGACCTTTGGGCCAGCTGCAGGAAGCATCCCAGGCTTTGAAAATGAAATGCACAGCCGCCTAGCAAGCCACGCCAATTACCTAAGCCAGTGAGGCGCACGGTGATCTGGAGAGCACACTTCCTCCTGCCAGCTGGATAGATCTGGGGCATGTGGCAAGTAGTGAGCGGCTGTGAGTTATTGTGTCAGTGCATGTGATCATGTATAGAATGGTGTATAAAGGTTTCTCTCTGTTTTAGTTCGACAACCTTGATGGTCATGTCTGGAATGTGCCAAGGGTGATCTCTCCATAGAATAGACCACTGACATGACAGATTCGGATAAGCACCAATGTTCTATCCTGGAACGAGCGCGGAAACGAATGAGGGATGAAGAAGACAAACCATTTGATGTGCAGAAGAAACCCTTGGCGCTGTCGCTAGACGAAGAACCCTGCCCGGATAATAAATCACATTACAAGAGACTCAAGACAGATAGTGGAGCTTCACTTGATCCCAACGGAGAAGAACGTAAATTCTGCCTTGAATCTAGAGCAATCCTAGAACGCTCGTCGACTGAATTCATAGATTTGACGCAAGAGGACGGCAGCCACGCAGGGATCACTGACAGTCCGCCAAAGAGCTTCGCTCGAAGTCGATCACATATCATCGGTGGATACCAAGAGTTCCCAAGAAGAGGATCCACCCGAAAATCTCCATTCTCCAATGCAAGTACGACCTCTCCGATCAAGCAGAGGGAATCTCAATCGTCATATAGATTACACAAGAAAAGAACCTCAGGGAATTCCTCTGAAGACAAGACAGCGACGAATGATTTGTTTACTGGTCGCACCGCCGTTTTTCTCGAATGCAACATCTGCCCACTGCGATTGAAGGCACTCAAGGCGCGATGGGAAGAGAAGGGTAAATGCTGATTGTTGTGCTCCATGCTGGAAGCCAGCGGTACTTAACGGTTACTCTGAGTTTCAGGAGGATTCTGTTCGGATGTGTTGACAGACAAGGTCACCGTATTAATTGCAGAAATTCCATTGCAACATGTGGTCAGTGCTTTGGGTATCTCCGTATTGCCGCAATCAGCGGTAGTCGTTCGACCCGATTGGATATCCCAGTCTATTATCGTACGTTATGTACATTATATCGAGCGTCCCGCAAGAAGTGCTAAGACCTACCATTGAACAGGCCAATAGGCTCCTAGATACGTCTCCATTCATTGTCCCTGAGGCGGAAGTTGAGAAGTCACACGACAGCGACCATACGAGTGATGCGACTGAAATTGTTGAGACCGATGAAGAAGAACAGCCAAATTCTTTGCAGAGCAACACCTCACCGGCGTTACTGCTGGACAGAATAATGCAGAATATGAAGGACGGTCTCGATGACCAAGAGGAGGATGAGACCGAGACATGGGAGGTGGAATCGTGCCCAAAAGATGAAGAAGTCTGGGTAAGAGTGCTATCGTCGGACTCTTTACTGCCACAGACTCTCATGGACGATAATCAGGAAATTGCCTCCGCGGGCAGCTCCGATGATGAATCTAAAATAGATGTTAAAGCAAAATCACCTGTGGATTTTCCTAGAAAGAAGGTATTGCTTAACTATGTTGCAAGCGTCAAGTCATCTACGGAAAATGACATAGTGATCCGGTAATTAGATCCGAAACCAGGATCGCTTTCTTTGCATGCAAAAAAATGGGCGTGCGCTGCTCGATGCGAACAACCAGAATTCACATCTAACGGATCTGCTTGAGGTTGTCATGCGTCGGCATGAAGCAGAAGGCGAGCATTTCCGTGTTCTTTCTTATCGGAAGGTACGGGATTCTCCTTGATCTCTGTCATATCTACACATAACACGACATTGTTGATCATGTCTGTGATGATAGGCTATCCAGACTTTGAAACGCCATCCCAGTCGAATTGAAAGCGGCGCAGAAGCTAAAAGAATATTTGGCATAGGCGGAAAGATTGCCGACAAGATTGATGAGATCCTCAAGACTGGCCGACTGCGGAAGGCAGAAGTTGTCCCAGAGATGCTGCCTGTGCTAGCGTTGTTCCAAGGGGTTCATGGTTTGTATCTACCGGGTGATAGTACATGAATCTGATTGAACCTAAATGTTATGCAGGTTGTGGGATCCAAGTCGCGCGACGATGGTACGCCCAAGGATGCCGGACGCTCGACGATGTGCGTAAAAAGGTCCAATTGACGCATGATCAGAAGTTAGGATTAGAGTATTACCACGTAAGTCATATTCGACGTTGAGTGAACCGACTTTCCAGCTCATACACCTCTTGATCGTTAGGATCTGCAAGAGAAAATGCCCCGGTCTGAAACGGAAGCCATCGGTAGCATCGTACAAGCAGAATGCAAAATGATCGACCCAAACTTCCAGTGCACTATTCTGGGTTCCTATCGGCGCGGGCGACCCATGTGCGGAGACGTGGATATTCTCGGTTCGTAACTGAGAAGGGTCTACAAAATTCTACAATCACTAATGATAGCCAATGTCATCAGTAACCCATCCTGATAACATGAGCCACCGTACAATTCTCGGACCCCTCGTCCACCGTCTCCGATCCACACAACTCATCATTGGCGAGTTCCACTCTCGCAGTGCGATGAATAAATATGACAACGCGACGTCTTGGATGGGAATCTGTCGGCTTCCTGGGGCGCCAAAATGTCGCCGGTTAGACATTTGGGTTACACCTTTCCAAGAGGTGGGCGCCGCACTGTTGCATTACACTGGAAATGATATTTTGTAAGGCTGCGGTATGTGTGAGTTTAGCATGTGGGAGGCTTCCTAATGACGTTCGAATGATTATCACAGCAACCGTTCCATGAGGAAACTGGCAGGTTTACAGGTTGGTTTCCTGACGTGTTCTTTATCACATGGTCGTTGTTACTTAATATATGTGACTGCTCGGTAGGGAATGCGACTGAGTCAGGTTTGCAATCTTTCTTTTATGACACATGTCCATACATAAACTCATCGGGTGGTACAACAGCATGGTCTATTTGCCAATGTCATGCGGGGCAAAGGCGGAGCAAAAGTCACCGAAGGGAGAAGGATAGCGGGAAGCACAGAGGAGGTAGGGTTTGTAACCGGTGGTAGAGTTAATATACACTGCTAATGTCCCTATGAGTTTAGGAGATCTTTAAGGCGTTGGGTATGGCGTGAACGTAAACAACCACAGTTGAAGGTCGATCTTGTCTGACATCTTCCCTTTTTATTTAAATTACAGGTGTTCCCTATCGCCCTCCAGAAGAGAGAGATTGTTGAGATTGCGATGTTAATTTTTTGGAACCTAATAAGCAAAGTAATAGTTATAGCAGTATTATTAATGTACCTTATGTGCAAATTATGCAACGCTATACTGGGTTGTCGCGCAATACTACGCCGATACCAATGTGTGCATCAAAATCCCCGCCGCTACACTCACGTTTAACGAGTCTACTGTGTACTTTCCACCTCCTTTTGCGTCCTCATCATCCTCAACCTGATCCCCAATAACCAAATGATCATGACATGCTTTTGATACTACCGGACGCATACCCTTCCCTTCGCTTCCAAGTACTAGAATCGTCGGACTATGTATCAATGGAGGAACCTCGAGACCAGAGTGCTTGGCACGGCTGTATTCGCTTAAAGAGATTGTATTGTCAGAGTGGATATCTGTACCATAAATATGCCATCCGTTTTCAGCGGAAGACTGCAAAGTGTTAGCAAATTGTAATCCAAAGAGGAGGTGAAGAAAACTGATGGATTACTTCAAGGAATTTAGGAAGACTGGGTGTGATATATAGATCCATCACTTCGAGAGCTCCCGCGCTTGCTTTGGAGACAAACGGACTGAACGGGGCACTGTTATGCAAAGATGGCAGATAGGAGGGTTTGTCTTCGGTGTCACACTACAGTAAGGTACAAGAACGTACGTTTCGCGGTCCGTTAGAATGACACCGTCAATGTCAAAGAAATGTGCGGACCGAAGGATGCCACCCAAATTCTACTCATGTCGAGTTAAAATGTGTTAATTGTGAAAGAAAAGAAAAAAAAAAAGGTGGGAAGACTTGGCACACACCTGTGGATCTACAATCTGGTCAAGAGCTGCTCGTAAAATGAGTAAGGTTGGATAATTGAATAGATACCGACGTTAAACCGGCGTACCTAACCATATCGGATGCCGTCTCCGCCCCTCTCGCGACGAGAAAGGAATGGTAAGTGATTCACGTTTGGTGATCACAGCCGAATATCTGACGTGGGCAACCATGTTCACAAACAGCACCGAATTCAATCATTGCCTGACAAAACTGTACCTGGAGTCGCTATCCCCTTCATTCTGCCAACATCCCAGGTGCCGTAGCTGCACACATTCAAGCGGAGCGGCCGCCAATACAAGACCCTACTTGCATGATATCAATACAAGTATCAGATGCATCCAAAACAATAGGATAGTCGGAATGAACTCAATGCGTCACCACTCACCTGATGCGGTCTTCCGTCGGATAAAGCGTCCAGTCGGGACGCGGGAACTCGGGAGACAGTCACTTCTCGCCGTTGTGCTAGTTGCAGAGCCAGTTCCACCCACTTGCTTTACCGGAAGATGTCATTAATACCGGCAGCTGCCCAGCATTCGGCGCTCCCCATATATACATACTTTGACCTGTCTCCCCGCTTAGAACTTCGGATTCCGTCCAATTCTCCACCTTCTTTGACATACAATTTTCGTAGTTTGCGACGGCCAATCTCAAGGGCAGGTATCACGCATGATGCACCGTATAAATGCTCGAGTGTGCGTTGCGCGGTTGTGCGGTAGGACGCAGCAGGCAAGAGACGAGCAAATGAGCAAACCAACGGGTGCATTATGAGTGATCTCCAACACCGAATACCAAGCACAAAACAAAAACCCAACCCCTCTCTGCGTGCAGCCGGAATCGAACTCTGATCTGATCGGTTGATTAGATAAACCTTGTATGGCTGTGCAGAGAGATGCTTCGACATGTGACCATCAAAGCCGTTGGGAGTTTATCCATCCCCCTCCCCGTTGGCGAGTAATCTTCCATCGCGCACGAACATCACCATCTGTTCAGCAACTCGTTGAGAACATTTCATAACCATGGCACCAACAAAGACCCTGCGTCAAGTGACTCGTGAGGAAGTCGCGAAGAACAACACCGAATCCTCCTGCTGGATTATCGTCGACTCGTATGTTTATGATCTGACAAAATTCCTTGGCCTTCACCCTGGAGGTGAAGGTGTTATCCTGAAGGTTGCTGGAAAGGATGCTACTGGTACGTTGCGTGGCCCGTTTTTGACACGTCTGTATATGGAAAGGTATGCTAACGTAGACATGGGGCATTGTAGAGGAATTCTACGGACTCCACCGTCAGGAGGTTATGGATAAATTTGGTCCAAGATATATCATTGGTCAGGTGGGTGGTGCCTCGTATACGCATATGCTTTTATAGTAGTCATGTTAAGATTACTTGTCGAACAGATTGCGGGTGAAAAGCCCAAACTTGATCTGACAAAACCTGGCGAGTACAGCAAAGTTCCCTATGCAGAGGCGGGTTACTTGCAGGGCCGTCCGTCGCCATTCTACAAGTAAGTTCTGCTCAAACTACAAGCTCAAACCTCAAGTCAGCTCAGAATGCCAACGATCGTTTTATGATCAACAGAGAATCTCACATCCGTTTCCGGGATGCTATCCGCAAGTTCTACGATGACGAGCTTACGGCAGATGCACCTACAATGGATGCCATGGGTGAGGCTCCGGATCGCGAGACCTACCAAAAGATGGGCAAGATCGGGCTTCTTGCCTGCCGTTTAGGCCCTGGTCCTCACTTGAAGGTCGTTCCTGAGTTGCCCGGAGGGGTCAAGCCGGAGGAATTTGACTACTTCCACGAGTTAATCTCGCACGAAGAAACCACACGGTTGGGTATTTACGGTTTTGCCGAGGGTCTCGCGTCCGGTATGGTCATCGGTCTACCACCAGTCCTGGCCTTCGGTCCTAAGTGGATGAAGGAAAAGGTTGTTCCAGAAGTGCTCTCGGGCAACAAGATCATCTGCTTGGCCATCACTGAGCCAACTGTTGGAAGTGATGTCGCTGGCCTTTCCACCACCGCCGTCAAGACTCCCGATGGCAAGCACTACATTGTTAACGGTGTGAAAAAATGGATAACCAACGGTAGTTTCTCGGACTACTTCACCACTGCTGTCCGTACAGGGGGACCGGGTATGGGAGGAATCTCTATGCTTTTGATCCCGCGGTCGGAAGGTGTGGAGACCAAGATCATCAAGACTTCTGGAACCACATCTGCCGGAACGGCATATGTCACATTTGACAACGTTAAGGTTCCGGTTGAGAACCTTATTGGTGGGGAGAACAAAGGATTCCAGGTCATCATGGCCAATTTCAACCACGAACGTTGGTCGATGGTTGTTGGAGGAACTCGCGCCGCTCGTTTGGTTACTGAGGAATGTTTCAAGTGGGCAAACCAGAGAATGGTGTTTGGCAAGAAGTTGATTGAGCAGCCAGTCATCCGTCTCAAGCTTGCGGAAATGGTACGTTGTCTAGAGTTTCCTTGATCAGTTATAGCACGTCTCTCATGCCACACCGCAGCTGGCAGCCGTCGAGACGCTCCAAGGTGCCCTCGAAGTGGTCACTTATCAGATGACCAAACTAAGCTACAAGGAGCAAGCTCTACACCTTGCTGGTCCTCTTGCCCTTCTCAAATATCAAACCACACGGTTCACGCAGCGGGTCTCGGATAACGCCGTGCAGATCTTTGGTGGACGAGCAATTACCAGGACGGGCATGGGCCGTGTGATTGAGGCCTTCCAGGTACGTTATAGAAAGACCTGGTGACATTGAATGTGTCTGTAACTAACACAAAACTTACCGATTAGCGAACGAACAAATTCGGTGCGATCTTGGGAGGCAGCGAGGAGATTATGGCGGATTTGGGAGTCAGGCAGGCCATGGTATGCTAACAGAATATCCTTCCATTCTGATAATTCCATGACCCAAGTAACAATTATGCTCGTTTTAGAAAAATTTCCCCCAAGCAAGGCTATGAGCACGTCGCTCTCGAAAAAAGTCCGATCAATCTCACGCATGCTTGGGCTTCATCGTAGAGGTGTTGATTTAGACATAGCGTCTAGGACCCCATTTATGTGATATGTGCGTCATTTATCAGATGTTGAATATATGAGCAATAGCTCCCCTGTTTCTTGCAAGGTTTTCGATCATATCCGATGAATGTTATGTAATCATCTGTGCAAACCACCAGTGGGATGATAACCTTTTCAGCAAGAGTGGTTCAGCACGAATGGTGATTTTTATGTGGGAAAATAATGTATATTTGTACCAAAACGAGATACAGATCCCAATTATATTCCATCACAGACAGGCCACTGCACCCGGTCTTTTTTGCATCCGGTCTCGTTTGCCTCGGCCTTTGCCGGCTCGATGGCCAAGGTCGGGTGGGTGTTTACGGAGAGCTCCATTTGGTGGTGTATCAGGGCGCACGCCGGATTGCTTAGGATGGGCATGTGTGGGACATGCTTCGGGTTTAGGAAAACTTGGACGGCGGTGATTTGCAGAGGACTGAGCAATAGGTGTTCGCTCGTTCTCTACCACGACTTTGTCCACCTTTCCACGGCTCTTGTCTCCACCGGTAACAATCATATCAACGTCCTTCCCAGCCTTTCCCTTTCTCTTTCTGCCCTTTTTACCTCCCGCCCCCTTGAACCCCAATACGGCACAGAGCAGAACATGATCGCTCGAGAATCCTTTGCAGGGCAAGGCTTGCAAAGAGTCCATGTATTTACCTGGGACTGGACCAAGAGTATCGTGGACATAGAGACTATCCGGTGAGAACAGTATGTGATCTATTGTGCCCGTAAATGTTGGTGTTTTGTTCGTGTATGGGAGAAGGGCTCGTGGGTACGCTGGTTGAAGAGTGAATGTGTTGGCGAGTACGGGTGAAGCCGCTGGACGCGAAAAAGTCCCATAGTCTTTGTCCACCCATCCAAAATCTTTTGAGCCCACATTAACGGAACCATTGACGAGGAACTGCATAACGTGTTCACCAAACATTGAATTCAAATCCCCAGCTAGGACGATGGGTACGGCCGTCCCACGATTTTTATCGTCCAGGGGTGTTTTGAAGGATGGCTGTCGGGTATCGTCAGCAGCCTGGCATCGATTCAAGACGTCCATCAGTAATCCGGCTTGTAGGAGTTTGGTTCGCTCGTCGCGGGGGTTCCAGTGTAAATGTGTGGTGACGACCCTCAGCTTTCGGTTTGTATGGACGCATTTGAGGGTAGTGATGATGGCTGTGTTTGGGAAGCGGAGAAGGTCAAGTTTGAGGTCGTGTGAGGGTGTGGGGGGTCGGTCAATGGGTTCGGGGTGGGTATCCAGACCATTGAGGTTGGAGACGAGTTCTGGAAAAGCAAATGTTGAACACTCGACCAATCGAAATCGGTCGACTTTCCAAAATGTGGCACATCCATCATCTTGGTCGTCGGAACGGTTCTTGCCGCGGAAGACGCCGCGGTATCCTTGGGCATGCAAAGCGGGGGCAAAGAACCCGGTGAAATCGTTTTGTGGCAATTCTTGGAGGCAGACAATGTCTGGGTGATGATGGGCGAGTTCAGAGAGGATGGCTTGTTTCCGGCGAAGCCAAGGAATGTTTTGCGCATAGGGGAATTTGTCGGGGGTACAGTAGGTTGGCGCTAAGATATTCCATGTGAGGATGGAAAAGGTTGCGGGAGTAGATGGGGTTGGAGTGGATTTGCCAGTTGTTGCCCAGCGGCGATCTGGGATGATGAGGGGTGGATCGGATGGGCCTTGTGGGATGGTAAGGAGCGGATTTATCGGTGCGGACGTAGATGGCAGGCCGCCGGGACTAGCTTTGGGGGGAACATTGGTGCAAGTTGACGTTTGCAATGTCATGACATTTGGTTTCGGCGGCGTTGACTCTCGGGTCCGGCGTTCATCCCGGTTTGCGATAGCCGTTTTGCTCGCTGACAGTTTCGTCGTCACACCCTCCACCACCGGCAAAAACGGCTTCATGTCCGTAGCGCGGGGTCGCAGCGACAGTAGAAAATCCCTCTCATATCGCCTCGGCACTTCCACTACCACCTCCACCTCCAATTCCACTTTGACATCTTTTGGTGGATCGACGACTATTTCATCGAGTTGTTCAAGCCTCGAGAAAATGACAGGTACAGACTGTGCTCGCGTTCGGGCGTTGAATGCCTTCTCAAGAGCTCCTGTAAATAGGGGCTGGATGATGGGCGCGCACAAGCCCTGCACGCCATAAATACAAATGACAGGAATCGATCAGATATCAGTCTTTGAATCACTCGAAACAACTACTTTCAACCTTTTCCATTCTGTTGACCTCTTCTTCAGTGGGCGTCCACGTCACATTGGGGTCCAGATTTCGACGTTTGTCGGATTTCACTTGGTCCCATACTAATGCCAAGCTACACTGCTCAGTTTTGCAGGCACCCATTAATTAAAGATGTCCGCGTAGACTTACCCAACAAGATTCCTCGAAATACCGCACTAAAGACTCCACATAAAGCCCACCCCCATCCGGCATTGCAAACTGCAGCGACGAGGATCCCGCACGAAAGAAGTGTATCAAAAAATGTATACGACACACGCCTGTGACAAATAACTACACATGAGGGTTGTGTCAAAAATGTTTTCGAGCAGTCTCCTGAAGGGCCTTACATCAAACGGTCCATTCCCTTGCCAATTGGCAACTGTCGAGGCATGTTTGTATTGCGCTTGCCAAAACAGCAGATCGGCCCGTTCACCGATAGATGACCAATTTTGACAATCCGGCGAGAGTTTCGTTGTTCGATCGTCAACTTTTTCACCACATACACACAATATGAAATATCCCCGTAGCAATCAAATCCTTGAACAAAAAGCCTTCTTTACCAGGCTGCGATTTGAGCTTTATAGCCCCGCGCAACCCCCCAAACCAACAGTCCAAAGTAAAGCCTAAAGTTCCCTGCCCTGTAGCAAGTGAGCGCAGTAAAATGCAAGGGCGTCAAAAGTTCCGAAAGGGCGCGCGTTGGATTTGATAATAACCACCAGGATCAACACGTGTAGGAGTTCTTTGTTAAAGCAATCAGTTGCAAGCAGCAAGCAGAAGAGGTTTCAAAAGTGTTGAGCAGGTTTTAAATATCCCTTCCCTGCGGGCCGCCATGGGCAAACAACAAACGGACATTGTAATGGCTTCCCCTGGTGATCCCCCCCTTTAGTATGGAATATATCCAACCCGTATTGGAAGGACAAAAACGTGCCCCCTTTCGATGGGATATTGCAACCCCGATCATCGATATTTGGATTACGCGAGGATCAAGTCATCAAAAGGATTCATGCAAAACGTCACAACCATGGCTCATGGCTTGCAGTTTGTTTGTTTTGTCACCCATACTAAACAACACACAAGGCATTACGTTACAATATATCAGTATCTGAGGTTTGCACAGTCTATGTTGTATTGATTCCAACATGGATAATGTTTGATTGCACTATGCAAAGGTTCAGACTACAACAGGCGCCCCTCCGGCGGCCCCTTCTTCAACCTCCACCAGCCCAATACTTTTCAAAAAGGCCTCATCACGAGGCTCTCGTCCCAAAAAGTTTCTCAACATGTCCATTCCATCGCTAATAATTAATGGGTCACATTTAATATTCACTTGGACGCAAAAATCGCACTTGTAGGTTACGGCCAGTTACTCACCGACTGCCTCCAGGGCCCAAAATATCCTTTCGGTAACTCAGTCCTGTTGCCGGATTTTGCACTCCCTCGACCTTGAACCGTGAAAAGAACATGTCGGCAGAGAATACTTGTGACCACAAGTAGCCATAGTATCCGGCATCTAAAAGGGCAATAGGGAGTCAAACCCATGCACGTTCCGATCGTACACGCATTGGCTCTCGCAGCTTACCGTAGCCACCCATAATGTGACCAAAGGCAGCAGCAGGCCATGTATTAGGTGTTCCAGGAATCAACGTGACTTCCTCCCGAAGCTTGTTCCAGAGGTCTGTGGTTGAAATACCCCCGCTACGAGTCGTGTGCAGAGTAAAGTCGAACCAACCGAAAAAGATCTAAGCCCATGACCAACATGTGAGATAGAAGAAGACGCATTAACAAAGTTCTTGGATCGCAAGCGGCGCACCTGTCGAAGGTTCAGAAGAGCTGCATTCACGTTCTTTGCCTTGACCAAAGACTCAATCAGATTGTTTGGTAAGGGGTGTGATGGACCCTTTTCATAATGGGCGGACAACTTTTGAAGAATTCCAGCCTCCCAACACCACTACCAAATGCCTCAAGAATAAGTCCTCACACCCAATGCAAATGCAACTACCCATAACAAAAGACTCACATTCTCCAACATTTGACTGGGCGCCTCAACAAAGTCCCGCTCAACTCTCGTTCCATGGAACCTGGAGAACCGCGTTACAGAGCAAATCTGATGCATCACGTGTCCAAGCTCATGGAAGTAGGTTGTGACTTCAGAGTGCTTGAGCAATGATGGCTTGGCCGCGGTGGGTTTGCTAAAGTTTGCAACCTAGAAGCCGGAACGAAATGGGCGATAAGCGTGGATGTTCGTACACATGGATAATGAGACAACTCACCATCGCGGCCACAGGGTACTGCCTCTTCCCGTCCGGCAATTCACACCCGGGCTGTAACCCAAACACAGCGGCATGTGTGTATTTGCCTTCACTGGAAATGGAGAACGATCAAAGTACATTCATTGAAGTGGAATGTTGTCCTCGTCTTACCGTGGATGAAGGTCGAGATAAAAATGTCCCATAAACTCTCCAGAATGGTCAAACACTTCAAATAACCGCACATCCGCATGCCAAACTGGAGGTTTCTCGACCTCCTTGAATCGAATAGACAGCACCGTCTGATACAAATCTAACATGCCTTGAGTCACAGTTTCAAGGCTAAAGTACTGCTTAATCTCCTCATCGTTGACTGAATACTCGGATTCAAGCAAGAGTCGATTGTAGTACTGGAAATCCCAAGAGTTTATCTTGTTATCAAACGGCTCATTGCGGGAAGCTTTTTCTTTCTGTGCAGCGCCACAACCACCAACATCGTAAGGTTGCGATCACGTCAGTACAAGAAACTTCGACTTTACTAACCTTTTTGAGCTCAAGCAATCTTTGCAACTCTTTCTGGCCAAATGGCGTGAGCCTCTCTCGCAACTTTTTAAGAAATTCATCAACGCTCTTTGTGTCTTTCGCCATCTTGACCTCCAATATGTAGGACGCATGATCCTTGTACCCCAGAAGCTTTGCAATTTGTTCACGAACAGCAACAGCGGATTCAAGGATGGCAACGTTGGCCTGGCATTTTTGTCCATTGGCAATATCTAGGCGCTTCCGTGTCTCTTCGCGCTTTGCCATGCGCATTGTAGGAATGCTGTCGTGCAATTCCCATTAGCATGCTGTTGCTACAGCATAAAGAGATTTGCTGTCCTCACATGTCAGGGTATTTCATGGTCACAGCATACTTCTCCACGCCGTCCTTTTCATCGACCTTTTTAGTCAATCCCTCCAAAAAGTCATCTGGCATGCCCTCCAATTCATCCTTGGTGAACCTATAACTGGCGATTAACGACCATAGCTGCAAATGACAGTCGTTATGAATACTTACAGAACCTCCGTCTTGTCTTCGTTCATGTTCTTACTAAACTCTGTTGATGCGTCAGCAAGCTTCTTCTTTAATTTTTCCAGTTCATCCCGCTTTTCTTTTGGCAGAGCAAGACCGTTTCTGAGAAACATTATTAGGCACGAATCCGAGCATCCCAGCTTTATAATATTATAACCTTTTGAAATCGCGTTCGGTGAATTCCAGCAATCGTGCCGATTCGGGGTCAAGCTGCTCCTTCTTGGCTGAAGTAGCTTGGACAGCTTTAAAGAGGTCCTCACGCATGCTTTGTTGAATTTCAAATTCCTATACACAAAAGTTATCACTCAGTCACCCTTCCGGCATAACGGCGAGCTATAAGTGACGGAAGCCTACATCGAGAAGCTTGTTCGCCTCAACGGCGGCGTCCCTGACTGCCTTGTCGGGGGAGACATATTGGGGAAAGGTCACCTGAAAGAGGAAACATGGAGGTTAACCACAGAGAATATGCCACCGCTCATGAGTGGTAGATAGCAACGTACGTTGTTTGTCTCAATACCAAGCCAAGTATCGACGGTCGCCATCTTCTTTATGACTGACTCGAAATTGCATTGGTCGGGCGTCAAAGCAGCGATCTCATCGTACTGTTTGCGCGCTTTAGCAATTATATCTTCGGTGTGGGCCTTAATTTCAGACGGGGACATGTCCAGACGAAGACGGTTGTGCTCGAGGGTTGGGGTAGCCATGGTTGAGTTCAGGCGGTGGGGAGTGCAGAATGGAATAGTTGAGTATTGGAGAACCAGGCGATTAGAAGCCGTAAGGATGCGAGGGCTTTGGCAGTGGAGCGAATGGGAATGAGTTGCAAAATGGTTGGTGAGGGTGATGAGCGGTTTTATGCGGTGCCTGGAAACACAAAGCAATCTGGAAGCTCTGCAACGGGCAAGCATCGTGGTGTGGGGGGAAACAGGAGGTGACCCACGATCTGAGTTGAGTCATTGGCGTAACGCGCGCCTTGTCATTTAATAGACTTGTGAAAAGCTGGAAATTGCAATAAGATGACCAACAAATGGCAGCAAGAGTAAAACACCATGGTCATGGAGAGATAAGTGGGTTTCCCCTATTAGAACATGAGGATGGACAAGAAAGAATCATCGGCCAGCACAACTTTCTAAAGCCGGCATCCTAACCGAATGTCATCTATAACTCGTTCATACGGCCCATCCTGCCATGTTCATCTACTAGGAATTACCATTCAAAGTTTATTAGGTTCACTGCATGCCGGAGGTGCTGATCAATATCGGCATGCAGTCGTGGAGCGCGGTCGATATTTTCCATTATTTTGATGATTTGGCATCTGAATGGCCCAGCGACATGTCTGGGGCTGCAGGAAGAGAGATATTAGCCCAGAACATTCTAATCTCCTGCAGTGCGGGTAAAACAAGAGCATACCAATCAGATCCCTCACTTTCTGCTTTAGATCCTTTATTTCTGGAAATCCTCCATTCGTCTGTAGGATCAGAGAGCAGTCAGATCACAGTGCATCGACATTTTACAAAGTGCCAGCGCGCCATACCTTGCGGTCCCAGACCAAGTGCACTTGATCATTAACCACAATGCGGATTTGATATATAGCGTTATTGCCAGGTATAAGAGCCACTTCGCCCACGGCCTCTGTAAAGGTTGTTAAACTGCGAGATGAATGTCGTGAGGGCTAGGTTGAAACGGCCGCTGTAACGAGGAGCCAACGGACAGTTCTTGGGCCATCCACGCAGCTAAGGAAAGACTGTTAGCAAGAGATGAAATTATTGTTCGAAAGGGTATTCTCACCTCTCAACATCCACCGGCATCCAGGGCAGTACTCGATTTCTGGCAAAAGAGACTTAGTTTCGGTACAAACAGGTCTCACCGAGTTGTTAGCGCGTCCAGTACCTATACGTGGTGTTCGAATGATTTGTGACGGGCTAGAGTCGCCGGGAGCGAGAGTAGAGACTGCTTCTGCCATAATGTTGATGTGAGCGACAAATGCAAGAGCTTTCAAACGAGGCTTCAACCCATGTGCATGTTGGATGAGTCAATTCCCATGGCTGTGCCACATATGCCTATCTCAACTTTGCTGATATCACAACGCAGGCTGCATTATCCACGCTATCCCGGCATCACGAATAAAATAAGTTGGTAAACCCAGTTGCTTAATCTGCGACTGATGGCAAAACGCTTTCGATTCCTCTTTCAAAACCCAGGCAGAAGCAAACCGCGATGATGTCCATGTTCAGATACGAGTTGATCCGACATTTCTTATTGCCAATACACTATGCTCACAATAAATAGCATTGCTGACAACTACCGACTACCTAATTTTAATTGTCCTGCAAAGTTGTTTACACCATGTCTTGATCTGCACCTCTCCCGACTTGTTCACGTACAGTCTCTCTGGACGCATCTTTATCATTTCCACCTTGTGGTTCAATAAATGCATTCACGTACGCATCGTCTTCATCTTGCTCGTACTCGGCACTAGGTAGACTCTCCACATCCTGCATGCTGGTCACCATATTAGTGGCTTTGACCATATTCGGTCGTCCGTCGGCCCCCGCGCCTGTTTTCGAGACGGTTTTTGTACTCTTGATTGTTTTGGCTGCTCCGCTGGTATTTCCGCGCGATTTGGTCCGGCTGCGAACTCTACGATGTTCTCTGATCACTGCCCAGGCAATTATCGCCGAGCGGGCAGAATCGATGGCATGAGTGACGGCCGTAACGCTGTTGAAGTTCCCATACGCAAAGATAATTTTGAGAGTAACAAAGATCTTTTAAAACGGTTGTCAGCTGTGTCAGATCGTGATTGGGCATCACAAATACAACTTACGATAGAGAAGAACACTCGTACATGTTCATTTTGAGCCAACTGCCGGAACACCTCTTGGGTACCTTCGAATACTCCGTGTTGACGACTGGCGATGCCTTGGAGTAGCATCCCTGTTGTGAAAACCTCTAGAAATAGCTGCATGATGCAAAACAAAAATTAGATAAACATTCCAAGGTGTCCGACCAAAAGTCAACTTGGAAACCTACTTCTATGTCATATTGATGTTTAAACACAACCGGATACTTGTCCGCACAAAGTCCAAGTGCCGTTACGCTGGATTTTCTCATAATGATTCCCGCCAGAACAACCGCAAAATGTGCCGCTGACCCGAGAATCACCACCACCTGACATGTCCTTTTCCACTGCGTAAATAGCAAGAGCTTTATCAACATAATTCCATAAATCAAGTCCCACGCCAAGACCATTGGAATGTTGACCAATGGCGATCGGGCACTGCAGCTCAACGGTCCCGAAACCATCACGGCATACAGTGTCGCGCTGATCGTTTTGATAAAGATCAACGAGGCTTGTAGGGCATTGAGGAGGTAGATGGGCTTACGACGCCTGTAATATGTATAATAGCTGGAATATAAGACGACAATGCCCAACGCAGTTAATGCTCCGAACAGGGCAGAATTGGTGTTCGAAAGCTGGATATCGTAAAAAGTTTGAAGGGCCAGCGCATTGGGGTTGAAGGGAGCTCCAGGCGATACTGGAGATGGTGGGAGGTTGTCGGTGTCGGGAACGCTGGTTACAGGAGCAGTTGCATCAAGAGACGAGTCGTGAGATTGGGAGTAGTTGCTTGTCCCGAAAGTGATGTTCACTGTGATATTTGATAAGATGGTGTTGTTGTCCATGCTGTGAATCTACAGTGAGACCAAAATCAAAATACATAGAAAGGCAAAGGGATGTCTGGCCGCTCGCTACCAAGGCCCTGATAATATCCCGAGATCGAAAGGTTTCCAGGAACAATGGCGGCGGTAGGCTTACGTTAAGCGCGATCCTCATTTGGCGGGAGAGGTTTTTAATTAAGACCATCTAGACGGGAGCCCGTCTGAGTACAGGCGCATTGTTGGACAGCATGAAATCCATGGCACGGAACGAGTGCCCATAGCAAGGGGCCCTTATAAGACAAGCGCTCTTGTAATTTCGGGGATGAGTACGAGATTCAAGAAATGCTGCTTACATTTTAAGTGGTGAAGTAAGCGCAAGATCATAAAAAAGGTGACACTGTCACCGTGAAATTCTGGTTTGCCAACTCGTGTATACAAATCTGTCCAGTCTACAAAACCCTCGAAGGAGAATCCGACGTGTCATCTAGCTGATTAAATCAAATTTTATACTGGGACCCCCGACGCACCAAACGCCTTGCCCACGGCATATGTTCCACCCATCGCAATCCAACCCCCAATCAAAACACGCAAAGCGCCCTTCCAAACTGGTGCTCCGCCGAGCCAGGCACCCAAAATACCGTTAAGAATCAGACCCAAAGTACTGGCAATCACCACTGCGAGGATACGCGTCTCGTATGAACTGATAAACACCGCAGCTGAACACAGACAGAGAGTTAGATGCGTCGCCCATAGCGCTCGAATATGCAATGACTTACCTAGCAGAGGTAAGGCCGCGCCCACCGCAAATGTCAGCGCTGATGTGATGGCGGCTTGAGCAGGATTGGATAATTCATCAACGTCAACGTTGAGTTCCTCCCGCAAATGAACCTTTACAATCTCGTCAATGTCCCCATTAGCTTGAGCGTGCAGCTCTTCAGCTACACGAAGCGCTAATTCTGGTGATATGCCTCGCGCCTCGTATATTCCTGCAGAAAATCAACAGGGCAAGAGTTGTCAGACAAATGATGACATGATTGCATGAATCCTCATCCCACTTCAAATGCTAGCAAGACCTACCTGCCAGCTCGCGAAGTTCCCGCTCTACATGGAGAGGACCCTTCAAGAATTCGGCTTTCTCTCTGATCATATCTGGCAACAAAGGTTCAGTAGGCACAAATCACTGGAAATATGCAGAAAAACGTACCAGCACTCTCGGTGTCCTTCTGCGTAGCTACAGAGACATACTCGCCTGAATTGCACAGGGGTTAGAAGCAAATTCCAAAGAGGATTCGGACCACACCTTGGACTCACCGCATGCCATTGACAATGCACCCGCAACCAAGGCGGCCAATCCACTGAGAATCATCAAATGGTAATCCTCACTACTACCTCCAATACCTAACAAAATAGCCAGAACTCTTTATTTCAATGTTGATCGACTCGGTATACGAATTGAAACCTACCGACGATCAGCGAAGCCGTGGAGACGAGGCCATCATTAGCACCCAGCACAGCGGCACGCAACCAAGGGGTCCGGTCCGAGTAGTGCTTGTGGCCAATTTCCGGAAGGTGGTGGTGTGGGTGGTGGTGGCTGGATAATAGGGGAGTGGTTGGGTCGACATCGACAGAGATGGAACCGGACGTGGAACTGTTACCGCCTGCCACTGAGCCGTAATTTGGAGGTGGCTCGCAGAGAACAGACTGGGGTTCTTGATTCTTGTTAGCAGCCATTCTAAATCTTTTTAGTAACTAGTTGCAGAATAGGGTCTCGGGTGAATGGAATGAATTTCCGCCCTGGAGGTCTGATTGCAAATAACGCTGCGCTCGGTGGATTAATTGAAATTAAGATGACTGTGCCATTGATTACAAGCCTCAGATTGGAGAGTTTAGATTTTTGGACAAACTCTTTAAACGCTCGTAATGATTGCCTTTTCGTGGCCAGTTCCATACAGCATTGGTTTCCAGTTCATGCCATATGTAAAGTGCATGGACAAATAACCTCCATGTTAGAGTATGCCCCTTTCCATCCATTTCACTGAGAGCTATAACTTGCTTGATATGTGAGCGATACATATCGCCCTTACAGAGCAATCATGAACAAATATATTCAAACTATCCTGCTCACAGGTAAGTCGCCTCAGTAGCACAATCAGGTAGTGCACTCGCCTCCTAAGCTTAGGTTAGTGAGAGGTTGCGGGTTCGAGTCCCGTCTGAGGTGTTTTGAAAGCGTCGTGGTTTTTTTTCACATTGTTTTCTGTTTTGATGCCTTGCAGAATGCTGCAATTCTCTTTGCCCTCAAGGCTTCCCTACCCGTTCTCAGCCAATACGAATGAATATTGGCATACATTGTTTTGATGAAATGCTTCGACCAGTATCCATTCGGCAAAACAAGATGCAAACAAGCATCCAATTGTTCGGATGCAAAAATGTACCGATTTCAGGGTCCTTGTCATCTCTTGGCCGAGTACCATGGATGTGGGATGTTTAATAACCAAACGTTCCAAAGCAAGATATAGCAACAAATGTCTCCAAATGGAAATTCTGCCTCGTAAGGAGTGATGGAAGGCGTTTCAGTTGTATTGAAAACTGGTTAGCATGTGGGCTTAGCTACTCCAGGCCCAGATTTCACCATCCATCGTCGTCGTTCCTTTTTATTTTTGGCATGGGCTTTTGGGAAATCTAGTGTTTTTAATCCATTGCATCTTTTGCTCACCTTATGAACCATGAAGGTGAAGGGTAAGAGTGACAATGTTGTGTCAGGAGCTCTCCCTCCACTTGCAGAATGCTCACAAACGCTGGTGATTTCTAGGCCAAGTTGCATAGACGAAAGGCGGTGCATTGCGGTGATCAAATGCACGGAAACACTCACAAACAGGTAAGCGCACGGACACTTGGACCTCCATGATCAACGCAGTCGAAAGGCGCTACAGACACAGGTGGCGGCCATACAGTCTGTTCTGCCGTGACACGTGGACTGGCAGAGAGTGAAATTCACTGTCGGTGCTGGCAGTTCAGATCCGTTTTTTGGTCGGTCCAGAATTGGATATGCGGTTCAGGCACATTTGTTATGGCTCAGATCTGTTCTCAACTTTTTTGCTTGCTTTACATCAAATAGCGCAACTGCCCCACCATTTTAATTTAATCGTTACGACTGCGAAATTCATAAGCGATCGAATAGGACTGTACCTGCACAATATCACAAAAGCAAATTTCCAACGATCGCACAAACCTGCACACCACGAGCCCAGCAAGGATCTGATATCCAGCTCCCTGTAGATAACCGTTCAAACCTCAAACTTGTAGACTTTGCATACAACCATCCTTTGTGCCAGAATTTTCGATGCCAGCAACAGAATTTGACTCTCTCATCTCCTCCGACTCTGATTCAGACGACCAACGAAAGCGCGTACTTGCGCGGGCGTTGAGAAAGAAGGAAGCCGAGAATGGTCGGTCGGACTCTGAATTGTTCGACTCTGATCCATCATCTCTTTCCGAATCAATGCTTTCTGATCTATCCTCGTCCAGTAGTGAAGATGATGAACCGCACACGATAATATCTGGAAAAAAACGACGAAGAGACTCTATCGTATCTACGACATCCGTCGGGTCAGTCTCTAAAAAGCCCCGCGGAAATCGAAGTGTAACAAATAAGAAGCCACCAGCAAAAGGTACTGTCAAAATAAAAGGAGCAGCAGGAAAGGGAAAGGGACGAGGGACGGGTACCATATCTTCAAAAGGAACTGGTACGCCAGCATCCAACTCAAAGTCGCGGGCGTCAGGAAAGAAAAACGGCTCGCTCAAGAAGCAGCTATATTGTATATGTCGGTCCGAATACGATGGGGAAGAGTTTATGATTGCTTGTGATGGATGCCAAGGTTGGTGCAAAAAAGTTCATAAACAATTTATCAATCGCGCACTCACGTTATTGGAATTCCAGAATGGTTCCATGGAAAGTGTGTCGGTGTCAAACCGTCGAAAGCTAGTGAAAAGGAGTATTATTGCGACGAATGTTGCCCAAAACCGCCGCCAATAGACTCACTTGGAGGCCGTCAAGGTAGGCACAATTTGTAAGGTGCGACTGAAAGGTCCAATACTGACTAATAACCCAGGTCAAAAAGGATCTCGGACGTCCGTAGAACCCATAATACAGGCTGATGACGACCTGGGCGATGATGACATTTGCGTCTTGTGCGATGGCGATTGTACATGCAATGTCCCTAAAGCGGAGGACGTCGTTGAACCAGTTCCCTCACCTATTGCAGTGTATCCACCCGAAATATCTCCCATAACAAAAAGAAAGGCTGGGAAAGGTGCAACGGTGTCTAAAGTGGCCGGAAAAGGAAAAAGCAGCGTGGCTTTGAAAAACATTCTTAGAGAAGCTCCTCCGGAGATCGTACCTAAACCAAAAAAGAAATCAAAGAGGGATGCGTCTCGTACAGCGAATACAAAGAAATCAAAGACGATTGCTTCCAAAGCAACGGATAATTGGATCGTGCAGGACGCTAGTCAGACAGTTTCGATTCAAAGTGATGATGAAGCAGAGGTCCAGACGCGTGCCGACGAGGAACTAGAGGATACCATTCAGAATAGCGATGACGACATCTTTGCGTCTGACGTAGATGATGCATCTGACATTTATGCCATTGTGGATGGGCAAAATGGGAACGAACATGATGACGACGAGGGAGAGGACCACAGCGATGAGAACGATGCTGATGCTGATGAGGACGATAATGAGGATGAAGACGTATTGTCCACTTACCAAAACTACGATGCAGAGCAGCGGATTTTAGGATGGAGCGAGTCTGATGAGGAAGAGGACGATGATGACGATGATGACTTTTTCAAGTCCCCGGCATTGGTGCCAGGCAGATCCATGACCACCGCCGAGTCGACGTCTATTCTCGGTGATATCGATATTGACGACTTGCTCGATCTGGGGATGCCAACAGAGGGTCTCGAAGAGATTGATTTTACTAATGGGGACGATCCAATACCAGATCTGGATTTTTTCAACGCCGATTCTCTTGATATAGACTCCCACTCACCCGACTCTCAATCCAATGGGGTTTGCGACACGCAGACGACAAGCGCGCCAGTAGGCGCAGTTTCAGCCGCAACGTCACCAGGCGACAGTCCTGCCCAACCCGTAACAGTGGGCCCAACGTCAATATCCTTTGACATTAAGAAAACTGATGTGGGGCCAAACGGGGAAATCACCACGACGACAAAAACAATGACGTTCCAGTTGAACGGGACTCAGTCTGCATTGTTGGCTGCCGGAAAGACAATTGGAACAAAGCGCCGAGATGGGGGTGCCAAGCGTGGCGCAAAGACTACCCCAAGGCTTGGACGTGCGGTTACGAGCGGTCCGCTTGGAAGTCCTGGGGTTGGTACACATATCAATGGTTTGACCGGAGGGGCTGCAAGCGCATCAGCACCTTCAACAATATCTCCGTTTCCTTCCTTCTTGTCATCTTCCGGGACCCCAGGAGGATATGCGTCAATGTCTCCTCTTTTATCGACTCGCTCGTCCCTCCCAACCTTCCCCCTCTCCAGTACCACATCTGCTGTTACCGCAGCCACTTTGCTCAAGACGCCATTGGATCCTTCCATTCTTGCTGCCGCAGCAGCTGCCATGGTCGGTTCTGGGGGATTATTGGGAACTCCCTCTACACCTGCAACAGGCACCGGCTTGGCGGGAAGACCTGATTTGCAGAAACTGATTGATAGCATTACCCTCAATGCCAAAGTGAAAGCGGCGCTTGCTGCTACCGTTGGTGGGGCCATCGCCTCTGGGAACACGAATATCCCAACCGCGACACATCCGAAGCCGCAGGACGGAGGGCTTAAAGCAAAGGATGCCGCACCGAGTGTGCCTGGAACTAGACCAAATTTTCCTCAACCTCCACCGAATCCGTTTCTCGGGTTTGACTTTCCAAAGACAATGGAAGAGTTTAATCGGTTATTTAGTCCTCAAAATGTTGCTGCAGCTGCCGCCGCGGCCGCAGCTGCCGCTGCAGCGTATGCTTCTACAACTGGTTCTGCAACGGGTTTTACTGGTAATGCTTCGACGACTACTGCTTTTGCTGGTGTACCGCCTCCTAGTGTGTTGACACAGGCTGTCATGGGTGCAGGGGTAGGTGCCGTTGGCGGTGGCATTAGCTCGTTGGGTGCATCTACCATACCGGCGCCAGTTGTTTCGGCTCCCATACCACCTCCCGCACCGTTGTCAGGACCGACATCTTCCCCATCCACCAATCCGCCTATCAAAGAAGAACCAGCTCCGCCGGCAGATATGACCATGGAGGATCTCTTTGACACCGCCGCTCTCGATTCGTCTCTTCTCGATGCCACCTCCGTTCCTAGTACCTCCGCACAAGATGATCGATGGAGAAAGATTCCAATCGGGGCTTTCCGACGATCGAGACGGATGAGTGGAGATGGAGGTGGATGGCGGGGATTAAAAGCGGCCATTAAAGGCGGCCGGAGGGTGTTTAACGAAACGCTTTTGGTAGAGGGTGGCATGTGGAGCCACCAAACTCCGCAACACATACCCCTCGACAGTGACACTGTCAATGAGAGTTTATCTGTGAATGCACCCAACGCGACCCAGCATCGTATGGAAAACTCTTATGAAGACGATTTTGTTCGGGAACTGGGTGGAGAGTGGGGTGCTTTAGATAAAGCCTGTGAGGAACATGCTCTTAATTCACCTGGTGAATCGGTATTTGGAGATGTGCACGGCCGGCGAAAGGGGAAGGGCAAGAAGAAGGGGAAAAAGGTCAAGATAGGTAGACGGATTTAATAGTGTACATATCCTTTTGTAATTTTGGCATCTTTATTGAAAACTATATAGTAGGTAGATTTCTAGGGCGTGAGATTGTGATTGAGAGTTGATGTTGTAGATTGGGTCACTCAAACAGACATGCATTATCAAAAGGAATATAAATTCCAATTCACAACCATTATTCGCATCCAAATTTTATATTTTACAGAATGCTAGTTTTAAAACAATCATAGAATCGAATCATATAATAATAACTTGGTTTTTGTCTCCCTCTCCAATGAAGAATTACTTACAATGTGTAAAAGTATACAACTATAAACAGTGTGCGTAGCCGTTAGCTTTCTTCCTCCCCTTTTTGTCATATACCTTGGAGGTGGATAGTTCGAAACTAGGCTTCTTTTATCTCCACATTCCATGCCATCGATTCGGGACCTGACTACGCGGCGAAACTGGGGCCGATGAGGATGAAGAGAGATGGTAGCGGGAAAGGTCTCTGCTGCCTTGGTGTTTAGGTACCGTCGCGGGCGGTGGAGGGAGACGAATTTGGTTAGGGATTGATGGTTGTACGGCGCTTAGGAATGACGGCAGTTGGGGGAATTTTGGGTTTGGTGTTTGATGTGGAGATGGGGATGGGGATGGAGGCGATAAATGTCGTCGAGAAGGGAGATGTGGTAGGATTTGGAGAGATGATGATAAAGATGGTAATTGTGGTGGAGGTGGTGGTGGTGGGGGTCGTGGTCGTGGCGGGGCTACTGGATAATGATGTGTCGGTGGAGGTAGGGATAGGGACGGAAGATAAGACGGACCAACCCAAGGCATGTGCCCTGTATTGTGATATGAAGGATCTGGTCCGTAGGGATAATAGCTTTGATGATGACGGTGCAAATTGCCCATATCCTCGTATTTGATCTCGTTCTCGTCATCTTCGTTATTCGATCCACTTTCCAATGTCTCGCCATCTGTCCCAACACTGTGCTCGCGGCTGCTTTCCCTCTTTTCGTATCGCTTTCGCATGGCTTCCAAGCTGCGATGTCGTCTCAACGTATCCGACCTTGTGAAGCCCAGGCCACACAAGTCACAAGTGTATGGCTTGGATCCTGTCTCCATATGGACACTTTGCATGTGCCGACGCTGATCAAATTTACGACGGAACGTTCGATTACAGAGCTCGCATTTGAAAGGCCGGAGGTTGGAATGGACTAGCTCATGAGATTGCAGGTTGAATCGGCGGGTGAAGGCCTTGCCACAGTCTAACTCATTTTGGCGAATGTCAGATCAACACTCGTTTTACATTCTGATGCAGCCCGCTTGGATATTCTATTGAAAATCTCACCTGGTTCCGGGCACTTGAAGAGTTTTGGTGAAGTATGTCCCAATTTTTGACCATCGCCAGCCACCGCTTCTGGCGAAGACCGCATTGGCTTCATTATCTATCCACTGTGGAGGCCTAAGAAAGAAATGGCACCAAGCAATGACAGAATAGACATTAACATGGACGGGCTATCAAAGCAACCGCAAAAACAGCAAGTAACAGCTGGGCTTACGCGGGAGCGGAGAGATCCTCCCCGTTACATGCGGCTTTTTATTCGGGAAATATAAGCGGTGGCGAAAAGAAGACTTGTGTATAACAAAGAATGACGACGCATTCGGCAAGTCCGTTTCCTCTTTGTTAGTCACAAGGGGGAATTGGAAGAAAAACTCTCCCAGCGGGAGGTGAGATGTTGGTAGTTTTTGGCAAAAAGGCTGACGAGAAAAAGTCGATAAAATCTGCCTTATAAATTGTCTTTGGTTTTTGTTTGCCCAAAAAGCAGTTTCTTTTTTGGAGGGACGAGTTGTTTGGTTTGCTTTAAAAGATATTTATTACGCTTTCCAATGCGCAGAACTCTTCCACCAGCCAACCAAAAGAAAACCCCCATTTCCCTCCGCCCAACAAAGAGTTCCTGCCCGCATAACAAAAAAGAAGAAGAAAACAAAAGCCCCATGAGTAGGGTGGCGGTTTTCACACTTTTTAGATTTTTGAACACCCAGCCCATTTTGTATCGCCTTGGAGTTTTGAGACGGTACACGACTCTTGAAATTTCAACTAGTTGCTGCTTCAGTCTTGCTGAACTCTTTATAGGTAGTGGCTTTCATCTCGACTTTTGTTTGAGCATGAATCAAGGGAGTTACATTAAAGCTTTTTTACGAATGCGGGATGGAAATCGCTAACATGGCAATAACCATGTGTGTGTGCTTAAAGAAATTATCAAGGTTTTAGGACGCGCTACGAAAGTAACACTAATTTCTTTCTTGTGTGTGTGTGCTTTCAGTTTGAAAAAGAACTTGCAATCACCCCCGCCAAAAGGTTTTGTAAAGTGTGTCCAACAACAAAAGAAAAAAACTTGCCAAACTACAAACCAATTGACTTTGTCGTTTCCAACAGTTTTTTTTTTATATTGGCCTTTCCACAGTTGGAGCTTTTTGTCGAAATCCACGTTGCTTTAGCATTCAGTCAAACACTACTCAGCCAAAGAGTTTTTAAAGAAACAGTACATTCCATCGTCCTTAAGCACATTGACGTCTCATTTTTGTCTAGTAACTTGGCATTGAGGGTTTACGGGATGCACACAGTTTTGCAAGCTTCACTGGAATTCATCATGATTTGATGAGGTGTGCTGACCGAGGATCAAGAAAGGAAAAGGAACTGCTGCATTTGTTACGTTATTGGCCCGCCAAAATCGATAGCATTTTGTAAAAGCAGAAAGTGCGATGTGTAGGAGATATCCCTCCATTTCCCGCATTTCCTCAAACGTGCAGCTCTTCTGTCATTAGCACGAATGTCCGCACGCGTTACGCAATGTAACCACCCTAAAGTCCAAAGATTTTTAGCGCGCAAGTTATACTTTTAACCATATGGGACAAACTCCAGAGTCAAGACAGGTTGAACGACTTTGATTAACCATAATATGGTGTTTTTGAGACGACGGTATTCTTTAATCCTCCCAGCTGATCTTGTGGGCATGCCACGGCTCGTCACCGCTCATCCGTCATTCTGGAACAAGTCATTTGACATTTGCGCCGATTAGCAGTTATCCTTCCCCAATCGCCCGAAATTATCCTCCAGTGAATACCGAATGTTAACAGCAAATCTCGCCCGTTTTTGCACCAAAGAGCATATAATCGCATCGTTACATGACATCCGATTCTCATCTTGTTGGCAAGTGCCAAAACGAGCCGTGCCAGCACAATTACAGCGACATCCGTAAACATGACATTGGATACAGGAGATGACTTTCAAGTTTCCTGCATCTCGTCTCATTGTACAGTCGTTCATAGTGATCGTAGGCCTTTGGAGGACAGCTTCGGCTTCCCTCCGCTCCGAATATGCAATGGTGAGGTCAGCAAAGTTCACTGAACTGCGTACTGCCGATCAAAATTAAATAAGCAAGCGCTGATAACTACAGTTTTCATACGAACAATCTTTGGGACTGCTAACGGCACTTGTATAGCTAAGGGTAGCCGACGTTAAGGTTATGCGTAGAGGACGGCCTGACGGTCAAGCGCCATCTTATATCCAGCCGTGTGGAAGACCAGTGGCATGCTGTACATATAGTGGGACCTGGATCTCACAGAAACGTATTTAATGGTGCCGTGCTCTAATTCTGCGAATGTCAAGCCACTTTGACCGGCTATTCTTTTTGTTAAGGATATACACTGGAGGACAGCTGTTTATCATATATCTGACGGGCACATGATACCAATTGCTAATGTGCTGTACGACTCGCCCTTGCGACAACAAAGAATTTATGACCTGGCCACCGGCATCAGGACACAATCCAATGATGATAGTTTTGTAGTGACTATCATCCAGCGTTTGCTATCTCTCTTGTAGACCTTGTGTCAAACAGTAGTTTGGCAGATATGCGAACTCGACAAGGCTCGTGTGTGGCACAGCAGAACGGGCATCCGGGCATACCGAGCAAGACTTTAGGATGAGCAGAGATCATGGTGCAAATGGCCAACCATAGTGATGTCAAACCGGGTATGCACCTTTAACATTTTACTCATATCCTTTGGGAACGGTGATTTGGGGTGATTACCTTGTTCAGTTCAACAATATGCATGCGTTCAATGGTGACCGAAAGGGAGAACAAGCCGCCTTTGCTGGGCAAGATAGTGAGCATGCGGGAACCGCATATCAAGCAGATACTCAACAAAATGATTCACAAATGCTCAGCGCTCCGCAAGTCAAGCAAGAAATTGGAGATGACGTGGTGATTGATTGGAAACAATCGCGAACTGAAGCTTGGGCACAAGCACCTCCTAGCATACATCAAAGCCCTCTCCCGGCTAGCACAACAACAGAAGAGAAAGAAAAGCGGAGCCTTTCCCCCGACTCTGTACAATCTGCAGTCGAGAAAAAGCTACGTCTGGAGTTTGAAGATCTTTCCGATGATGAAGGCGAAACCCCCACACCTGCGTCCTCTGTAGCGGGAACTCCGGTTGCTACATCTCTGTCATCTGACGAAACCGAACTCGTTCATGGTCTTGAACGTCTCCTCCAAGTATATGATCCAGACCGAGACGCATCTCAGGACGAACAAGCACTTTACGACAAGCTTTACAACTGGATGGAAAGGAGGATGACGATGGACGCAAGGTTCATACCATGGAAACCCGACACAACAGAAGAGCAGGCACTATATTCCCCAAGCATATTACACAGCTCGCGCGCAGGTCGATTTCATTACTTCAAATCCCGTCGACAGTCTGTCAAGAAATATGCGGAACCCGCCACCGCGCTACTGATTGGTAATCTTGCCTGGAAATGGCGAAAGCCTGATGCTGCAGGTCTCCAAGAACAAACAGAACCCAATATCATTATATCAGGAACTGAAGGCAACGTCACGATGATCAGAGAAGGCACCTCGGCCGAGGATTTCGTCTATGAGACAAAGGGGGACACCATCACGACAATGGCTGTCCACAAGATTTTCGCGCACAGTCCTCTTGACCTAATTACTGGGGATGCCGATGGAAACATCAAGTTGATTTCTCAGCAAAGGGTGTTGGTGAAGCATACGCTGGGGGCTGCAGTAACGTGCATCGAGGTCGTCAATAGTATGGGTGCGTGTAGGCCGCCAAATGAGTTGATGGTGTGAGATCGACCACCGTTGCTGAACTTGTCACCAGCAAACAGTACCTATATCGTTGCAGGAGATTCCAGTGGAGTTGTCACCGCATTTGATTTCATTGAGCGACTCTGGCAGGTGCGAGTAGGCGGGTTGCAAACAGCTCCCGATCACAACGTACGTGTTTCATTGCCCAACATTGAATCCAACCTATTGTTCCACTGATTCGCATTCATATTTAGTCAATGGATTACAACCCTGGCATCACTGCCATTCTCTCCCTCAAACTCTATGACCCATACGGCATGCGCAACAGCATTCTCCTTGTCTGTGACGGCGCACCGCATATTCACGTCTTTCAAGGGGACCAACGGATCTTGACAATGGGTCTTCCATCGAGTGTTACTTCGGTAGGAAAGAACTCTTCTTTCTGTCGTTAGAATACATATCTCACCTCCGCTTTTCTTTTCGGGGCACAAGATGTTTAAAGGGTACTTCTCCTATCGTAGTTCACCAATAGATACACTCATCCCAAAAGCAGCTCTTACATCACCACGTTCACACCCCCAAGTCCTTATGGCTACCGACCAAGGAGAAATATTGATCATGGACGGCTGGCTCAATGTAGGCTGTTAAAGAAATACGATCACATGGTATCGGATGCTGACTCTTTTGACACAGATCCGTCGATACATTGCTCTCGACACCTGCGTAAGGAAACTTAAAGGCTTCAGGTTGGAATCGCAAACAAAAGACGATACCGATTATATCGCCGTCGTTGGACACTTTTGCGATATGAACGTGTTCAAAGATGGAAAGGTAAGAATGCGACTTTCCTTAAATTTTTGGCGATTTGACATGGTTCACAACTGAATTTGTAAAAAGCATATATATTCCCTTCCGACGCATGATTGGATTCACGATTTCGACATTATTTCTCTTCCCGATGATCCAGATGGCGTGCGAGTAGGAGTCACACTACTAGATGGGCATGTCCAGACCTATAGGATGCTTAAATCGGAGGGCAAAGCGGCAGGAGATAACTCAGACATGGATGTGGACGACGAGGAGGAGGAAGGGGAGATTTTGGAATAGCCAAATGCCACGGTGATATGATTCAATGCCTATGTACAAAATGGGTGTGTACAAAACCCCTACGAGAACTCAAGTCACAAAGTCACTATAACAATGCAACCAGGACTCTCCGTGCGAGAACTCCAATTTCGTCATCTGCATGCCCCGTCACAGCCCCCTCAACGGCTTTCCTGATTCGTGGATCTTTGAACCTGCCGTCATCACTTACAGCCACGCATGCAGCAAGCAGTTTGAGAGCCGACATTTGGACCTGTATGTTGAATAGAGAGAGAAAAGGCGCGGTCAATGGCGATCCGTTCGCTCGCTAAGCGTTGGCTTCGACTGAGATGGGCACTTACGATATCAAATGGGCTTTCCAAACCATGCAAACAAGCCTCCGCTAGATCCTCCAAGATACCAGCAATATCAGTCGGTTTCTGATGTGACCCATGCGTGTAGACGTACACGATATGAAAGAGCGTCTGCGAGCACAACCAGACGGATGTGAGAGGAAACACTACGAATCCGCACTGTAACTAAAATTCTTACCTGAAAACTAGCGGCAACCCCTACACTGCCGTTCGTTCCACTCGTGACCCTCAAAACCGTCTTCCAAACCATCGCACCAAGCCAAAGGGCAGCATCACGACGGTCTTCGCTTAAAAGGTTTTTGAAGGACTTTGAGAGGACATTTGCCATGGCCGTTTGGCAGCTTTCGTTAGGTGGGGAAGCGAGGGTATCGAGGACAAGATTGAGAACGGATTCAAATGTGTTTGGTTTCTCTTGACGGGCTAGGGGCGGTTGTTCGGTAGCGAGTAAGGCGATGATGATAGCAAAGAAGTCTATAGCGCTCAAGTGGAGCTTTTGACCTTCCTCCGTATCTGCGAACCGGTCAATAAAAGTCAGTTTTTTTGCATCCTTAGCATCTCGCGCCCGAAGATTCATCTTTTAGAAACACTCACTGTCGGCTGAAAACCCTGTCAAAACGCCTCTGGCAACAATTATACCACTCTCCAATATGATTCCTTCAATTTTCCGCCCCCATAGTCCTGCGACGTGGCACAACCAGTACACCCAGCCTTTAGTCAACCATATGTCCCCCTCCTCCCATGCCTGCATGAACAGGGGTGGAATGATGACACAAGTCTTTTGTATAGGAAATCTTGCAAGAATTTCCAGCGACAATTGACGAAGTTGGGCATACTGAGATGGCATGGTCGCGCTGCATTTGTAGACATTTACAAATTGCTAACCGTCAATGCTGTGTCCAAACCAGAAATTTACGAACGCGATCCTCCTACCAGCGTAAAAGGTGGTTTAGAATGATCGATCCAGTATGCTCTAGCGAAGGACGTTGTGGCTCGGCCGTAGGCAGTGCATCATCAGTTAAAGACTGGCGATAAATGTAATCTGATGGAACTATAATTGAAGAGAAGGCGTCTATCGGTAGAATCTCACAAAATAAAACTCGTCAGCATTATCCTGTAGCGGCATTGGTACGAAGGGAAGACACGCACACCTTTAAAACTAGGAAAGGACACAGTCTCAGAAAAACCAACTCTTCCCCTTCACCATAATCTCGTTTGCTAGCATCCGTGCAAGTGTCCAGCCGAATCCAGCCGGCCACAATTTCCAAAGCGCACAGACTAGATTCTGGATCGGTCCAAAAAGCAGCAAGTGTGCTTAAAACTCGCACCATGATAGAATCTTGGGGCGCTGCGTAGAGTTTGCGGAGAAGTATAGGTAGGATCTGTGGCCAGTATGCTGGTGGGCATATCTCACCCCACATTTTGAGTGTTGAAAAGAGTGCATCAAGATGGTCTGTGTTGTGAAATGGCAGGGTTACTTTTGATGTTCAGAGGTGAACGAAGGGAGGAGAGCGCATACCGGTGGAGTTATTTTGAGCATCTGGTTTGTCCAAGGTTGGGGCACCGACCTCTCCTGGAGTTTTCGGTATCCTGTGCGTTGCCGAAGGTTTGGTTCGTGCTGTAGTTCTTTTGAACATACGAATAATAAGCGCTTTCAGTATGAGATTGTGCGCAACCGTTGAACAAAAAATGGTCATTATCAAAACCAACCGGGTATATTCTACGAATGCACTCACAGCTTCCGCCCGTGGCTTGTGCTGTCCTAAGACAGTTACAATCCGTCTTACGGCAGTAGACCGGATTTCATCGTCAGGAGAGTTTAATACATCGCAAAGCTTGGGTATCAGATATGTCAGATCTAGCGTTGTATAGGGGAGGAAATTAATCAGAATGAATAGAATTTGAAGTTGATCGCAAAATATTACCAAGATGGCTAATCAGGTATTCACACGTATCTCCCGTCCAAACCCCATCATCTCGGATTCTTTGGACAAGTTGCTCAACCAGCCCTCTTCTGACGGCAAACATCGCAGTAATCTCATCCACAACGGGTAGTAAGTTCTTGCCTGACGCAATCATGTCTAGAAAGCCCTCAATGACATCTTCTTTGTTCACAGTGGCCAGAGTGGCGAGAATCCGTGGAGCACCGCTTGCCATGACCTCTGCATCCATCATGGACAAAATTGGACGCGAAAGTGCAGAGATATGTTTTGGGAGGAAGTGTCGTAAAAGGGCAAGCAGCAGTGGTTGGGCTAAAGGATCACATAACTTCGGACAGAGAGCACCGTAACAAGTCAAACTTGTGCAGGGAGAAAAGAGCTAATATCGGTCACTTACGTTTTCCGCCACCATATCGCGCAGTCGCTCGTCCAGTCCTGTCTCATTCAAAATATTCAGAGTCTCCGATTCGGTCCACTGAATGAGGGAGCAGCAAATCACACCAATCGGCTCAAACACAGACTCGCTTCGAGGTACCTGATGATGCATGTCTTAAACATGTAATATCTTTGGCCCAAGCATAGCAACCGCGTTCTACCTCATCAAGCTTTGCGCCCAAAAAAGCTTCATATCGAGTGCGCGACATGCTCCAGAGTTTTGGATGTAGGCCAGAAGCGAGCGATATACAAAGTCCTGATATCGCTTTCGTCACTTCTCCGTTTCTTGATCGGCTACGCAAAGCACAAATAATTTCCACGATCGCACTTAATACTTCCGTCCCAAAGCCATGTGCCCAATAAAACTATTATCATCGAAACTATGAGCCAGAAACACTCTCAGATAGCGCTACAAAGGGATACTCACTGGTAAGAGACTATTAACCAGCTCTTCTATGATATCTAGAACTTCACCCATCCTATCATTTACAAGGAGCCCCTGTGCGGCTCCCTTGACTAAATCGAAGGCACAGCCTAAGCATCCCGTGGTCAACTTGGTGTGGTGTACAGTATTGTCTTCTGCAACCAGCCTACGCGCACCAATTCTTTGTAAATTTTCCAAACGTCGCTATCATAGTACGAGTGACATACCTGTCATTGTTGATTCGGTAAAGAAACCCCCGCACCAGCGTCCATGCTTGGACATCACGGAGGAGCAAATCAGATCCCTCAGTAGCCAAAACAACACTCAATGCATCCCTCTTGCTTCCCGTTTCGAGAACCTCCATTAGAACAGCCACAAGCTCCACCTTGAATGGGCCATTGAACAGAAAGGAGATTATTCGGATGGACTTGTTACGATCAGGACCCTTTTTGATGATCTAAGAATATGGTAAGATGAAAGAAGGCATTCGCGCTTTGTGGACAACCCGGTGGAAGACATACCTTGTCTCGTAAAGGACTCCATATTTCCCTCATGGAAGTTCGCCTGTCGTCATTGCGTTCCAAGTAAGCTTCTAGACCTCGCAACGCCGACGCTGTTGGAGCTTGAGTTGATACAAACGCATGTAAGCAAATTTCCATAGGCGTCCCGTCATACATTAAAACACTTGTTGCCTCTCACCCACGTACTATTGGCGTCGTCTTTACGGTATGCCTCACAGACACGTCTTAGAACGGGCTCGGGTGTATTGAATAGAATGAGGAAGGACTTGCCCAACGATGGGGGTACATGGTATGAAGGCTGTGGTGGCTCGAGCACTTGTGAGGGAACAATTCCATTTTGGATATCTTGTATGCTTTTGTTAATGTAGTCTACCATTGTCAAGAAGCACCCCAGGAATATGAGTTAGGATCTGAGGTGTTCGACAACGGTTGGGGTGAGTCACGTTGTTACCATAGCATTGCGCAGCATTTGGATGTTGTTTGGTTACGTAAAAACTTTTTGAGAAATTATGCTATTTTCCAAATGCAAACACCCTTGCTTTGCCGTCTTGGGCATCTTGAAGCTCTAGCTGAGGGTCAACCAAGCTAACACCATGGATGGCACTTCGTTGCGTTTGAACCACATAATGGGCAAACGAGACATATGTCAGGCCACTCAGATGTATTGTGCCCTACGGTCGTTACTCCAGATATGCAGAAGAAACATGCATTTTGAAAAGAGTGGCGGCCGTGATGGAATTTTCGTGGAGTATATAACACCCGCATGAGGAAAACCAACAAAGCACAAATCCGTGTATACTGTTTACATTCACTTTTGCCATATGGCATGAGAAGCGTCTTTTTGAATGAATATGGACAAGTAGCTTTGTGTAATGGTGAGTGCTTCCCCTATTGAAGATATTTTTATCGCATTTCTGAAAGGAGGATCGGATTTCTAAGAATAGGGACTTTCGTTCCTTTGGGTTTGGGTGGGCTTCCATTTATTCTAAACTCCAATATTGTCTTTATATTTTTGTTCGAGCTGCCAAGTCGGAGGCTTAGCTCCGATTAAAGCTCGACTTAAAAGCCAGGCTCCCCTCGTCTGAGTACTCGTACATACGTTCAGACTTTGTACTTTCCATACAGTTGACACCATGTTCGGCGGAAAAACCCCTGTGCATCTCCACGTTCCCGATACTCACGCAATAGGAGACCGTCCTCTCGTTGGTGCCGTTACCATCGACGTATCGAGTCCATTGGAAATCAAAGGCGTTCAAGTCAGCTTCTACGGGGAAGCGGAAATAGAGTATGAGTACACCAAGATGGAGGAAAACTCGGAGGGACAGAAAGTCAGCAAGAAACACGAGTTCAAGAAGGAGAAAAAGTTTGATAAAACGAAGGTTCAGGTTACTGGCCCTCAGGTATGCACAGCGTGGTCAACTTTAATGTGCTGCCGAAAGGCTTACCGAATTTGTTATTTTTCTTTTACAGAAATTGAACCCTGGCAACTATACCTTCCCCTTTGAGCTCAACCTTCCTACCCACCTGCAGCCCTCGTTCAAATATAAGAAAGATAAAATGGAGGTGGAAATCAAATATCGCCTCCATGCAAAAGTGCTAAAAGGAGCATTGAAGTCAGACAGCAAGTCAGAAAAAGCTCCTCTGAAGATTCTCCCAGCTGTCCCTGCCCCGTCTCCCAAAGAAAAGAGCGACACGAACAAGTTCATGTTTGGAAAGGGAACCAGCACAGTGAGCGTGAAGCTGCCGGACACAACCTTCACTCTTGGTCAATCTATCGTGTTCAATGTCGAATGTAATAACGACTCTAAGAAGAACAACAAGGGGATCAAGGGCAAGCTTGAGCAGAAAATTAAGCTTAAGAGTGGCGAAGCCGAGGTTCCAGACTACCACCATGAGAAGACCGTTGCCGAGTCCAAAGCAGAAGGTGCTGGCGAGAACCGCACGACGGTTGTTCGCGAATTGAAGCTTGAAACCAGCAACCTCCCACCCACAGTTCACCATCCTTTCATCGAGATCGAATACAAGCTTCACGCATCAGCTGACTACAGCTTTGCAAAAGATCCTGCTGTGAAGGTTGACGTGGTTATTATCCCTCGTCAAGCGCAGCAATCTCATCCAGGTGCCAGCACCGGCCAGAACTACACATGGAACACTGCTCAATCTCCCGCCCAACCCATGCCCATGCCAATGGCAATACCAGTGGAGATGCCAACGCCGATGCCGATGCCCATGGCGGAACAACCGGTTCACGTTAGTGCGTAAGTAGATACCTTATTATATACTCCGCTTAAAAATGTGCTAGTTAGAATCAAGCAGAATCGAAATATTAGACATCTTATTCGTCAGACTTGCAGTAGAGTATACATTGATATAAGAACAAATTATACAATGGAACCATACGTATGTGTAGATACAACTTGCAGGTGTTTCCTTGGGCAACAATGTCCTTCTGTACAAACCCGCGACATTCATCTAAATGAAATGCCACTGAAGCCTTCCCAGTTCATCCCCACGTCGCGATCACTAAAGCCGGGGTCGTCAGCGTAGTAGTTGCGGCGGATTCGAGGGGGTACTGATGCTGGCTTGGCCACCGACTGCCTGGTTGATGGACTGCCGATCAATATAGTAAATCTCTGTCAATCATTGCCGAAATGCGATTCCGAAGAAAAGGCGGCATATTCGGAGTTCGGACACGCCACACACCCACGAAGGGAGTCGGTAACTACTATATCTAACTCACCCTCGCATGTTCATATTTCGTCCAGCGGAACTGCTTCCGGTCTTTCCTCTTCCCCTCCACTGACCGCGTCCTCTCCATCCAGAATTCTTGCCCCGCCATTTCTTTCCACTTCCAGTTCTGCCGGCAGGAGTTTGTTTGGGTGGGGTTTCGCGTGGAACTCGCTTTCCTTTGCTATCAAACTGTTTATGGAACATCTCCAGACTTCCACTTACATCCTCTCCATCAGCAAGATGTTCGAAGCCCTCAAGCGGCGATAGATTTTCATCATCCTCGTCATTTCCGAAGCCACTGCGGTCATCTTCCGCCAGGGTTGCTTGCTGTGCCCATATAAAATTGTCTCCCGCATGCTGTAATGAACTGACTGGTGGGCGGACGTCGTTGTAATCACCATCCCATTCGTAAGGGATGTTCTGCTCTACTTGGCCGTCCCACGCAGGATTATCGGTACCCACGTCTTCAGAGAGACCGGTAGCCATACTTTGCATCTTCCTTATATCGTTCTCTTTTGGCATCGTGTTTTCGGAAAGGTCAACAGGTCCTTGCACGTTATCTGCGCCCTTCTGACGGTCCAAGTCGTCCTCCACATGCTGTTGTAGATTTTCTTTTAAAACCATCTTATCACAGATGAAGCATTGTTCCCAACTTTCTTGACGATTCCTTCGAACATCTGGTTTTCGTCGTTTTCCAGGACTGCTTATTCGTGGGTCCGGAACTGAAAAATACTAGTCAGAAAAGAGAGGGAGTAGGTATTTTGCAAAGAATGTCATACCAGTCCCGCTTCCGTTTCCATTTTGGAGTTGGCTTTCACGCTTTTCTTCTCGGTTAACATACCACAAGATGTTCGGTCCAGGCATATCATCTGGGTCCAGGTCGCTGTCCTCGCTGCTATCTTCTAACATATTCGTCTTTCCACCTGGAGTGCGTTTTTGAAGGCGACGTTTGCGACTGAGTTCAGACAGTCTGCGCTTCTTTTCCTCCTTCGAGGCACATGGTGGTTGGGGGGTGTCGCTTTCGGATTCGATTGTGATTGCTAGAGTGCGATTAGGTGATGAGACAGGGGTATTGCCGTTGCAAGCAGAAGCATGCTCCTCGACGGCATCGGCAAAGAAATATTTGCTGCAGATGGGGCATGCAACCTTAGTGCCATCACCGAGGTAAATGTCAATTCACGACTTTCAATAATCCGAATGGAGGCCCACTTACCTTATCGAACCCCGAGTCCTGTTCACCCAGACCAGGGGTGTTATCTATTTTTCCTGGCACGGTTCGATCGTTCGAATCCTTCCCGATAATGTCCAACGTCAAATCTAACGCATCATCTTTACTGCTATCACTCTCGGACACGTCTTCTTGCAGGTTCTCGCCAAGTTCCATTGGAATTCGCTCGTGGGGTTCAACATTGTTCATTCCGAACAAGTCCCTAAAAGATCTGGGTTTCAGATCCGACTGCGGTATGTCCTGCGCTAGGTCCTTTCCCCTTTGCCGCTCGCTTCGCGGCACCCCAGTCGTGCTAGGCGAGATTCCAGGGGTGAAGCTGAACCGGGTGGCTGCTTTTACCCCACTTGTACTTCCAAGGTCAAAAAACTCGTCAGCAGGTTGAACGGGAGTAAAGACAGATGTGGCCGAAACAACTTTGGGTATTGGCTTCCCAATTTTAGTGGCAGTATCAATCCTATTGACCTCCTTCGACGCCTCAGAAGACGAGAGTACTCGACCCGAAGATGACGCCGATGCCAGCACGGGCGATGATCGAGCATGTTGCATGGCGGGGGATTGTCGTTCGCTCGCTAGCCAAGGCCTTTGTCTGCCAGCTGACGCGCTAGCACCAAATTGCCAATCTGGACCCCCTTTTTGGCTTGATGTCGGACCTGGTGTAGTCAAAATAAGAATATCAACATCATCTTCCAGTTCGTCAACACGACTGTTTTGATTAGATGTGCCATTTCGGGTGCGAGCTCCTTTTTCGGGCGTTTGCTCCACGGAGGACTGCAAGGAAAACTCTGGTGTAGCCTTGGCATGTTCAGGCTCACAGCCCTGGGGAAAAGCTGCATTGGCCACATCCTTCTCCGAAAGTGTCCCACTTCCAGCAACGCGGCGCTTTTTTGCCGGTGACTCAAAGAGAGGGCTTGCGTAAATCGCGTGAGGGTTACTGGCAATGGTATTTTCTTCTGCCGACACCACGGCTTCAGGATTTTCCCATAATGGCGAATCGCTTTTGACTGAGCCTTCATCTCCGGCTTCCTTGCCCCCAATGACGGTCTCCGACGTTGTTTTAACTGGTATCATGATCTCCACCTCCAGGTGCTTACGTTTAAGCTTTTGGGTTTCAGGCGTTTCACTCTGCTTTAGAACATCTTCATGAGATATGATCCGGGGACTGGTTCGACGTGACTTGGACAGCGAGACCGAGTCCTTTTTGGTGGGGTCCGGAGGAGACGCGCTGCGTCGTATTTTGACCAGATTCCGAATCGAGATAGGTGTGGATCCTGGTAGAGACATAAGCCCTTCGGTTTTGTTGATAGGAACGTCGCTCAGCGATGGATCAGAAGCAGATTCAGTTTTGTGAGACTCTGAGCAGGACTGTGCCTCGTCAGCTAACTTCGGCAGAACGCAGCGGGACCCGCGTTCTCCTGTCGTTTCACGGGACCACGGTTTAGAAGCAGTCGGAGCCCTGGCTGCCCGTGTGCGATTCACATGTCGCGGGTCAATCTGGTATAGTGCGTACAGAGTGGACAAAAACCGTTTGTGACGACGCTTTCGTTCGGTTTGGCTCATTCTTGCGCCATGCTCCACTTCAGTGGCTTCAGAAAGGCTGCTTGTTTTCTCACAACCTTCACTTTGGGAGATACCGGATACACTCTCCACCAGGAGACCGTGATTACCTCGTAATTCGGACATGGCGGATCGTGTCCTCGTCACTTTGCCAAATTGATGTGACTGGCTTTCCGGGGTCAAGGAAGTATTTGAATGCATGCTTTTGGACGGCTGGCCAATTTGCGATTCCTTATCAGTCCCTCTATGCGTTCCCCGGCGTGTGGGAATTGGGATAGTCACTGATTCGTCTCCACTGGACGGCGTCTCTGATTTGGCACGAGTATTGCTCTTGAAACTTCCGCTGCTTTTTTCTTGATTCAATCTAACGGCGTTTGGAGGTGACGATTCCCGTCCTGCTTTCGCTTGAATATCAATATTGCAAAGTTTCTTGACACGCCCACTAGACAACGTTGGTGTAGCTGGAGAATTGCGAGGAGTGAATCTTTTTCTCTTCTTCCGCTTGGATGAAGGTTTCTCTTGCTCATAGTCGATATCTAAACTGACTGTGGGTTCAGCGCAATCAGAATAGTTTTTTTCAGAGGGTCGACGGGAGGATCCAAGCGAATGGTTATTTCCGGGTGACTGCTCTATTGGAAAGTCTCTGGAATCATGGCGGGCATCGGCCTGATTTTTTGACAGATCATTATTTGCGGATCCTGTATCGCTGCACTGGTTATCGGCTTCATGGCGAGTGGACTGAATTTCACTGAGGATGACATGCTGCTGGTGACGGTGCTCCTGAAGGCTAAGCGCGACGGCTCGTGAGAGTTCGTCATTGTAGTCGTCATTCCCTGTACTGCCCTCAGCAGAGCTTGCGGTACCTGCCGACCAAACCATAGAATATCAGCAGTGTTTGCCAAGGGAAGAGATCTACAGAAAAGACACCGCCTACCGTCTCTTTTGCGGCACGATACCATTGTTTGTAAACAAGGTGCTGTCAGCGTCTATATCTCAAAACGCACAAGCTGTGGCGAGGTTTCTGTAAAACGGTCTGGCCTACCTGGAATGGGAGAAGGTGAGGGTCGTTTGAGAGGTCCGTGACCTCTTCTTGGACCTCATTCCTCTAACCATTGTCCATCACAACCCGCCCCTTTCGTCCAGGCGACAACTAGGACGCCTCAAGACTTAGACCGGACTAATCCAATGGCGCCCAATTATAAAGCCACGCTCTCTGTATAGGTGGGGATGCGCGATCGCCTGTCTGTCCTGTGCAAAAAGTTGCTGTGAAGTTCATTTTACCTTTTCAGGAGTGCAGTTCTACATTAGCTATGTACTTACAATCCAACGTTTTCACTATCCGCATTGGTCCAGTGGTTAGGATTCCGCGCTCTCACCGCGGCGGCCGGGGTTCGATTCCCCGATGCGGAAATTTTAAAATGCGCTGTGTTCTTTTAATAATTTTAGATTTTTGCCAATTACCGTCATTCTGATAGGTCTTTGTCCGTTGACAACGTACGTCTGTAGTATCTGTCTCTTTGGCTTATGCTCACCTGTATTTGGAAGGAATTCTTCTTTCCTTCTACGGACTACAATTTGCCACCACTTCAAACGCCCGTGGATGTGTAATGTGCTATGAGCATTGATGAATTCTTTGTGCACTTTTTGGAAAAATCGGGCAACGACCCATACAATTTCCATTTGTCCCGTGCAATTGACGTTGAGTCTGGAGAAACCATAGCCAGGCGGATCTAGGTCTCTACTGCCGATGAGCGCAGGATTTCATCAGAACCATTTGATCGTTGATCTTGATTTGTTAAGCATACCACGTGTTCTGAGCTTCAAAGTCTCACATCGCGAAAACAAGTCCTCGCAGACCAATGACCATAGAGCCCATCGTAGAGGCCAAGCCGGATTCTCTGTCTATTCATGTTCCGACAAATGTTTGCCTCACTGCCCAAAATGATGTTCTGCCGGCAGACAACAATGAGCCCACTATTCGGCTTCTACACAACATCAACAACCGGCTAGCACGGCTGGAACAGCTTCTCATTTCTGAGGAATCCACTCCAGCGACGCTACAAAGCACCATACCGGGTACCATCATATCCTCTGCTGATGCCTTGTGTCCGCAGTCTCTAGCCACACGGTTCATTCGTTCCATTCCTTCCCGAGCCATTGCAGCGGCGCGAAACGCCGTGCTAAGACAGCTACAGAGTTTTGCGATCACGACCGTTTCCAGCTTGCTCATGTTTCTTTGGATACGAAAGCTGCGCAAGGTTTTTCTGAAATGGGCAATTTTGCTACTCTTCAAGACGGCGGAATGGACCCGGCACGAGAATATGAGAGCGTTTAGAAAGGCTGGCCAAAAGGCACTAATGGTGGCGACTCGTATCCTTCAATAGTGTTACATAGTGTTACATATCTCCTTTAGCTACATAGAATATAAAGCATCTATAGAGGCGGAAACGGTTGGATGTTGGTCTGTGGACAATACAGCCGGCAACCATAGGTGAATCCTTTCTCCAAAGATCATCGCTGAGTGTATCGGCAGCCGAACCTGTCGGACGCAACACGTGATACGTCCGTCAATTTGTTTGTGATGGGTGCCCTGGCTGGCTTCGTTCGACTGCTCCATCTTTGACGACTAATACCTCTCCTTCATCGTAATTGTCTTTCCAGACTTTCCGTCAGACTTGTCGTTTTTGAATTTTGGGGTAGCCTTAATCGAAGGGAGCTCCCAAACCGCTAACTAGTTGGATTCTGCAGCAGCATTCTAGAGAAGGAATCGTGCCACGAGCCCGTGCGGCAGGAGATCCTTAGCCTCTTGTAGTGTTTTACGTTTACTTACCGCTGTTATTGTCGAGTGACGGACGCTATAGCTGCCTGCTTTGCAGCTAGTACCTTGGGGTGCAATCATGACAGCTCCGGCCATACCAGGTGCGCAGACACAACCTTCACATCCAAACTGGAAACTGGGCTATTCATGCCTGTAACCAGCACGTCCCGTCGCTTACGCCCAAGTGTCGTGCGTTCTGTCGCTACAGCATGGATATGTTCAATGACGTTGGAACACACCCTTGGCTATTGGCGTGGATAACTCTCGGGCGTTTTGTCGTTGAACTTTTTTTTTCGTTCACATCCTCTAGGTGGCCCGGGAAATGAAGTGATATCCAGCGATACCACTTACGGAAAACTGCTCGAGCAGCTCATTGCTCAGGAAGTGGTGGATCAGCATAAAAAGGATGCAGCCGTGATTATCGATATATTGCGCACTCAAGGGCAACCCGATGCACAGATATGGGCAACTCTAATACAAGCCCGGTATGTTTCAATATAGGGTCGATTGGAACTGATCCTGTACTGACCACTTCACTATCATACAGACGAGCGAAATTAAAGAGGCCCTTTGCATCACAGGAGCATGAAGGGCAGCAATTGCAGAATGGCATGTCTACGAAAGTTGCAGCGGTTGCACAGCGGTTTGCCGCCAGTAATGTTATGTCTGTGTCAGCCAAGCCATCAGTGCCACTACCGATCACTTCAGCGGCGCCTTTAGTGACTGCCCAAGTCATTGTTGGCGCTGCAGAAGCCGCTCAACCGTCTGCTATTGTCGTGGATCGTCATCCATCACCAGCAGTTACCAATCCTGTCAACGCACCAAATGTTCGAATAACAAAGTCTCCTCGTGCTCATCCACCTCCGCCGCAACTCCCGAAGCCGCTTCCTGTCCGGCCTATGGCAGTTCAACAGGTAGCCCAACCCCCAAGGCAGGTCACTTGTACGACCGTGGACGACAGAGTGAATGGATCAGATCAGGAACAGCGGAAGACAGTACACGCGGCTGAGGTTGACTCCCCGTCGTCTACTATTCCTCAAACAGGGAAAGTCGGTCAATCAAGTGAAATTCTGATAGGCATGTCAACAGCTACGGAAGTTTCACTGGGATCTCAAACTAAGGGTATTCCCAGCTACGATAGCATGGATGAAGCAGCGTTGATACGGCAGCTCCAAGCTAAACAAGAAGATGTGACGAAGTATGAGAAGTTAGCTACGATTGCCAGAGCGGAGGCAAAGCGCTTGAAGAAAGCTCTGTTGAGAAAGCGGAAACGGGTAGAGTCTACAGACAGTGTTCTTCCTAATGGAGAACAACCAACACTCCTTCCTGGCGTTGACGATACCGTGCAGCAAACGCAGGTTGATAAACTACCAAAAAAGAAGCGCAAGTTGCAGGATAGTCTGACGGAGCCAACAAAATCAAATACAGCTGGTCAAGCTAGCAAGTCACTTGCAGGCGAGAGTGCGATGGAAACGCCAAAGGAATTGCCAAACATTGTTGGAGAACGCCAGGCCGAGGCAAGACAGATTCAGACTCAGATTACTCCAAAGGCAAAGCCTTTGGCAAGTAAACCATGGACTTTGCGCATGACCGAGGACGATGATGAAGTAGGGTTCACGACGGCTGGTCCTGTCAAGATTAATGTCACATCAACGCGTCAAGGAAATGATGCCCCGCAAAATACCCAAATGATCGAAGTCCCCAGTTACGATACCAAGGAACTCGTCACAGACAGGACGCAAAGCGAGAAGACATCTATCGCCGTGAAAATGTCGGTATCTAACATACGCATGCCATCTGAGCATGATGCAGTTGAAGTCGCATCTACCGCGAAGGGAGCGACTCTATCCCCTCGTGAGCAGCGTGAGGCAGAAGTTAGAAAAGCAATGGAGAGGGATGAATGGGCAAAGCGCCAGCGCGCAAGCGAATCAAGCAAGCAAAGACCTCTTTCGCTTGATTCCGACTACGGGCAAATCATTCAAGAGTATCAGCAAAAGGCACAGTCCGTGTACAACGAGCGAATGGCGCTAACGAAGAGATCGAGTATTGTGGAAGAGGTGACATCTCAAGTGGATGCAATGAAAAAAGCAAAAAAAGGGAAGCAAGCACCTCCGATCGTCGAGACACCATTGGCAGCGAATTCCTCGGAAAGAAGGGTTTCTCTGACCGAGGAAGAAGCCCGACGACTGCGCGAAGCCGCTCAGAAACGACTCCTCATCAAGCAGCGTGAGGAATTGGAGATGATGGCCCGCGAGGCCGCTCAGAAACGACGCGACGAGGCCGAGAAAATGGCTCACGAAGAGGAGCAGCGACGGCGGGAAGCACAGCGCCGCGTGGAAGAGCTGCTGAAACGTGAGGAAGCGGAGAGGAAACGACGACATGAAGAGGAACGGAAGCATCGTGCAGAACGAGCAAGACTGCAGCGTGAAGAGCAAGAGCGGAAGAAACGGGAAGAGGAAGAGAGACGTCGTGAAGAGCAAGAGCACAAGAAACGGGAAGAAGAAGAAAAAAGACTCCGTGAGGAGCAAGCTCGGTTACAGCGTGAAGAGCAAGAGCGCAAGAAACGTGAGGAAGAGGAAAAGAGACGTCGTGAGGAACAAGCTCGATTACAGCGTGAACAAGAGGAGCGAAAGCAAAGGGAGGAACTCCTTCGCAAACAGTTGCAAGAGCAAGAGCGCAAGAAACGGGAAGAAGAGGAAAAGAGACTCCGTGAGGAACAAGCGCGCATGCAGCGTGAAGAGCAAGAGCGGAAGAAACGGGAAGAGGAAGAGAGACGTCGTGAAGAGCAAGAGCATAAGAAACGGGAAGAAGAAGAAAAGAGACTTCGTGAGGAGCAAGCTCGGTTACAGCGTGAAGAGCAAGAGCGCAAGAAACGTGAGGAAGAGGAAAAGAGACGTCGTGAGGAGCAAGCTCGATTACAGCGTGAACAAGAGGAGCGAAAGCAAAGGGAGGAACTCCTTCGCAAACAGTTGCAAGAGCAAGAGCGCAAGAAACGGGAAGAAGAGGAAAAGAGACTCCGTGAGGAACAAGCGCGCATGCAGCGTGAAGAGCAAGAGCGGAAGAAACGGGAAGAGGAAGAAAAGAGACTTCGTGAGCAGCAAGCTCGGTTACAGCGTGAAGAGCAAGAGCGCAAGAAACGTGAAGAAGAGGAAAGGAGACGTCGCGAGGAACAAGCGCGCTTACAGCGTGAACAAGAGGAGCGAAAGCAACGGGAGGAACTTCTTCGCAAGCAATTACAAGAGCAAGAGCGCAAACGACGCGAAGAGCAGCTGCGGAAGCGTCTCGACGAGGAAGAAAGTAAACGTAAAGAGATAGAACATACTCAACGGCAACAGGATGAGGAAATCCGACGCGCGGCAGAGCGGAGCTTGGCCGAAAAACAAAGACTCGCTCGAGACGCCCTTTTAGCAGATACATTTGTTCGTGGGGTAGTCTCAGAACACACTGGGAAAGCGGTCGATGCGCAGAGTCAATTACATCAACAAGCTGAGAAACGGGCGGAGGAGCTGCGACAAAAGTTAATGAGAGGAAAGCAGATCAAGGACGTACAAGGACGCAAGGTCTCAGAGAGCGCGCCAGAGTCTCTCACATCCAGCCCTGTGCAATTGCCAGCTCAGCCCTCCACTTCATCATTCTCACAAACAAAAGAGACGACACCGGTCTCCACTAGTAGGGCTCCGATACCCGGGTCAGGATCCTCATCAAAACTGCCCCTGGTATCGCATGTCCCCGTGACAACTGCCGTAGTGAGCGTTGTTCATGACCTGTCTCCGAACCAACTTACGGCCTCTCCAATTATCTCGAAGGCGAAGCAACTAGAACTGGAAGAAGGAGAAATCGAAGAGTTCTCTACACCAGTCAGCAGCAAGACCAATAGTCCTGTGCCAGTTCAGCAGGTTGAAGTTTTGAAACGAACTAGCCAGCCGGCAAGCGTTATTGGATCAACTGCTGTACTTTCGGTTAGCTCCGGGCAGAATGGTAAGAGATGCGCTCACATGGCTCTGTCGTTGTGCTCATTCCGCGATCTGCTTAATTCTGCTTATTGATCCTGACAGCATTATCCTCAACGCCTGCTGTGTGTGGTGCAAGGGTGAAAACTGAAAGTGCTATCGCCAGTCCCGAAATACCATATGAAGTGGAAACGCCAAGTTCAGCAAGAACAGGTCGTGAGCGTTCTATGACCACGGAAATCAATCCGTTCGCCGTTGTGCGCTTCGCTAACGGACAACCATCGGTGGGCCAACAATTTTCGACTCAGAATCCATTCATCCAGAATTCGGCCATGGGCCCAGGATTCACAGGGGCCAATTTGATGGGTGGTTTTGGTGCTCCTGGATTAGGTTTTCCCCTTGCTGACGGAGGAATGTTTGCTACAGGGGCATCCGCTAGCTTACCTCCGGAAATCAGAGCTCAAATTCTTGCGTCGCATCATCAAGCCCTGCAAACATATCAACAAGCCTTGACGCAATTTACCGCTCACTTCTTGAATCAAGCAGCCATCTCTTTCCCTCAACCTCGACCGCAGGTACAAGGTATGGTACCGCCTGCGGCACCAGTATTCGGCCCCACCATCCCGCCACAGCAAGGAACGCAGACCGGATTTCAAGCAGATACCACCCTTTCTGCACCATTGTCATCCACAGCCGCTAGGCAAGCTTTGCAACCAAGTGACCTTGGAATGACAACAGGTGGGCGTCCCGGTGTTGTTCCAGCTAACCCTCCCCTAGCATTCCCTGAACGTCTAAGGGCAATGGGCGGAGCTCCAAACTTCATTGGCTTTGGCGCCCCCCCAATGATGGGTGGATTTACCTATCCTCAAGGCGCAGTTTTGCCTCAGCAGCCTGGGAATCCGACACCTTTTTCAATGCCTACCAATGGTCCACCGACGATGATGAACATAAATCCTCCTTCGGGTACAGCGCCGGGAGGGTATACTCCAACTGTACCCTTTGTGGGCAGTTTATCAGGCGCCGGCTCTAGCACCACGCCAACTCCTATGCAACGAATGGCTGGTGTTCCCGTTGGAGGAGCAACGATGGATGAGACTACTTTGAGGGGCATTCAACAAAGGATTGCTGATATGGCTAGACAACAAGGATCACCACAAGGAAGCACGCAGGTGTCCCATCCTGGATTTCAAAGTTAGGCGGGCTCCAAATTTCATTTGAGTGAGGTGCGAGCAAAATGCTTGAAGGTCAATTCTTTTGAGATTGAGTGGACTCTTATGGGACAGTTGGGTTTCTGTATATTATACTTTTATTTTTTGCGTTCATTGTCATCTTTTGTGGTAGAAAATAAATGCGTTTTGCTTGTTAGCTGGTGGCCTGAGTGCTTGAGAGACGCTGTTGGAAATGCAAGCGAAAATCGCTGCGCGCGTCTCATGCATGGCACATTGCAACGCACTCCCAGGATTTGAGTCCTGTGTGGTCACCGAACCCGGCATTAACCCTGTCGTGTGATGGAGACCCTTCGACATGACGGACTGCACCTTGGACAAACCTGTAGCATCTAAATAGACGATGCTAGAGTGAATATCGCTATCTGGGCTATCAAAGTACGTTCATTTCCTGATGTCTGAACCACAAGGGCAACTACAACAGTCGACCACTCTCGAAAGCGCGCATCTATCTTGCTCCAGCGGTCCTCGTTTTGTAGCCGCTCCCTAGAGCCACGACAATGTAGTTGTAATGTTGGCCCTTCTTCATAGTGTACGATGCCCTCCTTGCCAGGCTAACAGCTTCTGTTCCTCTGTCTGGTCGAAGCCAACGTTATCCCGACCTTGAACTAGACGATTGCAAGTGGCAGGGCGACGACAGCTCGATCTGATGTGGTAATCAACTCCGAAAAGGGATAGATTAATTACGGATACAACCGGGTTGCCAGGATGCGGCGCTAAGGAAAACTGAGTTGGGCATCGCGTGGACGCAACAGACTTATTAGCATCAGCGATTTAAAATACCGACACCTTGCAACGATGCTCTTCAAAGCTGTCCTTCGTCCACTAGCTGCACGGCCTGCTGTTGCCTCCCGTGCGCTTGTCGCTCCCCAGCGTCGCATGGCAAGCACCTCCGTCTTCGCTGCGGACAACTTTAAGAAATACGTGCCTGATGTTCGCCTTACCGGAGAGACTACCCTTGGCGAAATTTACGAGAAGGCCTACGTGCGATACCGTTACCGACTTTTGTACCCCATTGCTGCGTGGGTTGGTTTCTTGTACTACTACCTCTGGGTTCCGTAAGTTGACCAATGACATGTACACTGTGCGGGGAAAGAGCGGGAGGGACATGTGGTGCTGTGTGAAGATCAGAGAATCTCTATCGTGATCGATTTGGCTAGTATTATGGGAAAATGAGCGTTGGTTGCGATGTTGGCTACTAGAGGGGATATCGAATTACTTTGCAACTGTGGCGTGGCCTGACACTCTTCATTCCGCAGGTATGCTCCTGAGTCGGAAAAGAAGGCGGTTAGGGAAAGGGAGGAGTACCTCAAGAGCCTTGAATACCACTCGGTGTAATTGAGAAGAGGTATGCATGCCTTCTTTTGTGTCGCGTAATGTCGACCATTGTGTCATAACCGTAATTTTGTGCGCTTAGAGGTTTTAGTTGCATTAGCCTCAAATGACATACCAAATGACCATCGATGTAGTTTCATGCAGAATAGAGCAGAAAATATACGGGAGCCGGGGTTTTAAACATGTGCTTGCGGCCTCATAAGTATTCTTGCCCACATGCTTATGTGGTTGGATGAATGAACGAGTGGCTAGTGGAACGATGATTTCTTTCGATGAACTTTGCGAATGCTGAGTTGAGGAACCTGAAGGACCTGAAGAATCACGATATATGTCGTTTGGTGGCCATTAGCTCAATCGTCCTATGAGCTTGACACCGAGCGCAGAGTATTGATGGATGCGATGGAAGCGTGCACCTGTGGCCAATGTTTACATCTTAGACTCGCAGTGCCAGCTGCAACTCTATTTTCAGGACGATTTGCCAAATCAGTGGGCCATCTGAGGTCTATGCTGGTGTCTCCAACACCCCTTCCGTTCGTAGTAACCCGAGGAAGTCCGCTTGCCTCTGATGCATCTTTTAGGAAGCAAGTAAGGTATAAGCTTGCACTGTCGCTTAACGCTATAACAGTCAGTGTTCACCTCTCGTGACATTGCGTCTGCTCGTCGTGTCTCGCTTTCCAGTGAGCTTCTGTGTATTCATCTGTTATTAACATCTCTGGCAACACTGAAGATCTGCGGGTCTTTTGACTCACCGGAGCTTGTGAGCTTCTTCCTTATATGTCTTAACTCTTGTTTTCAAAACTTGTAATTTATTCTTGAAGAGGGTCTGGGACTACAGGCCGTGATTCAGCTGAGAGAGAGTCGCAGGCTCTGAAAGTCATAGCGTTTTACCTTGTCCAGCAAGTCCTCCAGCTCTCTTGACTTATCCGCTAATTTCTCCTTTTCCTTGATAAGCGCCTCAAGCTTCTGGGTGAGGTTGGTTTTTTCTTTGCTCCAAGTAGACTTGAAAAAAATGATCTACGCATCAGTGTCGAGGATCGTGTGGGCTAGTTTCTCACTCAAAGTGGCTAACATACACGATAGCGTTCTGCATTATGGAAGTAGGCCTCGCGCTCCTTCTCCATCTGTTCAGATATTTGCGCCAATTGACCTTGAAGTGACTGGAGTGCCGCTTCTGTTGACGCGAGCTTCTCTCTAAGCATGCAACAATAAGTAATCATGAACATGCCAATGTGATGCAATGTCATTCACTGGTACCTCAAAACCTCTTCCCCCTTCCTTCGCAGTGCTACATCTTTATTGAGTTCAGCTGTTTGCGCTTCAGCTTCCTGTATGGCTTTTTTGAAATGGTCGATTTCAGCTTGCAGACGCTCAATCTGGGCTGTGTTCTCCATTCGGGCTTGTGCCAATGAATCATTTTGGGTTTGAAAGGTGCGAATGGTTTGCTTGAGGTTTGAAAGTTCCTTAATCGTAAACATGAGTTCCGTGAAGAATAAGCTTGAAGCGGGGTATGAATGCCTACCTGATGCAGATCCTTTTCAGCGGAATCACTCAAAGCTTCCGCTTCGGTATTTTTTTGTTTAACATCCGCCAACTGTTTTTCCAGCTATAATAATGTTGAAAATTTGACATTAGGTTTGAGTGGATATTTGACTATCAACTGTTGCAGCCCGCCCTGTGCTTACATCGCATTTTTGAGATTCGAGCTGTGACCGCTTTGCCCATTCCTCCTCCCTCGCCAACCTCAATTTCTCAAGAAGGTCTTTCTCACCGTTGGATACACGATCACGAAGCGACTGTATAGTTTCGTTTGCTGTTTTGAGGTGACTGGTGGGAGCGAAGATTAGGCAATGCGAGGCGCTGATGATTGGTTTGGTAGTGCGCACCTTTCAAGCTCGACCACCTTTTCTTTTAGATCGTTGATCGTGTTCTCAAATTGATTACGCTCTTTGAGCATCGACAGCTTCAAGTCACTCGTTTCAATCCTGCCATTATCAATTAGGTCTGTACGGAAGATCCATAATAGGGTAATACACGTACTTGACAGTATGCAGATTCTCTTCAAGCTTACTTCGGACTTTATTCAGGTCCTTTGTGAGAACAGCATTCTGCTCTGTGACTTGATCAAGCGTACGGAGGGTTTGCGTGGCTTCGTTTTCCATAGACGCTATCTGGTCAAATGCCCGTTGGCGTAAGCTGCAAACATTATCATACCATTTGCCCAATTGCAATTACAAACCTGTGTGGCCAATGCATCTTTTTCAGCATGCAATGTTTTCGAATGTGCAACCTCGTCTATGAGCTTTCTCTGGTGGATGCGGGCTTGCTGCTCATAATCGACCCGAAGTTTCTCTTTCTCTGCTCTATTGTCGAAGATTTCGATGAGGTACATGTCTGGTAATACCGAATACAAGCTCGACATACCTCAGTTCCTCATTCTCGGGGAGAAGGGACTGCACTTTGAGCTGTAGTTCAGCGTTCTCCCTTTGGAGCTCGCGGAGTCGCTTGGTGTCCATTGAAGAATCTTTTTATGCAGTCCGTTTATATTACTATCCGCGGTTTAGCATTCCTGGCATCCTGTCCCTTACCGAGACATTGTCGCAGTTCCAGCATACGAGCTTCAAGCGCCGCCATCTCGTCTTGATACGATTGTTCCATGTCTTTTAACTTGGACTCTAGTTGTGCACGCTAAAAGTAGATATTAGCACGTTTCGCTAAGTTCATTCTGATGGAGCATCATATACCTCACGTTCGATATCAGTTTTGGCGACTTCATGATCCCGCCGCAAGGCATAGTACATGGAGCGGTACTTCTCTGTTTCCTACCTCATCAGCGTTAGTTTTCCACCTTTTACGTACTTATCCAGTAGGTCAGGCGTGTGCAATTACCTGTTTTAAGCCCTTTGAGCGCTTCTCATTTTGCTCCTCCATTTCCTGTACAACTTTAAGGCGGAGGATTTCCAAATCTCTGCATATCACATATGTGGATCAGGACCCCTTTTTGCATGACTGTAGCGGGCACATCAACTAACTTTGGTTGTGGAGCTTTGGAACGGAATTCTTCTAGCTCCCGGGATTTAGCGTTAAGTTGTGATTTAAAGAGTGATGTTGATTCGCTTATTTGAGCCTCTAAAGCTGTCTACTCTCCAATTTTGTTAGTTAGTTAACCGCAAATTCTCGTGAATGGGTGCTCAGAATGTGATAGCACAACCTTCTCCTTAACCGAGAGATCATATTCTCGACTGAGGGTCTCATATCGCTCTTGAAGGCGCTCATGGCCGTTTTTAAGCTGTAATGGCGACGTTGTTCAATTTGGTTCCCGAAACATAGTTGGCTCTTTCTGTGACCTTACGTGTTCAAAATTGTCTTTATATGCCTCATTTTCTTTCTTGAGAGTCTCCACAAGTGATAAAGCAACTTTGAGCTTTTCAAGTACTGCTTCTTGCGTTTCCGCCATATTTCTTGTTGTTAAACCGAACCCTGGCTGGTGCAGCGTGAAGCTGCTGCGCACACATAACGCAGCGACGCGTTCGTTGATTACATAATATCGAGGTGAGGGCTCATCCTGCGATCAATACTCATGCAACACCAGGAGCTCTCCCATTAGTGAGCATCAGTACGTCTCCATAAGACTTCGAACATACTGCTTGAACTACCATCTATAGCAAGAACGTTCGTTTGGTGATGGGGGGAAAGATGCACATTTGGAGTTTGAGATCACTACATAGTGTGGAGGCGATTGAAAATGGCACTAGGACCCATTATTATCCGGATTAATCCGGTTAATCATATCGCATAATCAGAACCCCCCTCTATCGCTCTTGGTGTGGCATGCATGTAATGTTTTTTTTTAAAATTGCGATGTGGTGCATGCCAAAGGTCTATAAAAGGGGGGCCTTTTCCCTCTTTCCTCTTTACCCATCCTCGACTCTCAAAGCATCTGCACAAATGCTCATTGCGACCCACATTGCAACTCATTGCGACTCGGTCAACCATGAGAATGCCGATGTGGTGGTGTCGAGGACCTCGACCACCCAACAGCAACCGTGATCAGAACCAGTGGCAACCAATCGGATCCGATAACAGAACCTACTATTACGCTGCCACATTAGTTGAGCTTGGTTGGTATGTATCGATGGCATTTCTTGCATTTCTTGTCATCGGGTCATCTTCTGACATGCAGTTTTTTTCTCTAGTCTCCAAGCCTTGTCACTGAAGATCCTCCAGCTTACGAGTCTCCCCAATATTGTGAAGACTCTGGCTTCAATGCCATCAAGAGTTCTGGATCAAGGCCTAGTAGGGACTGCGTGTGGTGGTGGGCAGTTATCCGGTTAGAACAACCGTTACGTATTGCGTGTATAATTGCCTAGTAGTAGTTAGTTAGCTTTTCCGAACCAGTTGTCGCCGGTTTATTCCCTGGTGTAGTAGCTAGTGCCAGTTTCTGTCACCTAATACACTATGTATTTCACCTGTACAGGGATGCAGAGAATACGCATCATCATATGGGCACGGGACACAAACGAGAATTCTCGGCTACTGCTACAGTCTAGCGCTATTCCTCTCTGGGCTGCAGAATGGAATCTGCCTCACTTTGCAAAATGGCCGCTTCATCTCCATAACGCTTTGGATCAACCCTACCCTTCTGCTTCATCTCTTGGGACATCAACTCAGCTGCTTTGGCTTTCTTTTCAAGCGCAATTTTGACCTGTTCCTTCTTTGGTAGCTCCTCGACTTCTTCATGCGTTAATTTTGCAAGAGCATCTCTGATCTTTTTCTTTTCGCCTTCTTTCATTTGATTGACATCAGCGATCGCCTCTCTAGCACCCTCCGATGGAACTGGAAGATTGTCTTCATGCAAGGCAATCCGCGCAAGGGACTCAATAATGGCTTTCTCGGGTCCGGTGTCAAGATTTTTGCCACCATGGACCTCGGCAATGTGCCTTAACATTCGGTCAGCTTCGCTCATGAGCTTGGAAGCAGGGGAATCTTTGTCGACGCGGCCCTTTTGTTTCATTTCGCGGGACATTAGCTCACGGGCCAACTCCTTCTTGGCAATTGCCTCTTTGATCTCTTTCATGACGGGATCGTCTCGCTCTGGGAGTCCCTCAGCCTTTCTCTTCGCCTGTCTCGCACTCAATACTTCATGCAACATTTTTTGCGCTTCGCTCATAAGCTTCGAAGCTTCGCTTCCTTCCTCCGCTTTGAAAACTCTGCTGTGAATTGAGTCGCGCATCTCTTGTGACATTTGATCCTGAGCATGGATCTTCAACTCTATGGCTTGGGCGACAGGGGTCTTCTTCTTATGAGCTGGTGATTCCGTGTGAAGAGCAATAGCCTGTATTGGGCACGTCAGAATCTGCAATGAAAGGTGCTCCGGTATGGAGTACAGCGAACCTATGATCTCACCTGCATATCGTCAGCAATATGCTTTGCGCGATCTGCTGCACTCTGCGCAACCGCCGCAGCCGAATCCTTGGGAATGACCCCACCGGTAACAGCAGCTGTCCTTGCCTCAAGTTCTTTCGCATGTCGCTGCATACATTGAGCGGTCAATTCGGCCTGAGCAGCGTTGGCCATTTGTTTGTGTTCTGGAAGTTTGGCGATTCCTTCAGCAACTGCTTCGTCCACGTTGGAAACTTGGGATTTGGAGGTCGTCTCGTTTTGTTCCTTCGAACATGCTAGGGTACTCATCCTTCAAAACTATGCGCTATTTGCGCAATACTGCAGGTGCCCTCACCTTGGCGTCCTTTTTCACCTTCCATTTCGGATTATAAATGTGCAAATCTTATTTACAGCCTTCACGGCAAGTTTGACAGTTGGTAGGGCAGAAAAGATTCGCTGCGAGAGAGCTCAACTGTTCTTTTAAGTTCGTATTTTGAGCTTATATTACTCAAGGTTGGACACCTTTGTAGGAGCCTTTCTCCAGCTTCCGTATTTCAGAAGGCGAAGTTACTGACGGTCGGCTGCCTTTACACTACTGTAATACTGACGCCAATTCCAAGTGACCAAGGCTCACAGAAATTACCATCACGTATAAGAATCCACTGAATAGTCCATGTCTGCCATTACGTATCAAAGATATCGTGACTATTTCCCAAGGACCCTTGGGCTTGTCTGAGTCCTTTTGACGTGTAGAAGCAGGAACTCTTACAAAAAAGGACGTCGTGCATGAGAAAGGTTCCAATGCGGTGCTTCTTGCAACGTCGTTCAAAGCAGACGTCCACTTTCAATGTTATGGAGTTGACATTGATCAGACATATTTAGGCTACTCACAACGCGATGACATTATACACTATCCGTACCATATATACACTTTCAAAATAATCTTTGTGTTCTGCCTCATTGTCAGGTAACGGTAAGAGACCGACACAACAGTAGCAGTCTTCAATTACAAAAGCAATGAAAAAAAAGCACAAGATGAGGTGGGGAAGCGACACGAGCAGGATTTGAACCTGCGCGGGCAGAGCCCAATAGATTTCTAGTCTATCGCCTTAACCACTCGGCCATCGTGTCAGGTGAATGACAGAACAGGTATTTGCAATATATTCCTTGTGATATTCTATGCTCATCTGCTTCCCAGAGGCTGGCTCTAGGTAAGGCTCGTTGCAAGGAAAATTGTCGTGGCTGTAAGTTGACATGAAGGAGTATGAAATCGCACTTTCGGGCGTTGCAGATACATTGTTGATATTGGCACTTCTCACATGTCGCCATTATCAACTATTATCATAGATGTGAAAGCAATGTTCGCATAGAAGGAGGACAGTAAAAGCAAGAATGAGCCACCTCGGTGCTAGCAGATCTGCCTCTCGTTTGGAGCACGATATATGCTCTATGAAATTATGGCTTCATGTTTTTGAGACGAGCCTTAGACGTTGCGAGAAAGCCATGCTGAAAGACAGACTCCAATTTAGTTGACACTTGATCGAAAGCATAAGACATGGTAGATTTCATTGATGATTCGGATGATTTGGAGCCAATTATGTTGAAGTTATTAATTGGCATTAGCTCCGTCCATCCAGGATACATTGATGATGTCCATGAACTTTGGAGAATAGGTTCAGCACCTTTTCTGATGGTTTTGTGTTAAAGAAAGTACGCAGTTACTTGCCGATGCTTCATGGGAACAAGATTTGGCCCAGTTCTCAACCCTTGTACATAGTGCGGAGCCGATGGGTATTGGCACTAGTACAAAGATTCCAACCAATTTAATCATAATTTTACTCGATTTAGACTCATGAACTATGGTTTGATCCAAAAAGTCCTATATAAGTTGTCGGGCCCATTTTCCCAGGCTTTCGTCTTTTTCCACAGATATCATCATGCCACCAAAGAAAAAGCAAAAACTCGAAAAACTCGACAAACCTACTTGCTTACATACCTGCAACAAGACTTCCTTTGCAAAAGCTTTCCTGCCAAACGAGATCTACCGCCAACGGCTTCTAGATTACATTGCCATGATCCATCAACTTGCTGACCATGCTTCCCACACTCTCAAATTCTACATCCTATCTGCACCATCCTTCACCGTAAACGAGGAGACCATCGAAGCAATTCTCTATCTTCTCAACAAAGGAGAGGCTTGGCAACCAAAAACTGATGCGAAAAGGGCATTGCGCGAATGCTTGCTGCCCTATGTCCGACGGTACTGCCACATCGTCGGCTTCGTTCATCCAAATCTACAAAAAGAGCAGCAATCAGTCAATTACCTGACAATGAGTATGATGACGAACCTGAAAGTCAACGTCCAAGAGCATTTCATGCAGATGATCCTTCGGTATATCAATCTGCGGCTTGACGTGAAGGGACGGAAAGGGCAATTTCCTCCAAAGAGTGAAGCGCGAAAAGCTTTCTTTGCTCGGCTACGCTACTTGAAGTCAGTTTTCCTTTTCGAAACAATGCCAGAATCGCTGGATGACTTGAGCATTCTTGAAAACGAGATTTTAGAAGAGATCTGGACACTTAACCTGCCATTTCCTGATCAAGACAAGCCGCTTGCCTACCTCATTGCCATCGACGCGATGTCCTTCTTGCCTGCATACTGCAAACTCTCCCGCTCTATGAGCATCATGGATTTCGATGGTTTAGCGCCATACCTCTTCGCCGCTCCCTCATCCAAAGCCATATACGCATTGACACCGTCATCCTCTATTCTCATGTTCTTTGCATCCCCCGCAGACGCAGAGAGGCAGAAGCCATAGAGAAGGATGATCTGTGGTTGCGTGTCTGTAATCTACGTACCAAAGCTTTTCAGTCTCGCCGCAGTATGCAGTTTGAAGGCTCGATCACGACGGACGGAACCTCGGTGTCTGTATACCTAAAGCACCCCGAAGCAGACAAGTATGGAAAGCGCGGAGCGAGAAAGTCAGCAAAGACTCTAGAAGCTGAGGTGAAGGCAGTATATGTGGAGAACAACTTGCCTGCTTGTCGAGCAGCAGAAAATGTCGTCATTATTGACCCAAACAAGCGCGACCTTCTCTACTGCCAAGACAGCAATGGTGCGACGATGTTTCACTATACCGCCAATCAACGCTGCAAGGAGACTGGTAGCCGGCGATTTGCAAAGGAACGGCAGCAGATGAAGAAGGAAGCGGGAATGGACCTTATAGAATCGCGAATACCATCTCACAAGACGATGAACCTCATGGATTTCCTCCGCTACCTCCTCGTCCGTTGTGTCGACTGGAACCGCCGCAAGGACTTCTATTCGCATCCTGCTCATACTCGATGGAAATGGCACTCCTTCATAAACCGTCAGAAGAGCGAATCAGACCTCATAAGTAACATGCGCAACAAGTACAGTGAAAACCTTACTGTTGTAATGGGTGATTGGAGCGATGCCGGTCGAACTGCAAGATTTCAGACCTCATCAAAGACAAAAGGCTGGCGCACCCTCTTTAAGCGCAACCGCATTGATTGTTTCCTTCTCGACGAGTACAAGACCTCATCTGTTTGCCCTCGCTGTTCCTCATCTGAGTTTGTGGAGAAAAAATTCAAAGAACGACCTCATTCAAGACCTTATCGACAACGAGAAGGCAAGATTGAAAAAGTCCACGGATTGCTGGGTTGTACCAACCCTAACTGTTTGCAGCAAGCCTGGACGATGCGCTACTGGAATCGAGATACGCTGAGCACCTGCAATATGCTAACGATCGTGCAATCAATGTTGGATGGACACGGTAGACCAGAAGTGTTCAGCAGGAGTGTTCCAGCCGTAGCTTAGATTGGTTAGATTAGGTTTTCCGAGCCGGTTGTCGCGCGGTTCAATCCCTGGTGCGGGTGCTAGTGCCAATACCCACCGGCTCCGCACTATGTTACCAAGTCTGTATAACAAGAAGTCACTGGATGCAACTTTGGGGTCGACTATTGAGCCGTCAATTTACGCGGTGACATGGTAGAAAAGCATTGATAACTTAAACTATCACCATGCAATAAGTCTTGCGACAATGGTTAACCTTTAACACGCTCTATGTAGAATATCTATTAAATGCCAGCAATCTGCAGCATAGGTTGGAGAACTTAATGATAGGAACTTTCAACGCTCAAAGTACTATGATTGACTTCCTTCCATCGCATCACCACCAAAAAACCTCTCCCACACGCGTCTCGCACCCATTCTTGCCCGATCAAACAGAGCAGATGGGCTATCCAAAGCAGGCCTTACATCCACATTGAAGGCAGGAACACCCGGCGCTTCATCGGGGGCAGAGTAGTAGTCAATGACGTAGCGCACTTGCTGTCCGCAGCGATCAACCGTCCAATCGTGGCGATCAAAGGGCTTGTCCACTCTGGAAGAAAACGCTAATTAGGGCTACAAAGACACCAACAGCAGATGACATGTACAGATAACATACCCAAACCAGCTGTACATCCTTGCCTTAGGTGTCAGGTCCTGCGGTCTACCCTGAAACTTTGCCAACTTGACATCCTTGCAGTCACAGTGAAACATTTTTTCCCACTTGAGGACCTCCCCCCAGCAAGCCTCGTTTAAAAAGTTATGAATATCAACCATGGTAGGAATCTCATGTTCCGGGGTTTCCCATCCTTTTCGTTTAAGCGCGTTGTAAAACTGTTGTGGGGAAGGGTAGTCCCATGTCTTGTCTTGGACGTCTTGGCGGGGAATGGAGGAGGATGTGCGTTCGGTGGAGAGGTTGACCGTTTGGCCTTGAGAAGGGGTTTGGGGGAGGTTGGGCATCATATTGAGAGGGTTGATGTGGGAGGAGGTGTGGTCGACAGGGCAGCCGCCTCCTGAGGAAGAGGCGGAGGTCGACGAAGAGGGTGCTGATCGCTTCCCAGCAATGGACGCAAAAGAAGAGTGGTCAACGGGACATGTACCTCCCGAAGAGGAGGTTTGAGAATCTGGTGAAGGCGTCATGACGGAGAACACTAGTCGCAAGGTCACAACAAAGTGCGAATTGAAGACGGGAAGAAAAACAAAAGACACGGCAGCGTTAAGCGTGTGCGCAATTGCAGTCGGAGTATTTTTGGGAGGCACAGCCATCTGAAGTAATGTTTGTTGCCATGACACCAACCAAGTGCGATTGCCTTGACGGAATCACTCACATATCAGATGCTGTTTTTGTGTTTATCTTCATTCTACAGTCATTGATTTATTCAATTGGCTGCAATGTTACAGGTATTGACATTTGGCTTTCTTTGCCATACCATCCCAGTCAGATGCACGGTTAGGGTTTGCAGTTATATCTTAGAAATGTGGTTGGATTAACAGGTTGGAGTGTCTGGGCAGAGAGTTAAGATACCCGGGATATCTTGCAAGCGAATGAGGGTATTCTCCTTTGGAAGCAATTAAAAGGCAATCTGATGTAGGGCCACCAAATCGCAACAGCTTATGCTACATATTTTATTCGTTTCGTATGCATAACTTGGCCAGAGTTTCATAGATCACATATTCAGGCACCGGCTTTCCGTCTGGCAACCATTCTTGGGTGTTCGTCATAATTTTCAAGCAATTGTCCAATCCCATCTTCTGCTGCCGACGGTCATCTGCAGGTAATAGAAAAGAACCTAGCTGCTACTGCTTGCCACGTACCCACTTGAGGAGACCTTGCTATCTCGATCCATTGTACCTGAAAATCGATTGGTACCAAAATATTAACTAACTTGTCCCCCTTCCTCTTCAGTAGGAGGATATATATCTTTAGCTTCTTCCATAACTATCTCCAACTATTTACTTATCCTCATAATCCTGGGGTAACAAAATGATAGTATCACGTGATATTGTTTACGAGATTGGTCGTCCATTTGGGCTAGCCCAGAGGAAAAAGGGATCTAAGAATCGAGAATGAGACTGTGTACACTTTGCCAGAAGGAGCGTGCGGTACTCAAACGGCCAAAGACTGGTCAGCAGATTTGCAGAAACTGTTTCTATGCAGTCTTTGAAACAGAGGTGCACAATACAATACAAGAGAATGAACTTTTCAAACGGGGTGATAAGGTGGCTATTGCAGCGTCAGGAGGCAAAGGTTAGTCTTGAGCTTTGTATCGGGCGGTCGGCGACATGTGTAACTGATGTAACTGATGCATGACTGACTAGATTCTACGGTGCTGGCTCATGTCATGACCACGCTTAATGAGCGTTACGGATATGGTTTGGACCTGTTCCTTCTTTCGGTGGACGAGGGTATTACCGGATACAGAGACGACTCCTTGGAGGTGGGTCTGAGCGGAAAAAGGCAGATAGTCTAATCTACAAGGACCTGACACTCGACCCATCACCAGACTGTTAAAAGAAACGAACAGCAGTATAAGATACCTCTCAAGATTGTCTCATATGAAGAACTTTACGGATGGAGCATGGATGCCATCGTGAAGGAAATTGGAATGAAGAACAACTGCACGTTCTGTGGAGTGTTCCGACGTCAAGCGCTAGATAGGGGGGCTGCATTACTGCAAGTTGATCATATTGTAACGGGACATAATGCGGATGATATTGCTGAGACGGTGCTAATGAATAGTACGTTGCGCTACGACCTCTGAGAGACCTGAAGATTTGCTAACGTCCCGATCGCTTACAGTTCTGCGAGGGGACTTTTCCCGGCTTCAGCGATGTACTGCGATTCGTACTGCGACCAATGAAACCATCCCCCGGTCAAAGCCTTTCAAATACACCTATGAGAAAGAAATTGTGATGTAAGAGCTCAAGTGATAAAAATCTGCACATGCGCATAAGTTTTTACTTTAGCCTCTTCACAGGTATGCATACTTTAAAAAGCTCGACTATTTCTCGACAGAGTGCATATACTCGCCAAATGCATATCGAGGATACGCACGTGCGTTCTTGAAAGATTTAGAGTCAATACGGCCCAGCGCGATTATGGGTATGATCAATCGTTTCCCTCTTACTATCAGAGAGCCAGACCAGTATGACCAATATGCTCGTGTTACAGATATCATTCACTCCGGGGAGGCCTGGGAATCGAAAATTGAAGTTAAAGTCAATACGCCTGTCGATGGACGAGTGATTGTCGGTTCCTGTGAACGATGTGGCTACATGTCTAGTAATAAACTATGCAAGGCATGTGTATTATTGGAGGGTCTCAACAAAGGGCTGCCAAAGTGAGTCCCCTTTGCCATGATCAATGCGTATGCGGTGAGCATTAACACTTTTTGTAATATCTTTTAGATTGGCAATTGGAAATTCGACCAAATATGTAAGTTCTGGGGTTGGGATTGCAACTGCTTGAATGGTTTGCTGACACTGTTTCTTGCTCCTTCCGTAGAAAAGGGAACAAGACAAGCGGGACGCGTCGGCAAGAGCGCGAGTGTGTGATCCAGCAACACCATCAGGACGCTCACCCAGCTAGGAAAAGTGTGAAGATTATGTATAGTTATTCAGCATATTCCATAGATCGCCGACCCCAACTCGGGTCACTGGCGCACTAGGCATGTAGTTAGCAGAGACGGTTTGAGTGGAAGTAGTGATACAGCTGTAGGAAGGAACGATTTTGCGCGTGGATATGGTCAGGTTCACGTCGTATCCCTCGGCTGACGCATATACAATAATGGAGCTGTTTCTGTCACTACCTCGTTCATCTCATGTATCAAATCTCATAGCCCTCAATCTGAAAAGACTATAGAAGAGTGCAAAGCATGGCAGTTCCATGTATAATTGTTGCTACATTTCTTCCTTTTTTTTAAAAGAATAACTCTTTTATTTTACAGGCCCTCCTCCGGCCGGAGCCAAGAGGCACCCCCACCGCGGTGAGTCGTGGCCGCCGCTCCACCATCGCGACAGTCAGTCCTGTTCAACCAAAGAAGACAAGTGGAGAAGACGAGTAAAGAGAAGGGGGAGGCGAGAAACGTCGCCTTTTTATAACCTTGGGGGCCTGCGCTTTTTTTTTGTAATCCGGAATTCTACGCGGAAGATACCGTATCCCGCGTACGTCATTCTTTTGAGCACGCCATGAACGCCCAATCATCGTCGTCGTCGTGTTCACCTCCTGGCATGCGTTCCCCCTTGCGCGAGTCAAGATCATTTGTTTATGTTCATTTTCCCACGGTCTCGAACAAGCGAGATTCGACACATTTTGGGATGCTTGTTGGTAGAAACAAGAATATCGGGTCTTGTTTTCAGTTGGTTTATCTAATCCAAGAACAACGAATGCAAACACGTCATGAAACCGTAAAAGCACAAGCGAGGTCACTGTTCGGATCTCCAATGCTTGCCCGCCGCTTTTGTCGGATGTAGCGTCAGCGCAGTGAAAAGCGTCAGACTGACGAATGTAGAGATTGAAAGAGCGATAATAATAGGATACGATCGGATGGTTGTATCGCCAAATGTCAGAAGACAGTGCGCTGGGATGCACAACATGCTGTTGGTCTTATATGCCAGTATAGCCAATCGCTGTATCCACTAACAATTTCATGCTGTCGAGAATAAGGTTAACATCAACTCCAATTGCAATCCAGTGTCCTTGGTTTCCAGTTCACGTAAAAACAATTGCGACATGCTAATTCATCGCGACCCACCTCAAGCTCTCTGCTCTCTCGGTTGGATGGACCAAATGGTGACAACAGATCAGGTCTGTCTCTAGATTCACGTCTGTTCCGAATGAAAAAGACGTTGAATTTGTACGCATAGCTTGGAGGAATGCGTTTCTTACTCAAGAATTTTGTCATTAGTGAGGGTACTCAAAAGTCTACAGGCGTGGCAGCTTGCAAGCTATTTGAATAGAGAATGCAAGTCATCTAAACTGAGTTGATACAATGCTGTCAGATCGGAAAGTCGATGACCGTGCGCATCGAGGAGTGTTTTTGTATTCATCGAAAATATCGTCAAGTGCGGGTTGTTCACTCTCTTGCGGCCGCGGTATTCAAATAATGCATTAGGTGAACCAAGACAGGGATACTGCATGACTGATTCTCGGACATCTTTGAGCATGGCTTGATCGGTGTGGTCCAATATATTAGATTTCTCGTTTAAGACGAGCAAGTTTATCCGAATAGAGGGTCAGTGTTTCTCAACCTCGGCAGAAACTGGCGATGAAGAAGGGGATATTGCCAGATCCATTACATGTTCTTGTGGGAGATGGTTGCTCCCATTTGACTGACTATATACACATATGCTAATTTCCTATTCGTCTTTGCTAATATCCGTTTAAATGGCCATCACCCATGGATATACATGTTCTGCTGCCTATTCTTTGTCTTGTATGTCATCGTATCAAGTCTCAGTAGTGTAAAAGGCTTCATTTGTCTGTAAATCGCATCGAGACAGAGTTCACACAATGGCGTTCATCGGTTGGCGTCGGAAACCCTTCTCCCTTAAAGACATGACCTAAATGACCTCCACACTAAAAATATTTTAGGTAAGAAACTTGAGATTTGGTCCGAAACTGTGTCCTTGAACATACATTCGAACAAACAATCTCAGTGCGCTCCATTCCATACGTATTGTCGACGTGACGGGTCACGGCACCGGGTATGGCGTCTGAGACATATGCATGGTTTAGGTTGAAAGGTGAACACACTGTTAACGGAACAACACAAACCAACCAAAGAATGCTGGCCATCCACAACCGGAATCAAACTTTGTGCTTGATTTATATAAGGGTGCATCGCATCCAGCACAATGATACACACCTATGGTGGTAAAATGTATGAACACTTTGGACGTACATTCAACAGCAAAAGTAAACATCAAGAGACATACCGTCCGCCTTATGCTTATTGTACTCTCCCGTTCCAGGTGCTTCGGTCCCCTTCTGCCGTAGCACGCGGAATTGCTCGGGCGTCAACTTGACTCTCCACTAAAACGTAACGCTCAGGAAAAGAAGATAGATCAGACAAAACGAGCAACACTTACCTCTTGGTCTGTTTTCGGTAAAGACATGGTAACAGTGCGGAAAAAGAAAGAACGGGTGAGAGGGAAGATGCGAGTGCGATGCCAGAGTGGTCGTAAAAACATCACCAAAAGTGCAAGTGTCCCATTGCTTGTTCAAGTCAGCGACGTGGCTGATCGAGGTGAGTCATGTCATTTACCTTTATTAGGTCATTATTACCCCACTCCCCTCCAGGCTTCAAATGAACGGCCAAGTCCTTCCTTGGATGTTTGGAATGAAGGTCTGCACTTTGATGGACATATTGATGATGTTGTATGGAAGGGGCATAACCCCTATAGTAGATTTGAGATCTGTTCTTTTTGCTGATCCAAGGAACCTGTGCCCATGCATCAGCACATTGTAAAAGGGCATCCTTTCTCTGCTTTTTTTTGGTATAGACCAGCGACATCAAAGCGAGCGGGGGCATGCAAACAACTCATGAATACCCTAGGGTTCACCCATCGCTATGACGGAATGGTCAAGCATGTTGCAGAATGTCCGTGCAACTCGTTCTTCCATCCAAGGACATGCCCGAAACACAAAGATGACCAGTGAAGGCGCCGTTGACACAAAGTGCCCTGGAGGAATTTCAAATATCGGAGCAAGGTTATGCCGTCAGGCCTGACAGTGATGACGTCGGTGAAGCAGCCTTTGTAAGTCTGACGTTGTTCATCTTAGCCTGCCGCGGCCATGGGTTAAGAATAATTTAAAGACAGGGTGTCGAAAGTCTCCCCTCCTTTGCCCCAAATCTTGCAACCTTTCAAAGGTCCCTTTTCACCAGCATGTGTGTATCTTGTTCAACGGTAGTGCAACAAGTTAAGCATCCTTATTCCCGCTTCATTGGACAATATCGCTGCATTTCTCCGCTCATCTTTTTTCTGCTCTGTTTGCGGATATTTCTATTTGGAGGGATACGTCATTTGTCTCTGTCAAAAGTGGCAATCGGAACCTGCAGTGTAGGAGCAAAAAGAGGAAAAAAAAGGTAAGAGATGGCAACATCAACAATTGAAATACTCGGCCGCGGCGTTGGGTTCCGTCGCGTTCAGCTTGTCTGCAAATTGCGAATGTTTTTTTACTGTCAAGCTGTGGGCGGTTTGCGACTTTGCTGCTGCTGTACGAAATATTTTGTTTTCCTGTGGTTGTGCGCCTGTTGAGCTGTCTAATCGATAAAGGAAATTTCATGGCTAGTTGGGTATAGAAAAAGTCGTCGTGGAGAACGTGACATGCACACCTTGGGGCAATGGCGGATCTGCTACAAAATCCTTCAAATCCTTCCTATGATTGTTAAAAATGGTGGCGATTGAAAACAGAAAAAAAACAAAAACTAGTTGGTCGTAAATACCCATGTTTTACGGTTTTTGTTTTATGGACAGCTGTTATATAAGTATTTAGCACACTCTAGTGTTCCAACTTAGTGTTTTAGAGGGGCGCGCGTAAATGCGTTAACTCGGAACCTCCGTTGGACGAACGTGTGCATTTACACAGCCACTGGCACTGTGAGCGTTTTTCTTTTTGGGGACTTGCGGGATTTTTGTTGTGTGTTGGGGTATTCGTAAGTTGTGGACGGGGAGAATGGGAGGAATTGGCTTTTTTTTTTATTGTTACTTAAGGGGCAATGGCCAGCAATGCAATGTCGATTAATTGAACGGACACACTGGCATTAACGTTGGTTGGACTGTTTGACAGTGTCATGTAATCGCTGGGCATCAGCGGCTGCTGTTTTTTTATTTCTTTTTTCTTCTTCTTCTTGCATGTTGATTGCCCGCTGGTTCCGAACAGGCTATTCTTGACGTCAATAAACTCCCCTCCCTTCCCTCTTCCAACTCTTCCAGTCCAACATTGTATTTTGGCTTGGTGATATTAACAAAAAAAATAGCCCTGTACCTGAACCTAACCGCTCTGCTCCGAACATTCATCAGTCATACTTTGCAATACTTGTGCCCATCATCTCTTTTTGTGACAGCATCAAGCAATTCTCGATGGCGCCCCTCGTCCTGAAAGTGAAGGGAAACGAAAATGACTTTTCTCCTTTTGCCGAGCTGGATAATGATGACGATTTGGCCCGTGCTTGGAAAACGTGCTCCAAGGTAAGAACTTCTTTTCTATATATCTGGGATGAGCTTGCCAGCGGCCCCTAGGGAAATGCAGCCCATTTGTCTGCCATCATGCACATTTGTTCTCAACGTCCTCTCGGTGCCCTTCCATGTCAGGTCAAAGACACGCTCGAAAACGGCAATCGCCTCGAGAACCTATCATGGCGTCTCTGGCATCTCCATCAATCCATGTACAGAGCCAACGACCTCAATTCAAGGCAGTTTCGAAAGATTTCGACCAAGGCAACCCGCAAGCTGGACGAGGCAGATGCGAAAGCGCCTGCATTGATTGGTCGACCAAAGGACTTTGGAGATGTCCGCACGTGCAACACGTTTCTCGGCGTTGGCCACATGGAGTCGGCAGGTCTTTCCGCCCATCCTCTGCACGCTTCCCAACGTCCATCTCTTTACAATGTGGATGAACAAGCAATCCCTTCCATGCCGTCGCCCGAAACACCCGTCTTTGCATCAGCGATTGAAGTCGTCCAGTCATTGGGATCCGTAACAGAAGACTGTTTTGAACTTTCCTGGGACGCTCTTGATGGGCATTCTGATGCCTTGTTTGACGAGTACATTCGCGATTCTACAACTGGATGGTCTGCATCAATGATCGGATCCCCAAAGTTGGCCACGACGCCAGACATTTCCGATATGTTGCCGTCAACCTGGTCAGACACATCACCCATCTCTAGCACATTATACAACAATATGACATCAACAAGCCCTGATAGCCTCAACAGTTCAACAACGGTGCCCATCACACAACCTGATGCATCCTATTCAGCGCACGAAAGGTCCCTATTGGCATCAATCTTTTCCGACACATCTTTTACCCCCGTCCGTCCTGTGCAAGCCCAACAACCATCCATACTACCTACCTCTCTTTACCTCCCGGACAACGCCACAATACCCACATCATCCAAACAAGTTGGCCAAAATCCTACCCCAGCATCCACACCACCTACATCGTCCGCACAACTCCCTGAACGCACAACCGCAACTTATCGTCCCCGTCCCGTTCCAACACCCTCAGCCCCACGCACGGTCCGCAACGTCGCATGCGCGGGAAATAGCGATGGAAAGCTCATGTGCGAGAACTGCGGTGTAACGTCCACTCCATTGTGGAGACGATCAGCCAATGATGAACTTTTGTGCAATGCATGCGGATTATAGTGCGTATTTAAAACCCTTCTCTCTTCTTTGATTTCAAACCGATGCTTACCTATCCCTTTCGCATAGCCTTAAATTACACAACACCAACCGTCCCAAGAACCTCAAGGCTTCCTCACGCAAAGAACAATCCGAGGAGGTCGTTCAAGCGGAATGCTACAATTGTCAAACAAAGACCACACCACTATGGCGACGTGACGATGCAGGGAATAATCTTTGCAATGCATGCGGATTGTAGTGCGTATTTCTACAATGCTGAAGCTACTGTCTTACAATTGTCTCTAACGTTCAGTTACAACTCTATAGTTTAAAACTTCACAACACGATGAGGCCCCTCTCCATGAAAACCGATGTAATCCGTAAACGACAACGATACGACAACGGCCTGCCTATTCGCAAAAAGCGAAGTAAAGGAAGCACGGAAATCCCGTCCGAAACACTCAATTCAACTCCTACACTCATGTTCCCAGCCGTGAACAGTGTACATCCATCACCTCCCATGGAGGACTCGAATGAATTGTCGTTTTCGGCTAGCCACAGTGGCTTGATGGGTATTCCGGCCTCGTTTGGCCAGACCCGGTATGCATATTAGAGTTAGGGTCAGGCTGGATGGTCTAGGAAAGTTAGAGAAGTTGGCGACCTCCGCTGTACATATATATGGGAAGCTGGGTCTGTTGCATATAGTGCCTTTGGGTGGAATAGAATCAGATGTTGTAAAAAAAGTCTTGAAGTAGGTAGTCTTTGTTAGTTCCGTATGGTGTGCTGCGTAAACTGTACAGTAGACACTATTTGTAGACCTGTAACTCCCAGATAAAGAGGTCATGTTTATGATTCGGTCAATTAGAAAACCACATCTATTTGCCAGAAATCACATTAAAAAAAACACAATTATACAGTATCTACATGAGTATCTGTTGAGTTTACCCACACCGTCGTGATTAACCATGATCCAGCCCTGCCAGAACCCTAACTCGACTGAACGCCGACCTGTTTCACTTCCTCAAAGAACGGATAATCAACATACCCCTCGGCCCCATTCGTGTAAAAGGTAGGACGGTGATATTTATTCAACGGCAAATCCTTTCTCAAGCGCTCGACAAAGTCCGGGTTGGCCAGATACCAACGTCCAAATGCCACCAAATCCGCGTATCCAGATTGAATTGCTTCATTAGCGTTCTCTTTCAAATATCCACCGGCGACCATGAAATTTCCTTTGTAAATGTCACGAAAGGGTTGGAGTTCACGGGCGTGCGATGCATCAGATTTATCTTGGTTACCATTGATACGGGGTTCGACAAGATGAACATAGGCGAGGTTGAACTTGTTGACTTTTTCTAGGACGTAGGAAAAGAGAGCTTCCGTGTTACTTTCGCTCATGTCACCAAATGTTCCCCATGGCGCGAATCGGATTCCGACACGACCGGCTTCACCGCCTACACCTTCAATAGCAGCTTCAATGGCCTCAATGGCAAACCGTGCACGGTTTTCAATTGATCCGCCGTACGCATCCGTTCGTTTATTGGTGCCGTCCTGAAGGAACTGATCAATGAGGTACCCATTGGCACCGTGCAGCTCGACACCATCAAACCCAGCCCGACGTGCCCGCCGAGCAGCTTCTTTGTAGTCGTTGAGGGTGCGCCGTATCTCATCAATTGTCATTGCATGTGGTGTTGGCGCTTTTTCCATTTTGCCGGTTGGGAGGTATACATTAGTGTTTGGCTGTACTGCCGAGGCGGAATGAGGTAATTCGTTGTTGGGCATAAAGGCGGGATGGGATTGACGGCCAACGTGCCTATTTGTGTTCAAACCAAATGAGCATCTGCAATAAGTATGGTACCAAAAAGAAATCCAGATTTTACAAAGGGTAACCTACCACAATTGCATAAAGAATATCCCCTTCTTTGCATGTACCCTTTTAACAATCTTCTTCCACCCATCCTCCATTTCATCCGTGTAGATCCCAGGCACATTAGCATACCCATGTCCATACTTGCTAATAGCAGTGCCTTCTGTAATGATCAATCCACCCTCATTCGACCGCTGCTCATAGTATTTGGCCATGAGTTCGTTGGGAATATTGGCATCGATGGCTCGGTTTCGGGTCAAAGGTGCCATGACGATGCGGTGAGCAAGTGTGATTTGAGGAGATAACCGGAGTGGTGCGAATAGAGATGCTTTTCCGACCATTTTTTTGTTGTTGTTATGCTGTGATGATTATTGACAAGTGATGAAAGAGACTGCTTTTTTGTGGTTGTTGGATTGGAGAGGAAGGACAAAGCTGTCGTTCTCCCATTTTTATAGTGTCGCTGATGATTATTCCTCATGGTTTGAAGATTACAAATCCACAAGTTTTTATTAGTGTGGAGGTGATTGAAAATGGCACTAGGACCCATTATTATCCGGATTAATCCAGTTAATCATATCGCATAATCAGCACCCCCATCTATCGCTCAAAGCGGTGAGGCATGCATGCTAATGTTCTCCAAACTGCGGTGTGGCATGCTAATGTAACTTTTTCTTTTTCAAATTGCGGTGAGGCGCATGCTGAAGGTCTATAAAAAGGGGGCCTTTTGCTGTCTCTCCCCTTCCTCACCAGTTCCTCGACTCTCAAACCATCTGCGCAACTCTTCTCATCGCGACTCTCAAGTCCAACCATGAGAATGCAGATGTGGTGGTGCCGAGGACCTCGCCCTCCCGACAACAACAACAACAACATGACCCCTTGCAAACGCTGCTACTACTATATTGCTACGATCGCAGGTATTTCTTGCTGATTTTCCCACGTGTATTCCCAGTCCAATTCTGATCTACCTTAGTATCTGAACATCCTCCGACTAAAGAATTTCGGAATCAAGGGCTTAGTAGGATTTCTCTCGTGGTGGTGGGCTTAGTTACCCGGTTAGAAACAACCGTAGTATGTTGCATAATAACATGCGCGTTACTTGTCGTTTAAGAGTTTTTGTAATTCAACATTTTCAAATTCAAGCACAAGGTCATCTATCCAGACTGAAGACGGAGACGCACATTCACATCTCAACATCAACATGGTATTCAAAATACAAAAAGATGAAAGTATGTCGTTGCTGATGAACCATGAAAATAGGGTGGACCACGACAGGGATGGGACATTGGATCAAAACCGTGATTTGAGCAAAAACTAACAAGGCAGAGTTTCTAACAATGTCGATGCTGGCATATCCTATCAGATATTGATCCTAATACTATCGGGCTGTGTTCGCCCCTTTCCCAATATACAGCCTCCACCTCCTCCTCCTCCTAAGCCCCTCCAACATTTTACAAGCCACCACCCATTAAAGACACCGTGCACCCGTACGCACAAAAACATTAAATATGGGCGGGTGGCCAAAAAAAACTAAAGAAAATCTGCCACTTTAATATTCTACAACGTGCTACCTGATGCAAAATCCATCATAATACAAATTCATGCCACAGCAAAGCGTGTATGACGATCTGTTGAATAGTATTTCCAGAACGTATTTTTTGCTCATCTGAGGACTGAACATTGTCCCAGCCACCTGCAATGGGATTTGTCTGGACCCATATTGAATGTTTGTAAACGCATGTCCTCCTGGCAATTAATCGTAAATTGCTTTGACTGAAAATGTTTTAATTTTCAAGTACAGGGTCGGACCTCCTTGGATGGGGTTTCCCCCCCTTTGTGCGTTCGTTTGCAACTTGTCTCCTGTGCGGTGGCCTCCCGCCAACTCTCCTCGCTCTTTTGTTACCCGGTGATTGGTAAGAGGTAATTAAAAGGATACATACACGTGCCAGCAGGTGGTATCACAGAATAAATCGGGGGAATCTTGTGGTCGGAATCCCGGCACGTGCATGATTCCACTGATGACATAACCTTAAACTAAAATCGCGCGTCGGAGTTTCAAAAGTTGGCGAGTCTCCGTATGCGCAGACACACGACGCGCACTTGATCCGCCGAATTTTCAACAGATAGAAATATCAAAAAAATATTCAACATACAAATAGTAAAAAAAAAAGAACAAAATTAAAACAGCAATGAAAGACGGGTATAACCCAAAATCTCCAACCCAAAACCAACCACAATAAACTACCAATTGCAGGCCTACGCTAGTACGTCCCATTCAGACCAAAATTGATCCCACAGAACAGTTACCCGTCAGGCCGACTCCAGTCTGTCACTAATCAATGATTATGCCCAAAGACCCCCCCCCCCCCCCCCCGCTTTTTTGACACTATGTAGTTTAAATAAAAAAAAGACTATGTGCATGAATGTGCGTCGACCGACATGCCAGGCTGTCGCGGTCGACAGCGGCAAGAATAAATTAATTTGTGTACACGAAGGTTCGCGGTGCCGTGATATCATCGTGCGGATACTTAATCATCCCTTCGACCGTGCAATCTTCTTCGGGATTGCACAGGAGGAGCAAAAATATTGAGAGGGGACACATAGTGTCTATCCGGTGATGTTCCATTCTTGGAGGCCTTCGACGTTAAAGGAGTCGCAAGGTACGCTGCGGTGCGGTTCGACGCATTTGGTGTGAACTCGCAATCAGAATCGTAAAGAGAGGAAGGAGCTGGGCTTGAAAGGTGCTCAAAGGACATGGGCGACGAACAAGAGTATTCATTAAAGGAAGAAGATCGAGAATATTCAGAAGACGACGGAGACCATTCGTTCCCACTGTCTGTAACCATCCAGGAATTGTTAAAATACTGTTCCTACAGATGATACCAAGCGACACATACTGACCGCTAGCAGTCTCCAAACGGAAGTCATTGTTATTCTTTTTGCCGTAGTGCCCCCGCCTCACACTCTTGGGCCGCTCTTTGCGCGGAGCGTCAAGGCAAGAGTCCGCATAACCCATTCGACAGCATCGGGTACAAGGACGAAGATTGTCACACTTTTTGCAAGCCTTCTTACAGTGGATGCACGCAATCTTGCACTGCTCACGACGAGTTTCGGCTTTCTGGCGGATCTTTTTTTGAGCAGGCATATCGGGATCTACATTCTCTTCGTTCTCAACATCGCTCACGGCAGCCTTTCGCTTGCGAGCTTTAGGTTTTGGCGCTTCCGCGATGGGTTCGGAAAGCAGTGAGCTGTGAGACAAGCGACGACTGGTGCGAACAGGCGCTGGTGTGTAATCCGCACCAAAGGCGTAAATCTCAAACTCGTTATCGTCCTCCGGTGTAGCCAGACCATGGAAAGGAGGCTGAAAATCAATGGGCGACGAAATGTCTGCCTGGGTGAAGTCTGAGGAAGGGCATGACAGATCTGTATAGCGCGGCTCGTCATCGAACTCGTCTTGGAGAATAGAGTCCTGCGAGCCAAATTCTTCGTCTGCACCGACGCCAACGTCTGGACCAAGACTGTCCAAGAAATCAAGCGACGTGGAGTGCAAAAGTCGCGATTCCATCTCCGGCAGGAAGCTAGCGGGAGCTGGCCGCGATGGGGATGTGGGAATACCGCAGGCCTGCAGCGCCGTTACCGTCTGTTTGGCGTGATCTTGAAGATGCCCTTGAGAGTATCCCAAATCAAAAATGAAGGGCATATCTCCCAGGGGAATTGGAGTTACGGCAGCCAACGGCGCCTGCCCGAGTCGCTCGGGCGATTGTTCTAGCGTAGAGATATCAGTCGTGGCCAGAGGTGCAACGACTTCTTGCTCAGCGGCAGACAAAACGTCTTGCCCAAACATGTCTTGCATATAAGCACCAAGGTTGAGCTTGGAGACATCTACGTAAGGGTTGGGCTTGTATACGCTCGGATTGTAGGCATACTGATGAAGGCGCATGATCTGTCAAGAGAGCAAGGAACGCATAAGTCAAAGGTCGGATTTCATGCACCCTGGGGTACTAGGCAAAAAATACGCAAAGCGCGTCGCGTGTGGGAATTTATTATCAGACCCTGGGGTAGTAGGCCCCATCTGGATCTCGACATCCGGACATTGTGAAGCAGCGGACTTGCACTCTTTTAGCAAGCAAACGCACACATTCACAAAAGCACACAACAAGAGAAAAACAAAAACAACAGATGCACACAAAAGTACTTACCAAGTCCATGTCGCACATTCCGGCCATGTTAATTTCGCTGGTCGATTGAGTTCCAACAAGCATGATTGAAACGTTCTACTTTCAAACCAGCGCGACTATGCGTTCAAGGTAAAAGTGTAGGAGTAAAAGTCAAGTTGCAAATGTTGATGTGCACGTTCCAGATGGTGAGAGATGTCGCTCAAAGATGAATGTTCCCACGCAGATGGCAAGAGCACTTTTGAGGTCGTAAGCGTGTTCTTGAGAGCTGGTCTTGTCTTAACGGAAGCCTTTATTGTTCAGTTGGTTTTGCCCATGCGGATGGGGTATCTGACAGTTGAAAGGGACGAGTGTCGGGCGCGCCACACAAAAAGAACGCTTTTGGCCCGAGTCGGTCTTGTCTGTGTGTGTATCTTGCAGCTAGCTTGGAGAAGGCTGTGTGTACGACAGAGCACACAAGAGCAGATACTGTCCGGGAGGAAGAAAGAACGAGTGAGCAAGAAGTGGGAGAGAGCAAGGAGCTGGGGGGGGAACGACGACGACAAGGAAGAAGAAAAAAAACGGGTTTTTTTTAATCGAGGTGCTAACCCAATGATGAAACAACCAAAATCGGCCAGCGACCTTTTTGTATCTCTGGGAGGGAGAGAAAGAAGAAGAAGCTAAAGGGGAGAGAGAGGGAAAAGCGTTGTCTACAAAGGGCCAAGAAAGTTGGAGAGAGAATAAGGAGACAATCTTGCACGAGGGCGTTCCCCAGGGCCGATTACCATCGCCAAAGAAGGTTTTTTGGACAAAAGAAACTGTAAAGTCAAGGGAGTTGTCCGAAAGGCAAAAAGCTGTGGAAGGCAACCTGTTCGCCCTGGTTAGTAAGTGTCGCCAGGAGGCAAATACGGTTGTTGCGTTCATTATTCTTTTTGTTCCGTGTGTGCGCGATGGATTCAAAAATGGCATTTCCAACGCCAGACACTCGAATGGAATGTGGAGAGAGAGAGAGAGGAGACAAATGGCAGGAGAGACAAGACGAAGAGAAGGAGAGAGAGGCAAATTGTGGAAAAAAGACAACTCTTAAAGGAGGTCTATCTTACAGGAATTCCTTCCTTTTACAGTTACATGACATGCCATATATAGTTATATGATGGCCAATACCATGGTTACTTCATACGGAGAGAACTAAGCTCATCATATTGCCTTTCGACTAACCAGGGCCTATTGAGCTTCTACTAACTTTTTGTGTTTGTCCCTCCCTTGTGCATTTTTATATATGATATATATGCAATTTCATTGTCGTCGTCGTCGTCGTCTTTGCTCGTTTTTGGAGGAGTAACAAAAATATAAAATGACAGTTGAAGTGGTTCCAACGATTCCTACCTCGCAAAGGCTTTTGCAAACCCTGCAAACAACAAACTACGCCTGAGTCCGTTTTGATACCCATATGGATCTTTCCTACTAACAAGACTAACGCGTGCGTGTTTTTTAGGGAAAGGGTTTCACTTTGTGCCAAAATGCATCTACTAACTTACTACGCTTTGGCATGGAACTGGAACCACAATCAGAAAATGGCAAAATGCCCATCCTGTCTGTCATCATCATCTTACCATTTTTATTTTTTTTTCTGCGATGGTGACAGACCGCCCCCAGGGTCCTTGACCTTTATCTTGGCCGTGTTTCGTACAACTGGCACGATGCATCGGATGAGATCACAGTCCGCAGCGTTCGGACAAGCCCACATGCAGCTGAGAAACGCTGATTCTCCGTCAACACGGCATGATTCGTTCTTACGACTAATGATGATGATAACAGTTCTTATGGAAACAATGCTGCGGAACCATCTCCTGCGTCGCCCGTGGGAAAACGAACCTAGGTTCCATGTCGTTTGGTGCATCCGTCCTCGCACACGGACGCCTCCGAGTTGGTGGAACAGGAGCAAAAGGCCAGAAGTTTACCCATCGGATATCCATCTTTCTCGCAATCCCACACTTTTCATTTTGAAGCCTTGTTCGTGGGTCCAGATAAGACGACATTGCCCCTCATGGAAGCGAACCCGCCCTAAATTCTCGACTTGCAAAGGTTGATCACTTTTTCTCACGTTGGTCTCCTCGTCCCTCTCGTTGTTGAGGTTCCGTGATTATCAATACCCCTCTCAGCCTGCATAATAATCTCGTCTCAGAAGACGGCAAGGAAGAGAGTTTTTCGTTCGGTCGCGAATTCATTACCCCTGCAGGGGGAGCTTTTTATATGATTGCATGTAAGCTGATATAGACTTGTATTCCTTGGCCCCCAACGTTATTGTATCCGCATTGGTCCAGTGGTTAGGATTCCGCGCTCTCACCGCGGCGGCCGGGGTTCGATTCCCCGATGCGGAATCAGGATGCTCTACCGCATATTTTTTTGTCGCCTTTCCCAATATTCAATGTCCCAAGCTAGTTATTCCAATGAAAAGTCATAGAAAATGTGGCAGATTGTCTATTAGCAAGTCGCTTTCACCTCCATCAAGCCTTCTCAGACCAATTTCCGCAAGCTCTCAAAGTCTCTTTCAAGAATGGCCTCAAATAAAGGCAAAGGGAAGAGATACTGAGTTGTCGAGAACTCCTATCCTCTGGAATGCAGCTAACAGGTTGGGCATAGTGCGGAGCCGATGATATTGGCACTAGTACCGGAAAAGCGAACGAACTAGTTATTCGAAGGCAAGTATACAGGCAACGTAACGGTTGTTTCGACCGGAAAATTGCCCACGGCTACACGTCGTCCCCTACTAGGCCTTGATTTCGAACCCTTGGATGACATTGAACCCAAGAGTCTTTGCAAGAAAGGTAGTCTCTGAAAGCCGGATAAATTTCGTGAACAATAGCTTGGAGACTAAAACTACTGGGTGCTGCTGGTTCCGGTTGCTTGTCGTTGGGCGGAACGTGTGCCCTCAATCCCAGGAAAATTCATCATTCTTGAAGGTAGAAGATGGGGGTTAGAGTAAAGATCCCTCTCTTTATAGACCTTGAGCGTGGGAAAATGGGTATCCAGATGAAAGAAAACCAAAAGAAGCTTCCGACATGATTACAGACATTTACATCATATTCGTATCCACAATCCTCATAATGAACTCGTTTGGCACTTCATCCCTCGGAGTTCTATCTCTCAGTGACCTCCAGGAATTGTTGCGTTCATTGCGCAGCTTCAACCGCACGACTTCAGCACGCCAGTAACCAAATTACCGAGAGCAACCGGTGAA